GAAGCTCCACATTCACGTTGCCAAATTAATTCAACAAAATCATAGCACGCGGCGCGCTGCTCGAATTTTTAGGGCACTTTCTTAGTTAATTAGACATGGCTTGAATACAGCACAACAAGCCTGTTTAACAATAAATGGGTTAATATTTGGTTTGAAATGTTTTCGTCTCCAATCTCAAGCTTCGATAATTGATGATTCTCATGCACACTCACAACTGCCCGTCTAACCATACAAGTTGTGTAGGCCTACAGAATTTATATCGGTAATTTAGTGAGCCCCAGTTTAATCATGGAGCAAGGAATGGTTTGAAATTTAGAAGTCGCCAGAACTTGGCAGTGGATGTCAAGACACATACATTGCAGAGATGTCCAGGACCACACGTGCATTCCTAAGCAGCGATGCACCAGGCTCTATTCTGCGAAGATCTTACGTGAAGGAGCTTAGGCCTATGCTTAAATAACTACATTAGGTGATTCGAATTAGTTATTTTTTGTGTTTTCGGGGTTGTCCCGTTGATAGCACAATGGATGAATCATTTTTGGAAAACATCACTTCAGACGTTCCCAACGCAGAGACAGGACATGAAACTGCGGCTCTGCTGATTTTCTACACCTGCGTCGTGGTCGTGGGCATACCCGGTAACTGCCTTATCATCCGAGTGTTTTTGGGGAAACCCCTCAAGTCAAGCACCTATGTCCTCATCATGGGACTAGCCACTGCCGATCTTGTAGTATGCTTGCTCAAGATTTGGGACATCGCGTTGCTGTCGCTCAGCCTGGGCGGAGTAAGCGTGGAACATCTCACCGTTTCTTTCATCGGTGCTGTGTATACAACCAATACGGTGTCCGTTACGATAACTGCGGTAATCGCACTGGACCGCTACGACTGCGTGTGCCGTCCCCACCGGCGTCTTTTGACCGCCTGCCGGGCCAAGAAAGCCCTGCTGGCCTGTGTCGCTGTTTCGGTGGTGACCAACATACCGTTGTACCTACAACTGGCACTAAACGACAGATCCTCGGTGCCCCTCCGGGCAGCTGTGTACGCGTTTCACTTGACACTGTACGCTATCGCACTTGGGATGATCGCATTTTGCTACGCTAAAGTGTTCTTTACGATTCGCAAACACGTCAGACTCGGTGTGCTGGCTGGAGGCCGTTCCGCTAAAGCGAGAACCGTTGGCGCCGCAGTGTTCACCGTGTCGTCGACCATGGTGGTGGGAGAAACGCCGGGTGCATCAAGTTGTCAGTTCCAACCAAGCCTCGTCCGGAATGTGACGATCTTATCAGATTTGGCTGACGATACAGACGACATTATCAGGGGCAAATCTCATCTCATGTCGGTACCACCTAGGAACGACAAGGCTGGAACCACATCGACGTCACCACAAGCTTGGCCGGCCCTGGATCGAAGACGCAGGCAATCCACTGTCCCGGCACTGCAACGTAGAACCACCATCATGCTGTTCATCACCAGTGTGGTCTTCATACTGGCATGGCTGCCGTACTGGATCAAGGTTTTCTTTGACATCTTCGGTGAAAGCTCACCCTTTCTGGACATTTTCTTGAAAATTCTATACCTGAATAGTGCCATCAATCCTTTCATATACGGGCTGGCAAACAGACGATTCCGGAAAGATTGCAGAGACGTGTTTCATAGGAGGAGATGAATAAGAATGCATGCTGAGATCTCGGCAGGCAGATAATCGATTTCTGTTTTTTGTCACATGTGAAACTGTTTATTTCCCGCTGCCTACATTCAATGCCAGAATCGATGATGGAGGGACTACGAACCAGCTGAACGCGTAATGTGCGATATGGCACTTACATGCGGGAACGGTTCTGCATCCTGTACTCCAACATGCGTACGTACGTCGGCTTTTTACACATTGTATATGAGACTTTCTACCAGATTTGGACGGTAACAACACAATTCCTTGAAAGTTTCGCAGCAAATTAAACCTGGTTCTTAATCTCATCCTTGATAAAAACTCAACGCCTTGATAAAAACTCGAAGCTATATTTGCAGTTGACATCCCTCACTATAACAACCCGGTAGGTAGAGCCATGGGCGTCGCGAGAGCCCCCCCCCCCTCCCCCAACCTGGAAAAGAAAACAAAAGACGAGGTGCGAAGTCATATTGCTGTTACTTTATTAATGCCCATTTAACAACATAATTATGGGCGTCCACGAGGGTGTCGATAGGGGTGGGGTGGGCAAAAATTATAAATTAAGAATATGCTACAGAGAAAGTACCAGGCTTTTGGGAAACAAGTTCGTTGCCCCCCCCTCCTCAAGAATGTTTTTTTTTGGCGATGCCCATGGGTAGAGCCAAGAGAAACAGACATAACCAGTGCTAGCTCCCCTGCGTTTTGCTGCACTCAAGCCATAGCAAAACAGTTTCTTTCCAAGGACCATTGCAGACTGGAATGAACTTCCCAATGAACTTGTCAAACAAACATCACCAGTTCAATTCAAGACAGCCTTAGGCAACTCTATTCAACCTTAGTTTTTGTTTAGTTCACGCCTGCAGGGTATACTTGCAGAAATGTAAACTAGACAATGATGCCTAGAGAGGCGATCACCCTCATGAGTTTCTGCAGATTCTGAGATACCTTCTACCTCTGGTTCCACTTCCATTAATTATTCAAAAGGGAGGCCTGCGCACGCTGTTGTGTGACATTGCACCGTGGTGATGAGGTTGTCTATTTTTGTTTTGCCAGCGTTCACCATGGCAAGAGTACGAGTGTGATGAAATCAATGATGAACATCACGAACTGCTCCGAAAAGGTACAACACGAACTGAACCGCACGTCATTGAAACACATATGACTTAAGAATTGTAACCTATAAGAGCATATGTCAGGCAACAGCCACGTATACGAATGGATGATACAACTATGTAAGTTGAACTGACATCACTGTACAACGAGCATGTATATTTACTGCAAAAAAAAGAACCAAATGCTATACTATTTAGTATTTTAACCCACAAGAACATAAGCACGTGCTGAAAAGGCCAGGAATAATTACCAAAAGGTTTTGAGTCGTCCAGCTGCTGCACAGAATATTTATAATAGGAACCCGCTGCTGCGCATGCTGAAGACTATTTGCTGGAGGAATTAAAGTATCCAATTAGTTTACTTACTGGATGGTTAATAATGGACGTCTGTTCCCCCTTCTGTACATGAACTATCATTGTGAGAAGTTACAACTGTGTAGGTGGTGACACGGCGTAATGCATAGCCGGACAGAGGGAGATGTGCCTGTTATTAGCATAGATCATAAAGTGCAGAAAGTATATACACTATGTACAATAATATTATCACCTATCCACACAAATAAGCGCAGATGCGCTAACGATATGCGCTAACGATCACTGTTTTGCGCTCAGTCAAATTTACTTCATGCTGTACATTTTGAGATTCGGGAGTCTGCAGCACCAAGCCGGGAACTTATAATATATGTAAACCTCCGGTCGTAAAGGGTGTTGACGTCAAAAGTCACGTGTAGTCGTCAATCCCCCACCCCTACGATCTGACGAAAATAAATTAAATGTCGTTAGTGACAACTTGGGGCTTAAGCCTCCAACCCCAAGATTGATGATCTGAGGACGGCACTCTAGATCTTACGACTCACCAAGCCTTGAATGTTTCATATATATTTATAATTTCAACACCATTCTACACAATAAACAATCAAATCATCCTGATTTTGGTATTTGTGCATGGAGCAGCAACCGGGTATGGTGAGACATTGTTTTAATTACAAGGGGTCAATAATTTGAAACTTAAAGACTTGAAAGAATTTAAAGAACTATCATACATATATAAAGGCGTAAGAGCCTTTCATTCGGGGTACATTTGAGTAATCAATTAATTAAACAGAATTATATTACGTTGGTGACAACCTGGGAGAAAAGATGTCGTTTGTGACAACTCAAACGAACGTCCAACCCCGACATTGATATCTGAGAACGACACTCTACCGACTGGGCTACCGGATTAAACTTATCAAGCCGGCGATTTATAACATATATAAACCTCGAGTTGGAAAGGGTGGTGACGTCAAAAGTCACGTGTCGTCGTTAGTCCTCTATCCCACGCCCTCCAAAAAAAGTAAATGTCGTTGGTGACAACCTGGGGCCCGAACCTGCAGCCCCGAGATCGATGATCTAAGATCGGCACTCTACCAACTGGGCTATCGGCTCGCACTTATCAATCTGGGAATTTATAATATATGTAATCCTCAGATTGCAAGGGTGGTGACGTAAAAAGTCACGTGCAGTCGTCAATCACCCACCCCCTCCGCTCTGACGAAAAATAAAAAAAAAATTGTCGTTTTGGACAACCTCGGGCTCGAACCTCCATCCCCGAGATTTATGATCTGAGAACGCCTTTCTACCGACTGCGATACCGGCTTGCACTTACGAAGCCGGGAATTTATAATATATATAATTCTAGTTGTTGCAAAGGGTGGTGACGTCAAAACTCAAAAGTCACGTGTCGTCGTTATTCCACCACCCCATCGCTCTGACGAATAAAAAATAAATGTCGTTTGTGACAACCTGGGGCTCGAACCCTTAACCCTAAGATTAATGATAAGAGAACGCCACTCTATCGACTGGGCCACCGGCTCGCACTTAGCAAGTCGGGAATTTATAATATTAATTAAGCCTCCGGTTGCAAAGATGACATGTTGTTCATCATATACATTTCTGTGCAGCCTGAACACATGTGAGAGTTTTGAGTAATATTTAAAAGAATTTTGAAGTACATGTATGGGGATTGATCATGGTCTCTTTGGGGAACGTGTTTACGTAGTTGCACCCAAGTAAGTAAATTAACAATGCACTCACGTGCGTTTTGTAGATGTACCCTATCGTGGCGCGGCCCTCAACGTGGCAGACTTTGATTTTTGCCTCTACCTCCCTATAGAGCAAAAATTTCACCTCAAATTTTACAGAAAGTGAAACTAGTTTTATCAAGCTCTAAACATTTCCATTCATACATCTTGAGTTTGCGTACTCGCTTTTTGTAATAACAGCCGTGGGATGGTCCAGAGCTCAGTGACTGCACTCCCTGCTTCCAAATTCAGTATCTTCTCCTCGAAGGGTAGCCCGATGAGATCGAAGAGTGCTGACAGGATACCCTTGGGATCTTGGAGAAGGTCATCCGCGTCGATGATGATCACCTCTTGACCAAGCTCCTTCGTCACGTACTCGAACAACTCGTGTATCTCTCGGAAGCCATAACCTTTCAGGAAAATCTTTGTTGGAAAGTCTGTAAGGCTGAATTCACCTGGAGACACCTTTGCCATTCCCTGGAACAGCCTCTTCCAAGACGAGAAGACCTTGAGAGGATGACAGATCAGGAACACGTGCCGGTAGCCCTTCGGGAGGAACTCCATCTGATCTGACATGGCGTAGGCCATGTCTTTACAGAAGATGAACTTCTTTCCGACGTGGGCTTTCTCAAGCTGCTCCTTGACCCATTGGTAGTTGCATTCAGATATATCCTTCTCCTTCGTCACGTATTCCAATAACTTGTGCATCTCTCGGAAGCCATAACCTTTGGGGAAAAGGCTTATTGGAAAGTCTGTAAGGCTGAACAAAACTCGTGGATCGTTAATAACTAGAACATAAACGTCCACACAACTGTACCCTGAAATTTGTTGTTTTTGTGTAATTACCGCGCGAGGGACTTTCGGGGTACAGAACTTTAGTCCTCAAAAATAAAGAGCGAATCTTTCTAGCAATAAATCACTTTTGAGTCCACATACACGTTATAGTTATGAAATATGCTTTATTTTCCACCTGACAATAATTCAGGTGTTTCTTTTTGTGCGTGATGGGCGCAACTGCAGACAAACATTAAAAAAATGAATAATAAGATCTTTTGGATGAGTTGAGCAGCTTCTCCGAGTCGACTCCTTACTAGATAAGGCCACGTTGAGATCTTATCATGCTGCATGTTTGAAAGGATTGATTCTACAAAAAATGAAATAAAAAATATGCACCCGTGTCGCGCGCCAATGACTTATATTATCATCATGCCGACTTCCAATTTATCTGTGTCGAGTTTGAAAGTATTTGAACTCAAAACATAGAAATTATGGCCAAAATACTATTCATAAATACCTTGGAGAGTTGATGGTTTCTGATTGGTCGAAACTCGATCACGTGGCCGGACATTAACGGTGATAATGACCGGCTTCAAAGAACAAGCGAATAAATGGCCCCTGAACCAGCATTGATCCAGCCCCATGGAAGGCGATGATTGGCCAAATTTGCGCGTACGCAACACAGTTGCTATGGGTGCGCGCGCGTAAGGAAGTTTTGAAATGACATCGTACAGCGGCAGTGCACTATACTGAGGATGTTACGACGAAAGCGTAGATCTACGATTTATTTCTGTAAATACTTCGCCCATCGACATATTTACCTTTCCTAAACCAAGCATCTTTGTAATTCTGGACACAAGGAATGTGTAAACGAAATTTCAGCTTCCTCCATAAGGTGAACATATGAAAACATTGTTGTAATTTGTTTGGCTACGGCAGCAGAAGTCGTACGCGTACGCAATGAAGACGTTGTAATATTGTCCAGCGCAGCCTGGGCCCGGCTGTGGTGTATATAAGAACGCTTATTGAAGAGACAGGGTACCACGCATAAGCTAAAATATGGCCCATGAACATGAACACAAAAAAGTCTGGAAATATCGCCGAAAGAAAGTCACAAAATTGGAGCATTTTAACTGTTTATTTCGTTACTTCGTCTCGGTCCATTAACAGCGGTCACCCCACACCCGGTCATTATCACGCAGTGAAGACCGGCTCCTCACACTGTTATTCCCTTATTTTTACCCAAAATGGGCAAAAAATGAGAGAGAAAATGTCACGGTCATAAAGTTAATGTACAATTTGGCCCAATGCGAACAACCAGATTCAGATTCATTTTACTAATCGAATTAGTAAAGTTGACCTTATTGCAAGTTGACAACAGAAAGTTAACATGAACCTCAATTTTTAGATCTGATGCAGATTTCGACGGGGTCCGCCCATACGTCCGACGCCTCATAGGTCCGACGCCTAATAAGTCCGACGCCTCATACGCCCGACGCCACATAGCTCCAACGCCTCATAGCTCCAACGCCTCATAGCTCCGACGCCTCGTACGCTTCGTTTTTCCGACGTCAGACTTATGAGGCGTCAGACCTATAAGGCGGAAGAAATAAATTGTATACGACGCCTGATCGACATAAGTCCGACGCCTGATCGACATTTCGGACTTATGAAGCGTCGGACTTATGTGGCGTCGGATGTATGATACGGCCTCATTTTGACCAGTGGCCTGCGGTATGTGTGTGCAGATGCATGCTGGTGTGCGCTTTGAGCGTCGCGTGTACAGCCTTGATATCGTTTGTCAATGGATGACGTTGAACAACGGGTGATAACCTCTGTCGTCATATATACAAATACAAGAACAAGTATCTCAGAAATATTAAACAAAAAGCTATGTACATTGTACATATCTTAAACATTCAACTATAAGGTCAACAGGGCCCTCGGATACCGTGGGAGGTGGGACGAGCAAATTGGCGGGACAGAACACAAGTCTGACTCTGACACTATTTTTCTCGAACAGCTCATGGCGGCCTCTTTGCCGACAGTTACACGATTGTACAGATAAGAACGACAGCATAAATCCTTAGACCGAGGCTTGAAACACATTATGCTGACAGGTGCTGGGCGTACAATTTCTCGTAGTACGGCATGGATGCGTCTACCAAAGGGAGGATGTCGGGAGAAACAGATGTGCGATCGGGTAAAGCCCCAGGTTTCAGGAAGCACGTACTATCCAGCGCGTTCTGGTAGTAACCCCCGAGCTGGTTCCCTTGTAATAAAAACCGTGGGATGGTCCAGAGCTCAGTGACTGCATTCCCTGCTTCCCAATGTAGTATCTTCTCCTCGAAGGGTAGCCCGATGAGCTTGAAGAGCGCCGACAGGATACCCTTGGGATCTTGGAGAAGGTCATCCGCGTCGATGATGATCGCCTCTTGATCAAACTCCATCTTCACGTACTCGAACAACTCGTGCATCTCTCGGAAGCCATAACCTTTCGGGAACAATATTGTAGGAAAGTCTGTAAGGCTGAATTTATCTGGAGACAAGTTTGTTAAACTCTGGTACAGTCTCTTCCAAGATGAAAGGACCTTGAGAGGATGGCGGATGAGGAACAAATGACGGTAACCCTTCGGGAGGAACTCCATATTATCTGTAATGGTGTAGGCCATGTCTTTACAAAAGATGAACTTCTTTCCGACGTGGGCTTTCTCAAGCTGCTCCTTGACCCATTGGTAATTGCATTCAGATGCATCAATCCCAGCCGATATCCCCGCCACGTCAGATATGTCTTTCACCGCAGCACCCATCGCCTCTTCAAGTTCAGCATTTCGATACTTCTCAAGCTGTCGCACAGGATCAAGAACATACGCATTGATATAGTTTTCGAAGAAAACCTTTGAGTTGTCAACGAAGCTCAGACATTTGGCCAGGACAGTTGAGATGGAGCGAGGAACAGTCCATATCATGAGTCGGACCTGCTGCTCAGACGAGGGAGACTTGTCAGGGTTTGCCATCTGAAAACACAAACAAGTTTTTGCCAGTGCAGTGTTTAAAAGGGGCTTAGTTTCAAGACTGTTCGAACAGGTGGCGTACTGGATTTTTATAAAGGAGCAGCTCATACTTGAACCTATTTTTCAGAGTGAGAGGGATTCTCATTTGAAAAAAATCGTTAGGTTATATCATGTAGTTTTATAAACTTTGGAAAAATCGTCCGAAGAGGCATTGGAGATATAGCATGAATAATTTCGGGTACGAACGAAACGGTTAAAGCGAAACAATCAGATTTTGTTTACCTTTTTCAGATTAAAAACAAATATTTTGTTTGGTACATTTTATTAATAATATCTAGCAGAGAATTTTGGTTTCCGGTTCTATCCAATACCCCTGAACAACCTTCACGACGAAGTGAGCATAAGATACGTTTGACGCAATGGTCGAGTTCGGGCGGTCTGTTCTTGACTCGGATATATTGTTCGTGCAAAACCCTGACGGATAGGTGGTGTGTGATCCTGTTCCGAATGCAGTGCTCGTGGGTCGTGTTCCCGCCGTTCGAGTGCGTATACCGTGTCAAGAACAGACCGCCCAAACTCGGCCAATGCTATCTGTACTATAAACAAGCACTAGACTAATTATGCCTAGATCTATGCCTGTTTAAGAACAGAAAATAATTTGTATGGCTTTTCCGTATTATGATTGTTTTTCATGTTTTTATGATTTTTGCCGATGTGCACTATGAACAAGAACAACGATGATAGAAAATGAAGAAACCAACTGAAGAGGAGTTTGTTACTTTTGAGGCAGATAGTTAGTACCGAAGTGGAAGTAAACATGCTCCTACCTTGATCTCCAAGCCGTTGAATAAGCAAGCTGACTTGGGAATAGACCCGATCAAGTTGAAGCAAGAATAGAAAATGAATACCACACTGTCATGTGAACTTATATATTGTCGTTACTGATAGCTGTTTGGACTCTGGCATTTCGCTCAAGAGCAAACACTACACGAAGCTACAGAACACAAGATGTCAAAACAGATAACCCTTGGACCTTTTTCCCACTAATTTTTACCGTCAGCCACCTACAACCAAACACTACCCATCATTCACAAATGTCTTCGTTTGGGCCAAAAAATAATAAGTCGGTCTCTGGTCAGCGCGCACGTCGATTTTAATCATGAGCGTCAATCTTTTTTTCCCCAAATGTTCCGCGGTAGCTCCAACAGCGCCCTATATTGCCGCACCTCCTCAGTTTTTTTTTTTTACCAAAGAGCACCAAGGAATGGGAAATTGCACCAAGGCAAATGATCGAGAGCACCAAGGCAAATTATGGAGGATACCAATGTACATGTACAAGAGGACACCAACAAAGCAAAAAAACCCACCTTGTCTGTAAAAATCCAAGCTTGAAGCAAAAAAAAAAAAAAAAAAAAAGCCGCGTCCCCGCGTCCATTCCGGAACTTTGGTCTGACCAGAGACCGAATATATATATTTTTTTGGCCTTAGACAACCTATATTTGTACTGAAACGAATCAAAGCTCAGAACGTGACCAAATATTTAATCACGGGTGGTACGATAACAAAGTTCAAGCTATTGACCTCAATCAAGGAGAAAAAAACTGCTTCACCATCATCAGTGACTGTTGCAAAATTCAATGTTTCGATTTGGAACAACAGGCCCTGTACCATGTCGAGCCGTGTCTTTACAATTGACGAACGTGTCCTAAATGACATTGGCGGATAAAAAAGCTTATACAAAAATTGTGTGATTATCAATACTTTTGAATTGTTTCAACACACCTGCTCAACTCCTAAAGTGGAGTTGTATAATTTTCTGACATCTTTCGCACTGTAGTGGAGTCCCCTAACGTGGCGCACTTCGACGTTTCCCTCGACTTTCCCCATGCAAAAAACCTCTTTGTTGGAAAATTCATTCAATTAAATATTGGTACAATTACCTTAATAATGCTTGCTGTTGAACCTTTGTGAACAATTTCAGCGTCATGAAATTTAGTCTTCAGTGTCATGACATTTAGTCTGAAATTCAAAAACGATGGCATCTGGAAATTGGGCACAAATTCGACCGAGTTTTCCCAAACGTGGCGCACCCACTTGAACAAATCCCTGAAAATCCAACGTTAACATTTACGAATTGCGTTAAAGTTGATAAATTCAGGTAAATCGTTGTAATCTCCACTCGCGTACCCAACTACAAGTTTGTTAGAAAATTAGTTTCTTATTTTTGGGCGCATTTAAAAGGGGTTCATTTGTACGCAACAAAATAAAATTGGAAAATCACGGTCCAAAATAGACTTTCTCTGGAACTTTGTAGCAAGTACGTAAACTCAATATTTGTGAACGGGAATGTTTAGATTGATACTAAAATGAATAATATGAAAGAATGGGACCCAACCTAGATGTTTCTTTTGCACGGGTCGCGTTCTAAGTCCTGACCCTAGGTCACTGACCAGATACAAAATTCATCCAATGAGAGTCCAAATAAATTCGAGGTCACACATCGGAAAAGGTCCTATGCTGATAGGCGCTGGGCGTGCATTGTCTCGTAGTACGGCATGGAGGCGTCTACCAAACGGAGGATGTCGGGAGAAACAGATGAGCGATCGGGTAAAGCCCCAGGTTTCAGGAAGCACGTACTATCCAGCGCATTCTGGTAGTAACCCCCGAGATGGTTCCCTTGTAATAACAGCCGTGGGATGGTCCAGAGCTCAGTGACGGCACTCCCTGATTCCCAAGTTAGTATCTTCTCCTCGAAGGGCAGCCCGATGAGATTGAAGAGTGCTGACAGGATACCCTTGGGATCTTGGAGAAGTTCATCCGCGTCGATGATGATCGCCTCTTGACCAAGCTGCTTCTTCACGTACTCGAACAACTCATGCATCTCTCGGAAGCCATAACCTTTCGGGAAAATCCTTGCAGGAAAGTCTGTAAGGCTGAATTCATCTGGAGACATCTTTGCCACTCCCTGGAACAGCTTCTTCCAAGACGAGAAGACCTTGAGAGGATGACGGATCAGGAACAAATGACGGTAACCTTTCGGGAGGAACTCCATCTGGTCTGTCACAGTGAAGGCCATGTCTTTACAGAAGATGAACTTCTTTCCGACGTGGGCTTTCTCAAGTTGCTCCTTGACCCACTGGGCATTGCATTGAGATGCATCAAACCCAGCTGATAACCCTGCAACTTCAGAAATCTCTTTCATCACAGCAACCATCGCCTCTTCGAGTTCAGCATTTTGGTACTTTTCAAGCTGTCTCATGGGGTCAAGAACATAGGCAGTGACATAGTTTTCGAAGAAAACCTTCGAGTTGTCAACGAAGCTCAGACATTTGGCCAGGACAGTTGAGATGGAGCGAGGAACAGTCCATATCATGAGTCGGACCTGCTGCTCAGACGAGGGAGGCTTGTCAGGGTTTGCCATCTGAAAACACACACACAAAAATCACCAGTGTAGTTTGTGCCTAAAAGGGGTTTTAAGGTAAACAGGGGACGTACTGTATGGACCTTTGTAAAATCATCCGAAAAGTAAAAAAAAAAAATCGGAAAAAATAGCATGAACGATTTCGGGTATGAACCTTTTTCATATCAAAACAAACAGTTGTTTGGTAAATTGTATTACTTATAACCTCCAGAACAAAGTAAGCATGATATACGTTTGACGCAATGTTACATTTACTAAACAAGAACAAGCATGATATAAAATGAGGACACCAACTCAAAAGGATTCCATTATCCTTTTGAGGCAGACAGTTTGTACCGAAGTGGAAGCAAACATTTTCCTACCTTGATCTCCGAGCCGTTGAATAAGCAAGCTGACTTGAGAATGGACTCGATATGAAGCAAGATATAGAAATGAATATCACACCGTCATGTGAATTTGGATACTGTATAGCTTTTAGGACTTTGGCATGTCGTTCAAAGGCAAAAACAACACGAAGCTACAGAACACAATATGTCAAAACAGATAACCCTGAGACCTATTCCACTTTGACCGTCAACCACCGTAGAAAACCAAACACTTCGCATGGTTTAGACAATCTGATTGTACCGAAACGATACCTTCACTAAACGTGATCAGATAATATCACAGTTGGTAGGATGACAAAGCACAAACTAATTATTATGGAAAAAAACTGCTTTCACCATCATCAGCGACTGTTGCAAAATTCAATTTTTGATTTGGAATAATAGGCCCTGTACCATGTCGAGCCGTGTCTTTACAATTTGCTGACGTGTCCTCAATGACTTTTGCTGATAAAAAGCTAATACAAAAAAGTGTGTGATTATCAAGACTTGTGCATTGATTGCAGCACATCTGTTTAACTCCTAAGGCCAAAAAAAAAAGTCTCCGGTTTCTGGTATGCGCGCGCGTCGCCGTAGCCATGCGCGTCGGCAAAATGAAAAAGTTTTTTTCAAGGAAAGATGATGTCTCAAAACCGCCAAACTCACTGGCTTGACTGAAATCATGCTGCTGCACAATTTTAACGTGTTTTTAGATTGGGTTATGGTCGAGAATAAGCTTTATGTGGCCTCTCTGGACTCCCATATATTTGCACTAAGTTTAGTCGGGCACCATTTGCAGTCATCAGCCGACATTTGAAGCAAAAAAAAATCAGGTAAAAGAAAAAAAAAAGCCGCGTCGCCGCACCACTTTTTGGGCAAGCTCCATACCAGAAACCGGAGACTTTTTTTTTGCCTTAGAAGAAAAACGAAGGACGCTCACAGGGGGAACGGAATGATAGAAACGCATCAAAGGGAACGAAACGAACTCCAGTGATGTGCACTGAATGAGACACAATAGCATGAATCTGGCAAAGGGACAGAGACAGTGAGCATACAGGATGGATATTTATTCAGATTAATTGGTAAAAACACCTATCTCCCAAAAATACAACTATCCAATTAAAAGTAGTATACCAAATTTGATTAAAAACCGTCCAACAGAGTAAAAATACATTAACAACAATAATTCCCTTAATTACAATAATTCCCTGAATAATATGACAAATCTGTGCGACAATTACATGTAGTCGTGTATATTATAATTATTTTGAGTTGCATTATAACAGTGTGTTAATTATCTCAAATTTCTGAAAGATTAACGAAATACAAAGTCAATTGCAAGACTGAGTAGGAAAATATATACTAGAAAAACTGCATATTAGTTATATTTCTACAGAAATTCTATTAATAGAGGATAGTCGTTGTGTTTTCCAAGCTTTTGATAGCATTTTTGAATACAACCGTTGAATGTCAATGAATCGAAAAATAAAAGTTTTGAATTTATGGGACGGAGCAGCGTTTTGTGCATTTTTACTTTGACGTAGGCCATGATGACATTTCATGCCAGATTGACTTATTCCTTAAACTTGAGCAGCCTTCGTATTTCTTAGACCTCATGGGTAGACTTTATGCGTATAGCGGCCATCTTATAGAGCATCCTTCGTTATTTTAATTCAGTAACAATGAGTGCTTAAAAGGTTTATTTCTGGTATGTCACAGCAAGACAAATGTATTGCCTTGATGACTGCTACCTATAAGGTCCATATGCGCCTCTTTTGAAAAATTGTGGGCAAGAGAGAGCGCTTTTTTCAGTGGGTGACCTCTCTTGTGTATTCACCCCGCAAATGTATTATATTATGTTATTCATTTTTTAAAAATTATTTCATTGAAAATAAAACATGACAAAAAATAAAAAGCCCCGCTTCCTCCTTTTTTTTCAAACACCCGGACGAAAAATATGTTTTTTTTTTTTATTCGGCCTAAGGAGCCAGCCGACAGTTTGCTTGTATGAGGCTTCATCCTAAGGCCAAAAAAAAGTCTCCGGTTTCTGGTATGCGCGCGCGTCGCCGTTGCCGTGCACGTCAATGAAAGATGATGTCTCAAAACCGCCAAACTCACTGGTTTGACTGGAATCATGCTGCTGCACAATTTTTTAGTGTTTTTAGATTGGGTTTTGGTCGAGAATAAGCTTTATGTGGCCTCTCTGGACTCCCATATATTTGCACTAAGTTTAGTCGGGCACCATTTGCAGTCATCAGCCGACATTGGAAGCAAAAAAAATCAGGTAAATAAAAAAAAACGCGTCGCTGCACCACTTTTAGGGCAAGCTCCATACCAGAAACTGGAGACTTTTTTGGGGGGGGGGGGGGGCGTAAAGTGGAAGTGTATAGTTTCTGACATCTTTGGCACTATCATTCGTGTAAGGTCACATCTCATGCACTGGTGGGATTTAAGTGTACAAATGAATTAGTTCATCGAAGCACTGTGAAATTCCTTTACACGACCCTTAAATTTGATCAAAGGGTCGGTTACCTTTTCTCACAATATCTAACTTGATATTATACGTATAATATAGTGCAGCAAGATTAAATGTAATACAATAATGTCCATACCTCGGTGCTTTTATACGCTTGTTTTCAGGTTAGCTTAGCTTCTTCAAAGCTACGGTTTTAATAAAGTTGGAATAAATGCGCACAATTAATAAATAAAAGTTTTTGAAAACATAAAATGGATCAAAATCCAGATTTGGAAGTTTGCAATTTGCGAATCTCTTCCTTGCAGTGATACTTTTCCATTGCATTTCTTTTTGACACAAATATCGAAACTACAAGGGTGCACGCCTGTAAATAGGCCAAACATCCGTCCGCCGAACTCATGAATAAAAGTTATACCCTCAAAATATTCTATATTAGAGAGTTTTGAGGGCCATTAAAATTGGGGAATTGAAGAGATATGGTAATGAACCTCTGGCCCGGACTTGGGGCTTCCAATTCTGAGCATTTTGGATGCTATTGGGCTCGAAAGTGGCGCTATTTTGCCATGTTGTGAAGGGATCGCTTTTCAAGGTGGCTACTTTTCCGCTTTGGGGAAACTATGGGGTCGTCTTCTTTGGGTGAGAATATCTCAAAAAGTCAATGGTCAACCCGCCAAAAATGAAAAGAAAATGAAAGATGACACATTGATCATCATTTTTCTGTGCAGCTTGAATACCTGTGAGAGTTTTGAGTATTTGTAAGAATTTTGAAGTATGCGCATTAAGCACTAGTGTCTATGGGATTTTTTTTTGCAGGTTTGCACCCACAAGACACACGGGCAGACAAACGTGTCTGCTGCCACCAATAGTTTAAAACTGTAAATTCATGGTCTAATAGTTGAACACAATAAAATGCGCGGAGCAAACGCCTAAAATACTACGGTCACACTGATTGGACGTCTGTATCCTTGCAGCGAAAACAGTTCTCGGTAACACAAACGCAATACTCAAACGTGTGTACTGTATAGTAGGGTGCGCCAGATAATTTGCTTGAATTGCCTACCTAGGTTGCTAAAAAAAGAGAGAATATTCACGCCTGAGTGGGTTTGCGACTTAGGCCATGTCGTGAATATTGGCGTCAATATTGGCGCAAATATTTATGTGCGATGTCCCTTTAAAGCCATACTAAGGTCACTCAGTCCTGGGATTACTTCTTTGGGTTTTATGTTGACGCACTTGGAGTTGAAATGGCCTGTTGACCAAAAAAAAAAAACCCTTTAATTTTGGGCAGAATTCAGCTAAGTTTGACCATGTCTGTCACTGGATTTCCGTCAGTATAAAATGCAAAGTTTATGAGTTTGAACAAGAGTGATATATAGCCTCTGTCATCACAAACCCATAGACCGATCTCTCAATACAGTGGAAAGGTCTTATGGTAATAGGCGCTGGGCGTGCATTGCCTCGTAGTACGGCATGGAGGCGTCTACCAAACGGAGGATGTCGGGAGAAAGAGATGAGCGATCGGGTAAAGCCCCAGGTTTCAGGAAGCACGTACTATCCAGTGCGTTCTGGTAGTAACCCCCCAGTTGGTTCCCTTGTAAGAATTGCTTTGGGATGGTCCAGAGCTCAGTGACTGCACTCCCTGCTTCCCAATTCAGTATCTTCTTCTCGAAGGGTAGCCCGATGAGCTTGAAGAGCGCCGACAGGATACCCTTGGGATCTTGGAGAAGTTCATCCGCGTCGATGATGATCACCTCTTGACCAAGCTTCTTCTTCACGTACTCGAACAACTCGTGTATCTCTCGGAATCCATAACCTTTCGGGAAAATCCTTGTTGGAAAGTCTGTAAGGCTGAATTCATCTGGAGACATCTTTGCCACTCCCTGGAACAGCTTCTTCCAAGACGGGAAGACCTTGAGAGGATGACGGATCAGGAACACGTGCCGGTAGCCCTTTGGGAGGAACTCCATCTGATCTGACATGGCGTAGGCCATGTCTTTACTGAAGATGAACTTCTTTCCGACGTGGGCTTTCTCAAGTTGCTCCTTGACCCACTTGGCATTGCATTGAGATGCATCAAACCCAGCTGATAACCCTGCAACCTCAGAAATCTCTTTCATCACAGCAACCATCATTTGGCCAGGACAGTTGAGGTGGAGCGAGGAACAGTCCATATCATGAGTCGGACCTGCTGTTCAGACGAGGGAGACTTGTCAGGGTTTGCCATCTGAAAACTCACACACACAAATCACCAGTGTAGTTTGTGGTTAAAAGGGGTTTTTAAGGTAAACAGGGCACGTACTGTATGGACCTATGTAAAATCATCCGAAAAGTAAAAAAAAAAACATCGGAGAAAATAGCATGAACAATTTCGGGTATGAACCTTTTTTTTTCATATCAAAACAAACAGTTGTTTGGTAAATTTTATAACTTGTAACCTCCAGAACAAAGTAAGCATGATATACGTTTGACGCAATGTTACATTTACTAAACAAGAACAAGCATGATATAAAATGAGGACACCGACTCAAAAGGATTCCATTATCCTTTTGAGGCAGACAGTTTGTACCGAGGTGGAAGCAAACATTTTCCTACCTTGATCTCCGAGCCGTTGAATAAGCAAGCTGACTTGACAATGGACTCGATATGAAGCAAGACATAGAAATGAGTATCACACCGTCATGTGAATTTGGATACTGTGTAGCTTTTAGGACTTTGGCATGTCGTTCAAAAGCAAAAACAACACGAAGCTACAGAACACAAGATGTCAAAACAGATAACCCTGAGACCTATTCCACTTTGACCGTCAACCACCGTAGAAAACCAAACACTACGCATGATTTAGACAATCTGATTGTACCGAAACGATATCTTCACTGAACGTGATCAGATAATATCACGGATGGTATGATGACAAAGCGCAAACTAATTATCATGGAAAAAACTGCTTTCACCATCATCAGCGACTGTTGCAAAATTCAATTTTTGATTTGGAATAATAGGCCCTGTAGGCCTACCATGTCGAGCAGTGTCTTTACAATTTGCTGACGTGTCCTAAATGACTATTGCTGATAAAAAGCTAATACAAAAAATTGTGTGATTATCAAGACTTGTGAATTGATTGCAGCACATCTGTTTAACTCCTAAGGCCAAAAAAAAAAGTCTCCGGTTTCTGGTATGCGCGCGCGTCGCCGTTGCCGGCCATGCGCATCGGCAAAATGAAAACGATTTTTTTTTCAATGAAAGACGATATCTCAAAACCGCCAAACTCACTGGTTTGACTGGAATCATGCTGCTGCACAATTTTAAGGTGTTTTTAGATTGGGTTATGGTCGAGAATAAGCTTTATATGTGGCCTCTCTGGACTCCCATATATTTGCAATAAGTTTAGTCGGGCACCATTTGCAGTCATCAGCCGACATTTGAAGCAAAAAAATCAGGAAAAAAAAAAAAAAAAAGCCGCGTAGCCGCACCACTTTTTGGGCAAGCTCCATACCAGAAACCGGAGACTTTTTTTTTTGTGGCCTTAGAAGACAAACGAAGGACGCTCACAGGGGGAACGGAATGATAGAAACGCGTTAAAGGGAATGAAACGAACTCCAGTGATGTGCACTGAATGAGACACAATAGCATGAATCTGGCAAAGGGACAGAGACAATGAGCATACAGGATGGAATAATACTTTATTTATTCAGATTAATTGGTAAAAACACCTGTGTCCCAAAAATACAAGTATCCAATTAAAAGTAGTATGCCAAATTTGATTAAAAACCGTCCAACAGAGTAAAAATACATTATCAACAATAATTCCCTTAATTACAATAATTCCCTGAATAATATGACAAATCTGTGCGACAATTACATGTAGTCGTGTATATTATAATTATTTTGAGTTGCATTATAACAGTGTGTTTATTATCTCAAAGTTCTGAAAGATTAACGAAATACAAAGTCAATTGCAAGACTGAGTAGGAAAATATATACTAGAAAAACTGCATAGTTATATTTCTACAGAAATTCTATTGATAGAGGATAGTCGTTGTGTTTTCCAAGCTTTTGAAAGCATTTTTGAATACAACCGTTGAATGTCAATGAATCGAAAAATAAAAGTTTTGAATTTATGGGACGGAGCAGCGTTTTGTGCATTTTCACTTTGGCGTAGGCCATGATGACATTTCATGCCAGATTGACTTATTCCTTAAACTTGAGCAGCCTTCGTATTTCTTAGACCTCATGGGTAGACTTTATGCGTATAGCGGCCATCTTATAGGGCATCCTTCGTTATTTTAATTCAGTAACAATGAGTGCTTAAAAGGTTTATTTCTGGTATGTCACAGCAAGACAAATGTATTGCCTTGATAACTGCTACCTTTAAGGTCCATATACGCCTCTTTTGAAATATTGTGGGCAAGAGAGAGCGCCTTTTTCTCAGTGGGTGACTTCTCTTGTATATTCACCCCGCAAATGTAATATATTATGTTATTCATTTTTTAAAAATTATTTCATCGAAAATAAAACATGACAAAAAATAAAAAGCCCCGCTTCCTCCTTTTTTTCCAAACACCCGGACGAGAAACATGTTTTTTTTATTCGGCCTAAGGAGCGAGCCGACAGGTTGCTTGTATGAGGCTGCATCCTAAGGCCAAAAAAAAAAGTCTCCGGTTTCTGGTATGCGCGCGCGTCGCCGTTGCCATGCGCGTCGGCAAAATTAAAACTAGGGGTCGTCTTCTCAGTTTGGGTGAGAATATCTCAAAAAGTCAATGGTCATTCCGCCAAAAATGAAAAGAAAATGAAAGATGACACATTGATCATCATTTTTCTGAGCAGCTGAAATACTTGTGAGAGTTTTGAGTATTTGTAAGAATTTATAAGTATGCGCATTTAGCACAAGTGTCTATGGGATTTTTTTGCAGGTTTGCACCCACAAGACACACGGGCAGACAAACGTGTCTGCTGCCACCAATAGTTTAAAACTGTAAATTCATGGTCTAATAATTGAACACAATAAAATGCGCGGAGCAAACGCCTAAAATACTACGGTCACACTGATTGGACGTCTGTATCCTTGCACAAACACAAACGCAATACTCAAACGTGTGTACTGTATAGTAGGGTGCGCCAGATTATTTGCTTGAAATGCCTACCTAGGTTGCTAAAAAAAGAGAGAATATTCACGTCTGAGTGGGTTTGCGACTTAGGCCATGCCGTGAATATTGGCGTCAATATTGGCGTCAATATTTGCGACTTGGGTCCATGTCGTGAATATTGGCGTCAATATTGGCGCAAATATTTGCGACATGGAGGCCATGTCGTGAATATTGGCATCAATATTGGCGTCAATATTTATGTGCGATGTCCCTTTAAAGCCATACAAAGGTCACTCAGTCCTGGGATTACTTCTCTGGGTTTTATGTTGACGCACTTGGAGTTGAAATGGCCTGTTGACCAAAAAAAAAAACCCTTTAATTTTGGGCAGAATTCAGCTAAGTTTGACCATGTCTGTCACTGGATTTCCGTCAGTATAAAATGCAAAGTTTATGAGTTTGAACAAGAGTGATACATGTATATAGCCTCTGTCATCACAAACCCATAGACCGATCTCTCAATACAGTGGAAAGGTCTTATGGTAATAGGCGCTGGGCGTGCATTGCCTCGTAGTACGGCATGGAGGCGTCTACCAAACGGAGGATGTCGGGAGAAAGAGATGAGCGCTCGGGTAAAGCCCCAGGTTTCAGGAAGCACGTACTATCCAGTGCGTTCTGGTAGTAACCCCCCAGTTGGTTCCCTTGTAAGAATTGCTTTGGGATGGTCCAGAGCTCAGTGACTGCACTCCCTGCTTCCCAATTCAGTATCTTCTTCTCGAAGGGTAGCCCGATGAGCTTGAAGAGCGCCGACAGGATACCCTTGGGATCTTGGAGAAGTTCATCCGCGTCGATGATGATCACCTCTTGACCAAGCTTCTTCTTCACGTACTCGAACAACTCGTGTATCTCTCGGAATCCATAACCTTTCGGGAAAATCCTTGTTGGAAAGTCTGTAAGGCTGAATTCACCTGGAGACACCTTTGCCATTCCCTGGAACAGCTTCTTCCAAGACGGGAAGACCTTGAGAGGATGACGGATCAGGAACACGTGCCGGTAGCCCTTTGGGAGGAACTCCATCTGATCTGACATGGCGTAGGCCATGTCTTTACAGAAGATGAACTTCTTTCCGACGTGGGCTTTCTCAAGCTGCTCCTTGACCCATTGGTAGTTGCATTCAGATATATCAAACCCAGCCGATATCTCCGCTGCCTCAGAAAAGGCTTTCTCCACAGCACCCATCGCCCTTTCGAGTACGGCATTTTCATACTCGTCAGGTCCTAGAGCGGGATCAAGAACATAAGCACTGACATAGTTTTCGAAGAAAACTTTTGAGTTGTCAACAAAGCTCAGGCATTTGGCCAGGACAGTTGAGATGGAGCGAGGAACAGTCCATATCATGAGTCGGACCTGCTGCTCAGACGTATGGTTATTGTTTTCCATCTGCAAGTAAAAAAGAAGAAGACTTTTAAGACAAGCGAGAGTGGGATGGTTATTGGACCATTGTAAGCAAATTAGGTGTCGGACCCTTAGGCCAAAAAAATAGTCTCCGGTTTCTGGTATGGAGCTTGCCCAAAAAGTGGTGCGGCGACGCGGATTTTTTTTTTTTTTACCTGATTTTTTTTGCTTCAAATGTCGGCTGATGACTGCAAATGGTGCCCGACTAAACTTAGTGCAAATGTATGGGAGTCCAGAGAGGCCACATAAAGCTTATTTTCGACCATAACCCAATCTAAAAACACCTTAAAATTGTGCAGCAGCAGGATTCCAGTCAAACCAGTGAGTTTGGCGGTTTTGAGACATCATCTTTCATTGAAAAAAACCCTTTTTCATTTTGCCGAAGCGCATGGCTACGGCGACGCGCGCGCATACCAGAAACCGGAGACTTTTTTGGGGCCTTAAGTAAGGGGTTTTCTCATTTAAGTTTGCTTCAATACACACACACAGCCACAAGGATACAAAAGAAAGAGTGAACTGAGAGAGAACAAATAGAAATAAGAGGTGAACATTTTATTTGGAAATAATCAAATTTTTGAGAAACCATTCTTCGGGAAGCGAGGAAAACTTCCAAAAATTTTACGCAGTATTCTTGTTTGTGAAAGATATACAACTGCGTTTGACGCAATGTTTATCTGTCTTAGAAAGCATTCCAGTGACAAAATAATGTGTTCTAGCTTTCAAATTACATAAAGGAAGTATTGACGTAAACATTTTCTTACCTTATTCACAAAGCCGTCGAGTATCCAAGCTCAGTTGGCAAATCAGCCCACTTGAGGTCTGTCAGTCACCGCGAACTAATCTATTTTAATGTGAACACTGCTCTGGCCATTGACACAACTGTTTCACAACACAAAATGTTAATACCTTTTCCATTTACAAAATGTATGATCAAACCGATCATCTATCAAACAGAAATCTTCAAAGATTGTGAACAAATATTGAATCTTTGAAGGAACGATAACAAGGCGATTGGCCTTTGAACCCAATAGACCATTATCATGTTGTAGCCATTTGATTTTTTCCCATTCAAATCCATGTAGGCTGGAGGGAAAACAGTCTGGTTCCTTTTTGCACAAAATACATTATCATTCAGTACTGTTATTAGATACAGGGAACATGACTTAAATGGTGGAAGCATGATATAGGTCTATAATCGGTAGTTTATCATCATTAAGCCTATTAACTTTTGCAAACTCATCATTCGATTTGGGATAAAGTTGGTCCGACCATTTTGTTAAGCCGTATCTTGCGTATCTTTGCGTACATGTTCTCAATGGCGTCTGAGTAATATGGGGCGGGATTAAGTGTTCCGTAGGCCCTATAGGCACCAGTGTTCAGTAGGACCTATGGGGGAGGGGGTAGGGGGATGGGGGTATAGACCCCATGCACTTTTCCATGGGGTGGGGGCTCCCACTCTTGGCAGGTTTCAGAATAGTGTGGACCTACTCTATTACAGGTCCTATATCTGGGTAATCAGACGTTCTCTATTCTACTATCTCTGGAAATAACAGGATCAAAATAGGACAAGATAAGTTTGCTGTAGCACCATGTGAATAAATATCTTTGTGAGTATGTGTGGTTCTGAAAAGAACCGGAGGGACTCAACGTTTCGAATAGTATGCTCTGCCTGTCGTCAAAATAATAATCATGATCACGAGAAACAGTTTTGGGTGGAGGGGGAGTGGGTAGTGTGTAACATTCACCGAAAAGGAGAACATAGAAAATGGCGCCCCCTATCTACGAATGAGGGCCAGGGCACAGAAAATAAACAGAAAAGGACGCCCTATCAACGAATGAGGCCCCCCCCCGTTTCCCCCCCCCCCCGATTTTGCCACGGGCGGCCGGCTGGCTGGCACTAGCAGTGCTTGCCCTCTCCCCCTACTTTCAGAGCAGTTCCGCCGCTGCTGACCCATATCAAAGTGCCGCCGGTCCACATAACAAATATCACGCAAAAGGACTTGTCACATGGTCCCCATAACCATTTGCGCACCCGGGGGGGGGGGGGGCCCTCAGGGGTCTTGCCCCCCCCCCAAAGAGGTTGCCATGTTGTTGCCTTTTTTTGAGTCAATTTCTTTTTGTCCCACAATTTGACCGTGGTGATAATGGCCTATTTTTGAGTAGTATAATAGGTGTGTAGGTGGCGCCACCAACGACAAAATAGTCCCCCCCCAAAAAAAAAACACCCCAATTTTTTTCGGCGGCCAAAAAAGTTGGGCAACATTTTATGAAAAATTCAAATTTCTAAAATAATAATTGTGAGCCCCGACCCCAAAGCCAAATCCCGGGTGCGCCACTGCCCATACTAACGGAACAACCTAACAAGACTATGAAGTTTCGTCAGGCTCCTAAAAATGTTCGTGGGCCCCGAATTGTTCGTAGGCCGTGGCCGTAAAGGCACAGTGCCTCGGTCCTCATCCGGCCCGAGGAGGGTTCGCTTTGAAGTAATAATCAGTCAGGCAGTATAATTACGATATCAATTCACTACTAAGGCGCACTTTTGAGAGAATGCGCCCAAACGTGGTCTCGAAACTTGTCTGTAGTGGTCGGCCCTGCTAGTCGGGAGGGGGGGGGGGGAGATCCGTCCAAGGAGGATGGGGGGCTCACTCAATCAACACGGCAATCATTGGACTTCGGACACCCTTCCTGATTTGCTCTTAAAACAATGATTAAGTTTATTAGACGATCAAGTCCAGGCAAATCACATAGAACAAGGAAACCACAAAACCCCCGACGTCTTAAAGTTTGCCCCAAAGTACCAGAAAGATCAGATAGCTAGGCTGGCGCTATTTCACAAGGAGCCGACACAGCAAATAAGCCACGCTTCGGAGCTGCAGGAGTCAAGCATGGGAACTATCCGAAAACGTGCAAGACTTTGCAAGTGCAATGAATACAAAATAATAATGTATACAATGTAAGCCACTTCCGGCTGACGGGTGTGTTGTCGAAAGAAAAGAAGTTTTCTGATGTAATGGAGAAGGTCATCCGCTCAGCTGATGATATCGCGTCTTGGAACAGAACTTTGGTCCTCAAAAATATAGAGCAAATCTTTTCTAGCACTATATAGATCACTTTTGAGTCCCCATGCACGTTTAGTTTCACGTTTAGTTTCATATGAAACATGCGTTATTTTCCGCCCGACATTAAAATTAGGTGTATCTTTTTTTGTGCGTTGTGGGCGAAACTGCAGACCAAAATTAAAGTGTATAAAAGCTTTATCCGTTTATATGTTGAATTTAAAAAAATCGCATTGAAAATGCGCTCGAAGAAAAAAGAAAACATGTTGAAGAGCATGGATAGAGCAAAAATGTCGGGAAAGTTTTATGCTGACAATCGCTGGGCGTACATTTTCTCGTACAGCGGCATGGAGGCGTCTACCACACGGAGGATGTCGGGAGAAACAGATGAGCGATCGGGTAAAGCCCCAGGTTTCAGGAAGCACGTACTATCCAGTGCATTCTTGTAGAAACCTCCAAGCTGGTCTCCTCTTAATAACAGCCGTGGGATGGTCCAGCGCTCAGTAACTGCATTCCCTGCTTCCCAGTGTAGTATCTTCTCCTCGAAGGGCAGCCCGATGAGCTTGAAGAGCGCCGACAGGATACCCTTGGGATCTTGGAGAAGGTCATCCGCGTCGATGATGATCGCCTCTTGCCCAAGCTCCTTCGTCACGTACTCGAACAACTCGTGTATCTCTCGGAAGCCATGACCTTTCGTGAAAATTCTCGTAGGAAAGTCTGTAAGGCTGAATTCATCCGGAGGCAGCTTTGCCATTCTCTGGAGCATCTTCTTCCAAGATGGGAAGACCTTGAGAGGATGACGGATGAGGAACAAATGACGGTAACCCTTCGGGAGGAACTCCATCTGATCTGATATGGCGTACGCCATGTCTTTACAGAAGATGAACTTCTTTTCGACGTGGGCTTTCTCGAGCTGCTCCTTGACCCATTGGTAGTTGCATTCAGATGCCTCAAACCCAGCCGATATCCCCGCCACTTCAGATGCGTTTTTAAAAGCAGCACCCATCGCCTCTTCGAGTTCAGCATTTTGGTATTTGCCAAGCTGTCGCGTGGGGTCAAGAAGTGAGGCAGCGACATAGTTTTCGAAGAAAACTTTTGAGTTGTCGACGCAGCTCAGACATTTGGCCAGGACAGTTGAGGTGGAGCGAGGAACAGTCCATATCATGAGTCGGACCTGCTGCTCAGACGAGGGAGGCTTGTCAAGGTTTGCCATCTGAAAAAATAAACCAACAAATATTTTTCTTGTACCAGTAAGCCTATACAGTGCATTTTAAAAATGCTTTTGGGACGCACTGGACCTTTGTAAAGGAGTAATTCATGTTTCGTATCTCATTTTTTGAAGTGAGAGAAATTATCATTTAAAATGTGCAGCATGCCAAAAAAAAAAAAATCATTATATCATTTGGTTTTAAAAACTTTTGAAAAATCAAACGAAAAAGTATCGGAGAAATAGCATGAGCAGTTGCAGGGTTGGAGGGTTTCGGCGAAACACTCAGTTTTTGTTAATCTGTTCATCATGAGATAAAAAAAAATCATGAGATAAGAAAAATCGCAAATTCTTGGGAAGTGTTAATCTAGACGGTTTTTTTTTACTAATAAACAGAGGTTTTCGGTTGCTGGTTCTAGCACACTGTAAGCAAAACCTGTAAAAAACATTGTCCGTTTTCCTTACTTTTTACGGCTTATTATAGTTGTTGCTCGAACCATCCACCCTCCCCCCCCCCCCCAAATAAAAATCCGTGCTACGTAAATGTCCCGTAAAATTTGGTGCCCTGACGCATGCTGGGATTCACAGTGCTTTTGTAAGGCCAAAAAAAAAAGTCGGTCTCTGGTCAGACCACAGTTCCGGAATTGATGTGGCGACGCGGTTTGTTTTTTGGTTTTTTTTTTAAAGCTTGGATTGTACAGACAAGGTGGGTTCTATTTTTTGCTTTTTTGTGTTCTCATATACATTGGTGTCCTCCATAATTTGCCTTTGTGCCCTCCATCATTTGCTTTGGTGCAATTTCCCCATTCCTTGGTACAAAAATTTGAGGAGGTGCGGCAATAGAGGGCGCTGGACGGTAGCTACCGCGGACAATTTGAAGAAAGGTTGACGCACATGATTAAAATCGACACGCGCGCTGACCAGAGACCGACAATTTTCTCTTTGGCCTAAACCATCTTTAAAAAAAGAAGAAAAAGCTGTGATTCGTTTACAATGTACAAACATAATGCCGTATGATGCATATATTATGCATGCATAGCGCGCCCCAAATACCCGCAACTTTATTTTTATAAAAATGGCGGCGGAAACACGTACCGCCATTATTTTTATACCATTTTAACGCTTGCAGTATCTTAAATTACTCCTGCCGTGCACGGCGAGTATTGGTTTGATAATCATGTAGTATTCGTTTTCAAATAAAGGCATGTCGAAAACAAATACACTGATTACAAGGGAAATCAATGATGTGTGGTACATCAGATGCGAACTCGAGCCAACAAGTTGATGAAATAAGGAAAAAAACAGTTAATTTATATTGAAAACCACATTGGACGTGAAACAAAGAACAATATTGTGAATTAATTTAAGGTGTGGCCTACGTGTATCGAAAAGAAAAATAAGGCAACGAGATCGTCACATCATGAACATGATGAAGTATTTCCACATTACAAAAAAAATGACGGTGATTGATTTTCCTTGAAATCGGTTGAGTTTGTTTTTGACATGCCTTTGCTTGAACACAAATTATTTCGAAACCCTTTTGAAAATCAAACCAATACTTACCAGGGATAAAGTTAGGATTCCAAGCTTTAAAATGATATAAAACTAATGGCAGTACGTGCTTCCACAGCGACGCTATAGAGCATCGCATGAAAATGTTGCGGGTATTTGGGGACGCGCTGTACAAATCTGATCGTAATGCTGTTAAAGCTGTAATGATTCGATATTGCCATAATATAAGGAAAGGACATTGCATATAATAATATTTGGAGAGCCATGCAGCTAATCATGCGGTGTTGACCAGCAATAGGTCGACCCCTTTCTGTGGGCTCAGTAAAAAAGTTGTAAATGAAACTTAAATAACAACTTGCAGATGCAAGTAACGTTGCAACTTAAAGATAATTTCACACAATTTTTTGTACGATATGAAAACCATCATGTGTGTAAAGACAAGCTGCAAAAAGTAAGCATGCCCCACTCACAGCTGCCCTAGGAACCTATCCCCCTTCCCCGCCATATCCTGCACCCACCCGGCCCCGACCGCACCCCACTTTGTATCCCTTTACTTTACGGCAAGTTACCGTTGAATTTACGGGAAATCCGTGTTGAAATTACGGTCACCGTCATTTTTAGGAAACCAGTTGCTGACCGTAATTTTAAGTTTTTTGTTGGCAACCTGGCCGTTTGACAGTGAATTTAATTACCGACAAATTACGGACAACTTTTCTGTACAGTGTACCCGGCCTTCACCGAAAGCTCCCAAACAACCTTCCCGACAAAGTGAGCACAATGTAGGGGGCCTACTGACGGATAGAAAATGAGGAAACCAACTCAAGAGGACGTTGGTACTTTTGAGGCAGAAAGTGTGTACCAAAGTTAAAATAATCCTTTTCCTACCTTGATCTCCGAAGCAAGCTGCGTCGGTAATAGACTCGATTTGAAGCAGGAATTAAAATGAATATCACACGGTTATGTGAACTTATCTATTGCAGTTACTACTTGTACTCTAGCATTTCGTTCAAGAGCAAAAACAACCCAAAGCTAAAGAACACAAGATGTCAAAACCGACAACCAGTTTCCCACTTCGGACCGTCAGCCACCTCAGGCAACCAAACATACACTACGTATCATTCACAGATGTCAGCGTTTTATACGCAACCCGAGTTTTACTCAACGAAATCTGCACAGAACGTGACCAGACATTTATTCACAGTAGTACCACGACAAAGCGTCAAGCTATTGAACCAAATAAATGGGGAAAACTGCTTCATGCGGTGACCTCTGACTGCGTGAAATGCATTGATCGATTTAGCCTTTGCCAATGCTGGTTAGAGTCCAATTTTCGAAGGTTGTCGGAGAATAATGTACGTGCAGGTCCAACCTCGTCTCCGGGGTGTCGAGCAGTACGCGCCCACCACTACCTGCTCTCTCACCCTGGTATTGGATCATTTGCATGTGCAAGATTTTTGAACACGTATGCAAATTAGGAATAGTCTAGTGCCTGCCTTTGCGTTTGTTTTTGTATGCGGTGTCTGGGGTAAAAACAGAATCAATTCGTCGCAGCGCGAGCATGGCGTGAGTGGCGCGAGTAACGAAAACACGATTTAATTTTAATTAAACTGTAACGATCTTAAACGAGACAACTTCGCTCGTACCCCCGCCCTGCAAACAGGACGCTGGGATACTCTGATGAATTCACGCTCTGATTGGTTGGATTTTGCGTGACCAGTGACCTGTGCGTCATCGAGGTCATGACTCTGCAAGGTTTGAAACGGCCGTTAAGACTGATTCATTACTCTTTTATTCCAGTTTAGAGATGTTTTTTTCTCGTTGAAAAGCGTAATAATGTAGGAAATTCTGTAAAACTTATCTGTGTTGTAAATTTACAATTCACGTCACTCGCTCAGGCTCCGTTTCGAATGACGAACGGTCGGATTGCATTATGTCCACATGGTCCGCGCTGAATCAGAAATCATATCCGGTATGGAATGTGCGCAATTCTATGGGAAGTTTTCGGATAGCATTTGCGCACATTGTCTAACTGCGGTCTTAAACAGCTGCAGCCAGATGCTTTATACATAGGTCATAGGCCATTTCCTTCACAAGATTCTGTGAAGCTCATCAGAGTATCCCAGCGTCCTGTTTGCAGGGCGGGGGGTACGAGCGAACGAGACAACGTGCAGTATCACATGTCATATTAATATTAACAAATTGGAAAGGAAATGAATATTTTCGAGAATGCGTGGACGAATGATCGCGAAAACACGTACTGCACGTTATGAATAACAACACCAAGTACACGATATAAATCCATTTCTAGCCAATTGCGGTATCGAATCAGGATACAGGAAGAAAGCTTCCTATCCAGGGCTTACTATTGGAAACGAGGTTGGAAATAAAGTAAGCACTGGGGACGAGGTTGCATGCAGGTCCTACTCAACATGTATTGGAGAATGTATAGCCACACTTTTCAAACTACATGTCCATGTAAAATATGAACCTCCACCACCAATCATTGGCGGATCCAGAACACAATTTTGTGGGGGAAGGGGGAGGGGCACAACAATTTTGGACCCCCGAAAAAGTGGGCGGATCCAGACTGCCATTTGCCGGGGGGCCTAGAATTGTAATGAAGGGTCCAGGACCTGCGAGCGCGCAGCGCGAAGCCCTTTACGGCGTGGGGTCCGTGGCCCGCGTAAGGGCCCCGGAAAAATTTGGATTTTAGATGCTCTGTGGTGCAATCTGAGGCGATTCCTGGCCACTTCCACCGTTTAGAAAACGTTTTAAACATCGAAAATTCCATTTAAATTTGTTATTTTTTTGGTTCTTTATAAAGTTTGTTATACTCAAAGTTGAGAACCATGTTCCATCTCCGTATTTTTTCACAATTTTCTATTTTGGAAAGAGATTTAGGCCACTTGTAGTCCGAGCCTCAGCCATTCGCTGCTGAAGGTACAAATAAGGTGGGGGCACCGCTAGGGTGAAATTATAGCATAGAGGGAATTTGGCCGGAGGACTAATGCGAGCGCGGAGCGCGAAGCACTTACGGCTTGGGGTCCGGGGCCCGCTTAAGGGTCCCGGGAAATTTTGGATCGTAGATGCTCTGTGGCGTGATCTGAGGCGTTTCCTGGCCACTTTCCCCTGATTTTTTTAGCAGAAGTTTTTAAAATTATGAGGGGATATTTTGTTTCATTTGTTTCTAATACATATAGGCCTATATACTCTTGCTTTTATAAAGTGTCTTCTGTATTCAAAGCTTAAAGCAGGGAACAGACACAACCCAGACTCAAATCCCGGCGCCCCTTTGCCTCAAGTGGAAAGGATCTATTGTCAACTATCCAACCCACTGAATCAAAGGCCCACTGGATGGCCAGGATGTGGACACAGAAGTGGCAGTCATCCCCTAACCATCTGCATAGATACATTCCTGTACCATCCAGAAGTTGCCCAGGATCTGATCTCCCACGACAGGCATGGGTTAAACTAAACAGGCTCCGCACCGGAGTCGGGCGTTTCAATGCTGACATGGTGGGGCCTATCCCAGAGCCCAGCTTGCGAATGTGGAGCGGAGCAGCAGACTGCTGACCACATCATCTCCGAGTGCCCCCTCTATCGCCCCCCAAATGAGTACCAAGGCCTGATCGATGTTGATGTTGATGCAGCAACCCGAGAGTGGCTTCTCAGCAAGCACCCAGAGATCTAACTACCTCGTTGTTTTGGTTTTCACACGCAAGAAGAAGAAAGCTTAAAGTTGAGAACATGCACATAATTTGTAATTGTTCCGCACTCGGTTACATAACTGACATGAATTTGAATATTTCATTACAGCGGATCCATATTTAGGGAGCGTGACAAACTGGCATGAAACCGTATTAGAAAAAATATTTTAATAGAATCTGAAGTGGCCATTGTTTGATTTTGTTTAGTCACCAAGCCCGGAGCGTGAAAACGGTTTGACCTTCATACGCATTGTACGTGGCAGTTGTCCGCGTGCAGTCTCATGGACGTATGACGCGCTAAACAATACGCGAAATGAGACTCCACTACAGTTTGTTTTACCTTGGTTTTATCCGCGTATCGTGCAGCCATCATAACCTGCGCATATAAGTCTTAGTAGGTGCGTGAAAATTGCCACACCTTTTGAATGATTGTTCTTCCTCAAACTCAAAACGCGTGACCCGTCGGATAACCGTCCGTTTTTCACCGATAGTATACATTTTAAAATATTTGCCGGGGGGCGTGCGCCCCCTGCGCCCTCCGCTGGATCCGCCAATGGGTCAAACTGGGAAAGTTTAGGTTTATTCGATTCTTTATTCCAAGTAGTTGAACAAAGACAGCGGGCAATTCCCGAAAGGTCGTCCCCTTTCCTCCATCAACACAATGAAGGAAAATGTTCTGCATATGAGTTATATATAAAAAATAATGCTCGGTCTGTATAACAGGCAGAGTTTCGCACGTACCAATAATACAGAAAAAAATAAAGAAAAAAAAGGGAAAAAAGGGAGAAAATAAATCAATACCTGTGCCATATTGTCACTGAGAAGGTATAGCTTTGTTCTGGAAAGGAGACAAAAGGACAAAACAAAAACGGAGTGTATTTATTTATTCATTTATTTATTCCATTATTCATAAATTTATATGTTTACTCACTTATGCATTTATTGATTCATTAATTTAAGTAGTAGCTCCTCTTCCTTTATAAGGCCAACAAAAAAAGTCTCCGGTTTCTGGTATGGAGCTTGCCCAAAAAGTGGTGCGGCGACGCGGCTTTTTTTTTTTACCTGATTTTTTTTCTTCAAATGTCGGCTGATGACTGCAAATGGTGCCCGACTAAACTTAGTGCAAATATATGGGAGTCCAGAGAGGCCACATAAAGCTTATTCTCGACCATAACCCAATCTAAAAACACGTTAAAATTGTGCAGCAGCAGGATTCCAGTCAAACCAGTGAGTTTGGCGGTTTTGAGACATCATCTTTCATTGAAAAAAATACTTGTTCATTTTGCCGACACGCATGGCTACGGCGACGCGCGCGCATACCAGAAACCGGAGACTTTTTTTTTTGGCCTAATGGACATTTCTTCGTTTGTCACGGGTTTTAACGATATCTTTATGATGTAGACTTCCTTCAAGTGAGTCAAACGACATCCAAAATTATGTGGGTGATAACAGAGTCTAAATCATTAATGCGCATCAACATCTACCCTGAAAGGCATATTATGATTTGTCTAGAAAAACGTGGACTTGTATGGATGTTGGTTTGTAAATGGGTAATTCCATGAAAATTTTACGAAATGCCAAATTTTCAAGATTGGTTTAGCTGCAAATCTCCAGTTGTTTTCAACTATGCACCAGGTTCGCACTCGCTGATCAACTTACAAATCATGAATGCAGAATGAACTAAAATTGGCCTATGTTCGCGCGGGCTTGCGCTTCCATGTGATGGGCGCGCGTTGCGAGTTAGCCCACGTCACGTACGTATACATATCCATGTACGTGCAAACGCGGAATGCATACTTACCATATCAATATTGACGATTGTTTTTTAATACACTTTGAAACTTATTCAATAAATTCCCCGAATTCGCCCGTTTCATACTTGGTATTTATTAGTTTTTTTCTTTTTAATTTGTTCCGTGGAAATTAAAAAAAAAAATCTCTCTCCCTTTCTTTATTTTCTTATTTTGGCACTCTCTTTTCCCTCCATATTTTTACATGGCAAAGGGGGGTGTTTAACAGCCAAAACACCCCCCTGCGTACGCGCCTGCTTGGCGTCTATATAAAGAAAGGCCAGTTTCAATTTTTGATTGACCTCAAACTTCAATCAATAATGATAGATCGATTAAATGAAGCGTTTCCCGATTTTTTTTAAAACTTAATCTATTTTTATAATTCACCTTTCCTTTATTTGTTTAATTTTCTAATTATTATAATAAGGCCTATTTGAGATGATTACTTTATATTAAATGTTTCTCGAAACTGGTCTCTTGAGTTTCTTTACAGTTTTTTAAATATTTTTTATTGAGAACGTGTAGTTGATGTACGCACCAGGGTGACCGTTTTAGCTGATTTTCGGCTAACTTTGACAGATTTTTTTGTTAAAAAAAAAGAGTTTGACAGCAAATTTACAGAATGGATTTTTTTGGCAGATTTCTGGCAGAATTCTGCAAAAATGGTTATTTGACAGAAAAAACATAGCAAAGTTGAAAAAAATTGTACATTATTTTGTTTAAATCTTTTCAAACAAACCATTGCACAAGGGCGGATCCGGGGGGGGGGGGGCCAAAGGGGGCATCGCAATAAAGGCAGGCAATGAGTACACCACCATCTTTTCCTCAAAAAAACATTGGTTAAAGTGGTCAGAAATTGCCTCAGATCGCACCACAGAGCATCTAGAATCCAAAAAAATTTCGGGGCCCTTAAGCGGGCCCCGAACCCCACGCCGTAATTTTTTGACCCACTTTTTTGGGGGACCAAATTTTTTTTTGGCCCCCCCAAAAATTGTGTTCTGGATCCGCCCTTGCCATTGCATAATGGAACAGGTTGGCTGGTCTATAGGTGCTGAGGTTCACTGGTTGTGATGTTTTGCCTGAAATTTACGCAATAATTTCTTAACATAAATGTGACTACAGATCGTTTATAATGTAATTTGAACCTTAATTAAGGCAATACTACAAATCTGCATGTGATTTTAAGTGTTTATGGTGTATTTCGAGTAATTCTTGGGAATTTGGCAGATTTTTGATAAATCTGACAGATTTTTAAAGTGCATTTAGCAGAATTTGGCCATGACCTTACGGTCACCCTGTACGCAGCTAGCTAGCGTTGCTAGCAACGACATGCTGACATGGCGGTGGTCCCGGTTGGTTTGCGTTCCTTCTACGACAGAATAACCATGGAGGGAGGAACACAAACAACACAGGAATGACATGATTGTAAGGGAATTTGATGAACCGAGAAGCTTCTTTCCTCTGACACATAAAACATTTCCTTGAATTAACACAGACCAGCTTAGGCCAAAGTTAAACTAGCAAACTTGTCGCCTCTGTTGTGTCGGAAATGCACGACTTTATCATTTCTCGTAGTGTGCGCGCAGTGGGCTGGATTCTTGTCGCACTAGTAATCAGTGCAACAAATATAATATGGGTTACTCCATGAAGTTGGAATAATAGCTGATAATGCTGAAATGGAAAAAATTCCGTACTCGGACGTCACTTTTTTCAATTAATTTTCTACCGCCAAAAGTTACATCTTTTATGGTTATTCCTCCACTTTCCCTCCTCTACTCTCACCCTCTCCTTTCCTTAATTTCTATTTATTAATCAGTCAGTTACTTCATCGGGATTCGAACCTCTGACGCTTGCTTGATACACGAGACTCTTAACCGCTAGGCGGCGCACGATCGCTGTTGCAATAATCAATCTTTGGACGTATTTGAAGTATCCATTGAAATAAACTGTCTAAATATTCATGAGAAAATAAATATTCATAATGACGTATTGCACTATCATTGGCAGGCTCATGCGACGTCATGGTTGTTGATGTCACGTGTATAACGTACCGCTGTCTTTCAGCCACTACAATCAGTTTTGACCGGCTGCTTCAAGTTAGTTCTGCACGACGTATGCATCCAAAATGTGCTCTAAAAACACATTTTGAGTAAATTTTTTTCACCTTTACACAGCTTCCTGGATTTCTCTTGGTTCAAATGACAAGGTGAGGTGACAATTAATATGTTTGGCAGCAGATAAATTGACGTCTGAGTACGGAACTTTTCCCGCTGAAATTACTCTCTTTGTTATCAATTTGTAAAAAATTTAGTCTTTCAAATCCTTCAAAGTAACGTAACATTTTCCTCAAAGGATATGATGTTACTTTTAAAAATAAAATCAAACTAGGACTGTATCTGCCCTCAAATAATTTTTATTGGGCAAAATGTGTGCAAAAACCACTAAAAATGTCAGTAAAAAGTGTGACATTTAAATTACCAGAAACATGTGTTTTTATTTTTTTTGTTTTGTTGCAAAAATGCCAACTGATCAATCCTTTTAAGTAATTTACTATTAGATTAAAGTCATATTCACCCATATCTATGCATAAAATTGTACAAAAGCTGCTCGTGTTGATATTACATGCATGTGAAAATTCTGTTACCTATGCTAAATTTGGTGTCCGCACTTTTTGTGTCCTGTAGCATAGGTACTAAGGCTTGCTATCTCCATACAGTACACCGTATCTGAAAGATTTTGATTTTAATATGTTCAACTCACTCCAAGTTGAGTTTTTAAAAAGTTGAATTCTCCAAACTTGCTGCTGTTTATAAGATGCAAGAAGAAAAAGTATCATTTTTTGAAATGGTGTCCATGTAGCATCGGTATTTTCAAACTAAAGAAACCCCTCAAGCTGAAATACCTCCACACATACTGACACATCTTAACCTTTGGTAAATAGTAATTGGATGGATATTCAAAATAAAACATGCTTTGGAAAATTGTTCTTCAGCAATTAAGATTTATGTTCCAAAATATAGCGCGGTGTCCAAATGTAGCATAGGTAGAAAATGTAGCATAGGTAAGAGAGTATTCCTTTAGTTGTGAAGCTATGATTGTAGACAAATTATTTTTTTAATGTTAGAACCAAGAAAGTGGTTAATTACAATAAATTAATAACAATCAGATACAGATGAACTCTATTTTACATAAGGGTTTGCTCCTCTAAAGTGAAAATTGATAAATAGGACACGGTGTCCATGTAGCATAGGTATTGTTCCACACTCTATAATTCATACATACATCCAAATTATGTATCCAAAATTCAGCTTCTGTATTCGGTTTGCATGCCCACTGCCATAAAACATGATTTAGCCATTTTTTGCTTAATTTTCAGTTAATTACTGGATAAATTGTGCTGTTTTCTACCTATGCTACAGGACATGGTGTCCATGTAGCATAGGTAAAATTGACACATTGTCAGCCATATTTCTCAGCACGACGAGCAAAGGCATACTTTTTGAACATCATTTTAGAAAGGTGGTTCACTGACTGTGTCATTTAAGTCAAACTTTTACTCATAAATGCTATTTTATATCTCTTCTAGCTGATTTGGTTACTTTTTCCAAACAAGCACAATTTTGTCAAAATTACACAAAAAGCCTCAATTTACAATGGGTTATATCAACTTATTTTGAGCATCTGCTGAACCATTTGTTTCTCCTTTGATTATACCCTAAAAGTTAATCTTAAACAACAAGAAAACTGACAAATAACCTAACCCATTAAAAAATGTTCAGAGCAATTGTTTAGATTTGGTGTCCATGTAGCATAGGTATTTTGAATTTCCCATCATGAAAATAAAGATCAACCACAAATTCAGTTTTATGTTTTGGGGAAAAAGCATACTATTTCCTAAAAATATAGTAGTTGAGCTGTCAAAAACAATATTCAGATCAACATTTGGGAAGTTTGACCCAATGTCACACTTTTTGCCCGAACTTCATGGAGTAACCCATATCCGATCCACACTTACCGGGTATATTCTGCACTGTATATTATTTATAACACCAAAACTCAAATAAATAAATTGGAACAATGTTGCAACCTGACGCCACTTCCACGATTGTGTACACAAAGTCTAAGGAAAGTCAAGAAAATTTTCTAAGTAGTAGACGTAGGCCTATTTCCTAACAAAATTGGAAATATTTCTCAGTCCCAGATTCATGTCTTATCATCATTTTTGCAATGAATGACCTTCATTGAGATTACTCCTAGAACTATGAGGCTCCACGTAGTGGAGCCTCATAGATTAAGAACCCCGCAAAATCGTTTTCAGCACAAAACACTAATTAAATACAAAAACGTCCATCAAAATGCAGACATTTCCCACAGAACCGCTGCACAGTTTGCCCCCAAACTCCGTACTACACCTCATGACATACTCACGTAATATGCGCAGAACAACCATTGCTGGACTTTGTCGTTTTTTTTGGCCAAAATGATGAAAAATATGCCCTTTCTGCACTGAGCCAACCTGACACTTGAAACGTGCACGCATATGATCCAGCGATGATTTTCGGTTCGCTCGGAGCGCGCAGCGGGGGGTACGGTACTTGCACTTGTACGCATACTATCATTTCGCTTGTACCGTACCCCCCACGGCGGGCTCCTGTATAGTTTACCTTGTGTGGGTACATGTTGTTTAGACTCAAAATGTGTTTTCCCTTTAATATCGAACACTTTTTGGCATGACACTGGGCCTTGGTGCTCATCGTGCTGGCACAAGGCGTGCGTGTGTGGCCCCTGGATTCGATTTTCCGTGGCGCCGTGTTTTGCCTATGGAGTCAAACAGAATGCTACGTTCATCGCACAGATACGTAACGTTATGTTTTTCTTTTGACCGAGTCAGAGTCATTTTCCAGTGTGACTTGAGTCGAGTCCGAGTCGCCAATAATGTGAGTCAAGTCCAAGTCCTGGACTCAAGTCCTACAACACTGTTATTCTTTAATCAGTTAAATTATTAGACATTAATTGTGCTCATCAAAGGATTGTTAAAAAAATGATTTTTCATTTTGCAATTTTTTCTCCATTTTTTCAGTCTTTAGTTAATCGAGGTATGAAGTGGAACTCGACATACTGAGAGAAATTGTCCAAGTATGGCATCATTGAAAGGTGTTAACCCTGAGGTTCGGAAGTATCTCCGTCGGCACAAAGTACCAGATGTGTACGAGGTAAGATTGTCAAGTGCCCATACCTAGTACTAGCACTGATGGATGCATGTAGTACTGGAAATGGCAATCATGTAGTATAGGGCCCTGTTCCCTATCAAAAATCCACTTCGTAGGTTATTGGACTTATCAAACTAGTTAGCGACATAACAAACCAACAGGTATGCTGTTGATAGAGGGCAGGGTTTATTTTTTGAGGGAAGTTTTTGGGTGAAGTGACGATGAGATGATAAAAAGCATCACGAAAATAAAAGATGGTGCAAAACGTGCAAGAAAATCACATTTTCTACCACAAGAAACTGTTCAAAATAATTACAAAAAAATAATGTCATTGGAATTAACAAAAATCTGCTTAGGGTTGACAAAGTCACTTTCAAATGATACAAAACATCCTTGACTCTAATTTGATTGAAACTAAAGAGGTGTCTTACACTAAACATTCGCCCTGGAAATTCTCTCAATCTTCCCACATGCACATGCACAAAATTAGGGCAACTTTACCTGCTCTTTGGCCTACATATTCTCCAAAACGGAGTAATTGCAGAAAACCCCGCCACTCGGAAATACACCCTGCTACTCGGAAATACACCCCTAAAATCTCTGGCTACACGGTTGGAATCACTGGAAAAGAAACAATTCAAGTCCATTGCCAGCTACGCGGATACTGAGTGGGGGTCCATTATTTGAGAACGAAGCAACACAAAAGGAATGGGAGTTGCTGAAATTTTTTTAAGTCCAAACCAACCACCCTGTTGCCGGCTAAGTGGATACGAAGTGGGAGTCCCCTTGAATATGCTTGAGAACGAAGCAACACAAAAGGAATGGGAGTTGCTGAAAAATTTTTAAGTCCAAACCAACTACCCTGTTGGCAGCTACGCGGATACGGAGTGGGAGTGCAGTGGAGCATGACGCATAGTACATACATTTATTGAGGGCAATCAACCGTGACTCCGTAGCCGACTACGAGGTGGATAGATTGAGTGGCGGGGTATTCTGCAATTGTGCCTCCAAAACTTATTGAAGGCAAATTAAGATGTGGTCCTTAGCATTAATTATAGCCCAGTTTTAGTTCTTAAGAATTTGAAGTTTTCAATGACCCTTTTGCACAAGTGAGTGAAACTGCACAAGATCAAGTCAAACCGTTTGAGAAAAATGAACTATTGTCACTTCTACTGCTAAGGAGTGCTACAGTTACATGATGTTATGGGATTTCATGTGCTTTCTCACAAACATGACATGCAACTGTTCGAAAGTCCATCATTTGTAATTTGTGCATTTTGTTCGTTTGAAGCAACAAAAGTGTTCAAAATCTAATGAAGGATACTGAACAACTAACCTGATGAAGTTTCAGCTCAGCTTAAGCTGTATATTCCGAGAAAAACAGCATTCTAGGATCTCAATTTCAAATCAAAAGTTGCTAAATCATGTTTTGAATTGTTTTGAATTGCAGCTGTACGCGATGTCACGCAGTGATCCGACAAATTATAGCAACCGCGCGCACCTGTGCGTCGTGCCAATGCTTGTGCGCGCTGCGCTGAATAACAAAACGAACTACTACTTTCAATTTTCCTACGGTGCGTCTTAAGACGCACTGTTGGAAAGGCCTTCTTTCGTTGTTTACTTCAAAATGATAGCTTGCCAGAAAGATTAATTTCACAGGGAGTTTAGTCCACTTACTATCTTTCAACCAAGTATGTTTTTCAACAATAATACGCCAGTTACTTTTTTGGATGGCTGCAAATGATGGACTATAGCTTTAAAACTAGACTGCTTTCAAATTACCTGCTGGGAAAAAGTAAAAACTTTTCCGGGGCTATCCTTGCCGAGTGCTGCATAATAAATATCTTATTCAATGTCAGGCCATCTTGACAGGGCTAGCCGTGCTCTGCCCAGACGATCCCATGGCTTACATCATTGACAAGGTGAAAGAGCTGATGAAGATGAGGGTGGAATCATTGCACGGACTGGATGCCCTCAAATGGTAAGGACAAAAAAAAAGTCTCCGGTTTCTGGTATGCGGGCGCGTCGCCGTAGCCATGAGCGTCGGCAAAATGAAAAAGTTTTTTTTTTCAATGTAAGATGATGTCTCAAAACTGCCAAACTCACTGGTTTGTCTGGAATCCTGCTACAGCACAATTTTAACGTGTTTTAGATTGGGTTACGATCGAGTGTAAGCTTTATGTGGCCTCTCTGGACTCCCATATATTTGCACTAAATTTAGCCGCGGGCACCTTTTGCAGTCATCAGCCAACATTTGAAGAAAAAAAATCGGTAAAAATTTAAAAAAAAAAGCCGCGTCCCCGCACCACTTTTGGGGCAAGCTCCATACCAGAAACCGGACTTTTTTTGGGGGGGGGGGGGGCTAAGAGACTGTGTGCCATGCAGTGTCGCTCACTTTTGTAGAGGATAAAATAACGGCCAGACATTGGAATTTATTGACAAGTTACTACTTGTTGTATATTTGGTTTCTCCCTTCGCGGACGTATTTAATAAACACTGTATACAAAGTGTGGTCTGACGGCTTGCTAGAAAAAAATTCACCAGCTTACTCGGATGGGACTCAAACCCACGACCTGCTAACTTGTACAGATGTCTTACCATTAACTTTGTAGTTTACTATGAAAGTTGTGTGAGCACTTTTAAAGGAAAGATTTCCATATAAGAAGTCCATTAATTTTCCTCTGTATTGACTAACAAGCCCCCAGATAGCAATTTCATGTCATCAAAGTCAATTTGAGCAGTGAGAAAATACTAGCATTTTCTTTATAGAAAACACTTCAAATTTTTCAGTCCACTCTCGTAGGGTTTGTACACAGGGTGTCGAGTGAACTTCTTTTATGGAAATCTTTCCCTTTTAAAAAAATTGTTTCATCTTCTGAAGCCGTGTTCGCATTGATTGTGACGCAGAAGTGCATGTCCAAAATTCTATGAAAAAAAAAAATCAGTTAAATGCTGTCATGCTTTTCTGAGAAAAATGTTCTTTTAAAACAAAATAAAGAATCTTTTTTCCTCTTGATTTTACCTTGTTTTGCCTCTTTTGTGGGCAGGGATTCGTTGATCCCGGAGGAGGCTAAACCCAAGAAGCGATTGAGCGCCAACTACCTGGACGCCATCTTCATGTTTGATGAAGAAAATCTGCAGGTGAGTACAAAATAGCTTATTTGCAAGTATCCCCTCCGCAGTTCCAACGAGAGACTGTGGGAGGGACGTTCTGTCGCATTCCGGATGGCACTGCACGTGGACGTGAAGAGGCTGAATGAAATCAGTCATGCATACTTTACTCCATGTGCACGCAAACCTGGGCCAAGTTCGGGCAAGGACCGTTAGTCGACTAGTGGTTGATTTGTGACGTACCTTACGCCTGCGCACTGATAGCAATGTGCGAACGTCTCTAGTCAAAGGCTGGTCCAAATGTCATCGCAAAACTTCTGGATCCTGGCTCCCTGCTAGCGTTATGAATGCGCGCGACTATTGGTTACCAGCGATGCAACCAGCCCCAGTAGGCTGGTTCCAAATAGTCGACTAGCCTAGTCAACCATCGTCGACTAGACAGAGTTCGGGCAAGCGTTAGTCGAACTATGGTTAACCATTGGTCAACTATAGTCCTTGTGCGAACTTGGCCATGTCTGCGCACATGGTGTGTCCCTCTCGCCCAAACTCTCGATAGTGGTCACAAAGAGCCATCTGCTGATTGTGCACGGAGTTCATAGGAGATTTCTGAAAAGAAACAGGAATGTTGAGTTTTTTTGAGAGTCGCCATTAGATTTTCTCCCGGTTTTCACTGTAAGAGAATTTCATGCAGGAACACGTAGATGGTGTGGAAAGGAAGGACACATCCGGCTCATGAACTGGCCTACACCAGTAATGGCGCAGTGTGCGTGGCTTATATTTGAACTAAGTGTGCACGAATCTGCCGAATGAAATTATTCTTTCCGTTGCACAAATGTGAAACATTTATTATTTGTTTAAACAACATCTGAATAAATCCTCATCATCTGATTGGTCAGAGCGGCCAAAAGTGTGACCATGGAATGGAACTTCCATTTAACGTGAAATGGAACTTCTATTTTGCGGTGTGGCCACGCCGTGTGTTGGGACGAAAAATTCAATGACGCATGATCAACAAACCACCAATCAGATGACAGGAATTTAATCAGGCATTGTATGATTCTGGAAAGTTGGCTAGACTAGTCAAACTATTGTTGACTAGCGTGTGTTCGAGTGAAGTTAGTCAAACTATGCTTTAACCACAGTTCTTGCTCGAACTTCCTTAGCATAAACCTGGAAGTTGGGAGCATGGTAGCAGTAGGACTCGAGATATTTTCCACAGCATCATTATCAACTTTCATAATCATTTCCTTGAACATTTTGCTGCAGAGTGATCTCTGTATTGAGACTAGTGAAGGGAGTGCATGGATGTTATGGTGTGAAGCTCTTATGCTTTGCTGTTTTGCTTTAAATTCCACTTCATTGTTTCTTTTTCCTTTTTTTTTATCACCGTAAACAGCCATGGGAATGGAGGGTAATGCTTGCAATTTTTCTTTTGCTTTTTGAAAGTTTGTTTTGGTTTGCTTTGCATGATGTAGTTGTGTATTAACATGATTAACATGCGCAGAATTTATGTCAAGATTTTGATATTTTGTGGATGTTGTGGTTCAGTTTAACAAAAGGTAGTGTATACATGTCAACATTATGGGTAGACATAGCAACCAAAGTACTATATCTGTAGCAACCAAAGTACTATACGCATCACAACCGCTATTGTGTGTAACTGCATACGGGTGTGCGCGTTGCGGGTACTGTTCCCAAACGCTAGTGCTACACAGCTGGGTTCAAACATGTCGTGAAGAGGTATAGATTGGAAAAGTGTAAGTGAATTTTAAACTAATGTCGTATTCAAAGAGAAGTACATTTTAATTGTATTTAGAATAAATTGATCAGTTATCTCTTAAAATCAAGCACAATCTGTGGGAGAGGTGTTATAAAACAAATATTGACTGCTTTATCTCGTGGTGTAGTAAATGAAGCCTCCCTCGGTGATCCATAGAGCATTCTATTTTCCCTTGGCTTTGCCTCGGGAAAAATAGAATGCTTCATGGATCACCTCGGAAGGCTAGTTGTACTCCAACACTCGAAGCAGTCAAATATTTGTATAATTCCACACTGTTGTTTCCATGGATTGACCAATTAGAATTGAGGATAATTTAAATTCCCTTGAAGATAAAATCAGTGAAACACAGACTTGTTCAGATGCTTGGCAAGTTTTACATGTAGCTTTGGTTCCCAGATGCCGGACATATTGATCTCAATTCCCTATTCCTAAATGTAGTTGGCACTGTGTTAGTTTTAACTCAAAACAATGTGATTCTAATCCAATTATCATCATTTGGTTTTTGAAGGGGTAATTTAATTTTAATTGTCAAATTTGTAATACTGACTTAAGTACACATGGGGAAGTGTCCTAATAGAGTTTGTAGGGCATTTGGAAATATTAACACAGTAAGGGTCATAGCTGGCCAAATTGTCATTTTAATTTACTCTCCCTGAGCCATTTTGATAGTCTTCTCCCACAAAATCTATTTGAATTTTAAATCTCTATTTTCCTAGCATTGCAAAAATAATTCACTTTTGAATGAAGACATCCAACGAAAAAAATACACCCATGTTTCGGATATAGAATAATTGCAGCTGTACACATTTGAATTACTTGTGCCCCGACAATAATGAAGTTCTTGCAGGCTAGAGTGGTTCCCGCCACCCTATCAAGATCGATAATGTAGGGACTGGGACCAGTTTACTCACATGGCCGATAGGTCTGTCTATTTCAAATAATTTAGTATTCGATTACTCGAAAGTGCTTTTGACCGAATATTCGGGTAATCGAAACTGCAAGCTGCAACTGCGTACCGCGCTGCACACTGAGGGCGCCAGTTAAAAGATGCGCGCGGCGATCGGTATCGGCTGCTGGAGTGTTTTGCAGTAAGGTTTTTATAATTTTGAAAGGGCTTTAACCTGCTGAAAGGATGGGAATAATGAACCGCCATCGACAAAAAAGTTAGCATTGACAAAACACATGGCTCCTAACAATTAGGTGCTACAACTTTCCGATAAAACAACCTCACAGTCGTGTGTGTATGTGTGCAGTTTATTGGGTGTTAAATATTTAAACCCGCAAAAAGCTATTTGACTATTTGATTGAGGATTGAATATTCGGTATAATCGGGACAGCCCTAATTGACGGATCTGTCTGTCTGCACAAAAGCGAACCAAAATTAAAGTCTTGCTTCAGAGGGTTGCAGATGCCCAGAAAAGACAACAGGCAGTTAAAAAACAATCTGAGTTAAGAATTTGACAATAGAAAAAATAAAAGAATTTGTGTAAGAAAATGGGGAGAGCAACGTTAATAATAATGTGTTCCAGGCCCATGTGATTAATGAACGGAAAGAACAAATATTACTCTATCAATCAAGAGTGTCGCTTGCCATGGCAACCATTGATCAGTGATGATGCTGTTGTTATAGACAATTTATCTTTGCACCTGTCTCATGTTTGCTTGCATCCTCCCCCACCCTTGCACAAGTCATTTCCTGCGGTGATGTTATGCAAATTAGCCTTAAAGGAACCGACTAAGACTTGATTTTAAAATAGTCACTAGTCAGATAGATCTCGAATTTGTGGCTCATTTAAAAGTTTTGGAATAACTCACATGGCTTTTTTTCTTTCAAAAACTGTTATGGAACAATTTGTTTTACCAAATATATCACAGTTTGCACATACTAATGTGAGTAGATGTCGAGAAACCCATCTGAAGGTCCTTCCGATTTTTGTTTGTTTTTACATAAAATACAAATTTTGAGGAATGGATTTGTGGGCACTGAAAAGTCTTGACAAAATAAGGAAAATAAATTCCAGTCTTGAATGAAATGTACACAAATCTCTTAATTAAATAAATGGTAAAATTGTGAAAAAAAAGAAGCTCATACTGTAATCCCAAATGGTACAAACTCGTCAAGTTGAAGTCAGTTCCTTTAAGGTAAACGCCAGGTGAAATCACAAGTGTACCTGGGTGTACACACATGTGTGTGCTGAAGTGTGTGCTTCACATCTCTTGCAAGTGTCGTTGAGTGAGAAGCAAGTGTGTGTACGCACTCTCAGATCCTTGCACAAGTGGTAGTGTGTAGTACACTCGGGTTCGGACATTTCTTATCTAACCATGGCTTCTTTATTCGATCATCACCAGCCGACTCCAGAAATGTACCAGAAGGCCTACCATAGCTACAACAACAAGCTGGTCACCATGACGTTCAGGTAATTTCTGTTTAATTTTTTTTATAGTTCTGGTGGCAAAGTTTGAAACTAAAATCTGTCTTCTATTAGAAAAAAAATGGAAACAAATGTTGCAACCTGACGCCACTTCCGCGATTGTGTACAAAGTCTATGGAGAGTCAAGAACATTTTCTAAGTATTTCCTAACAAAATTGGAAATATTTCTCAGTCCCAGATTCATGTCTTATCATCATTTTTGCAACGAATGACCTTCATTGAGATGATATATGAAGAAAAAAGTGGCGTCAGGTTGCAACATTGTTTCCAAAAAATGAGTACTGAACTTTGTGGCACATGTACGCCTGCTCATAGCCCCATAAATGTGGCCAATTTACTGGACTACCTCCGTAAATAAATAAAGGCCACACTTCCACCATGTACAAAAACATGTCGAACTTTGTCAAATTTTGAATTTCACATTTAGGCTTAGTTCGTAGTTTATTTTTGCTTTAGAAGTATACTCGCCCTCTTTATAGGCTAATCAGAAAGTGCTGCCTTTTTCAGATGTCTATTTTTCGTGAAATTTCCAGATTTGTTTGCACACGTTTGCGTATCAAAATTTCAACATGAAATTTCACAAAAGTTAGACATCTGAAAAAGGCAGCACTTTCTGATTAGCCTATAAAGAGGGTGAGTATGCTTCTAAAGCAAAAATAAACTACAAACTATAAAGCCTAAATGTGAAAATCAAAATTTGACAAAGTTCAACATGTTTTTGTACATGGTGGAAGAGTGGCCTTTATTTACGGAGGTAGTCCAGTAAATTGGCCACATTTACTGGGCTAGCCTGCCCACAGCATGGCATCTTTTATGCTCAACTAGTGCACAAATTAAGATGGTGAGGACGCAACCTCAATGTTCACAGTGATGAACCTTGCAGCTCTTTTCTCCTTGAACAAAACGTCAATCAGCATGTTTTATTGTGACAAATAAACCTACTTCATTTTTCTATATTGGGTGTCTGCAACCCAAGAGGCTTATAATTTTGGTTGCTGTTGTACCTCTAGCACACAAAAACACCTAACTCCATTATTTTTGGTTTCTAATAATTAAAAAAATTGTCAAATATATAGTTGTTAACACACCTATGTTCCGACATCCCTGTGTTCCGACACCCCTATGTTCCGACTGCATATATTCCAACCCTAACCCAAACCCTAAACCTAACCCTAGCCCTAACCCTAACTCTTATGTGTGGGCTGTTGGAGCATAGGGGTGTCGGAACATAGAGCAGTCACCAAATGTTTCAACACAAAGCAGTTTTTCATTGATGTCTCATTCAAAAGCGATAAGCTTTTGTGAAGCTAGAAAAATAGCAATTGCAAAAAGAAAAACATAATTTTTCAAATGCAAAACTCAAAAGTAGCACAGGGAGATTAACCTTAATGAATCCATGGAACCACATACCTTACTGAGCGGTCTCTATTTTTGCCCGGTACCCGTGCAGCGCCTGGCTCCTGTACCACGAGAGGAAGAAGCGTCGTCGCCTTATGATGGCCCGCAAGATGGTGCAAGCCGCCGAGTACTATGACATGCGCAAGCAGCGGGTGCACCTGCAGCAGTGGGTCAAGTGGTTCCGCTTCCGTCAAGACCGACAAGAACGTAAGAGACAGTGAGAAGTCCATTAACACAGACAGGATATCCTTGTTTGGTTTAGATCTGGCGAGAGAGAGAGAAAATGGCTGGCTCAGCTGGCATTGATGATAAATTGGCTTTTCAGATGTCAGGATGGGATTTTTAAAAAGATGCCTGAAGGCATCTTTTTGTTATTCTTTGGTCTTCATTTCTGACTGACCCTATTTTTGGCTCCCAACCCGAGGAAAAAAAAACTTTGCTCTTAATGCCGACCCTGTCTGGAACACCCACTAACAAACATATTAATTAATGAAAAAAATTGAATATCAATTTTAGGCAATCAGGCTCTGTATTTTTGAAAAGCTATGGAAAATTATGTCTGATCTCCCTCGAAAAATAAGTTGTACGTATTTCGCGCGCGAACCAGCACAGTGCGCTCATGCGATGTCACGTCCAAGGGGTTCTCAAAAGTGGTAAAAACGCACGCTCTTTTGTTGGCACACGGAGCCCATCGCAACCAATGCAATCAAGGAAGATGCAAGGATGTTGTCTCCAACATATTAGGGCTTTATCGTTCTAATATTTTGTGCATAGTGCGGATAAAGTCAAGTACTTCTTGCCAAAAATGGCTTTGTTATTTTGTTAAGTGATATGCACTTGGCATTATTTAATTTAACATGATTTCTTTTCTCATGCGTATAGGTGCCTATAACATCATCATTAATGTGTACAACATGTCCCTGTCTCGTCTTGTCTTTGAGGCCTGGCATAATGTGATGCTGGAGGCACGGCGTACCAGGGAGTACTTTGAGGTAAGCAAACGATGACCAGAGACCATCTTGTGTTTTACAAGTGTGGCTTATGAGGTTTACAAAGAGAAAACTGTTGTTTTATAAAGTCTACTGAAAACATTTTGCAAAAAAAATGGAACAAGACCAAAAAAAACCACCCAGAAAGTCACAAACTTGCCAGGGAAACCTTCTATCCCATAAGGACCATTCACATTATCCAAGTTGGACTTGGGGTCCAATGTTTAGATTTTTGGAACCTCACTCACGTCCAAGAATCCAACCCTGGTTGCATTTGGACCGAGTTTGAGAGGCTCTTCCCAGGTACAAAATAAAAAAATCTACAGACGACCCGTGTACAACTCAGGTTCAGGTTTGCTTTCCTGCCGAGCATGAACTGGTATCAAGGTGTTTGTTCCAACCCGTGTGCTTACAGGTGTGCCTAATAATTATTTTGAAAATGAATTAAACTGCTTCAAACTGCTCACTAACTAGATTGACCTGAAATGTAGAAATCAAAATTCTCAAATGGCCTGATATTTCAGCCTTAGCAAAGCCTGCTTCAGAGGCAAAAAAAGGCCATTTTCATTTATCTTATTTTTGATTTAATAATTATTGTATTGTTTTCCTTTGTCTGTTCCGTTCAGAGGTTAGAACGAGGCGAGATGGATGGCGAGGATGAGATGCTGTCGCCAAGAGGCGAGGCGAGGGATGACATCTCCCTGTTGCCACGGAAACTTGCCATCAAGGTCAGTCAAGGACGATGAAGTACAATCTTCTGCCTTTTTGCAGAGGATGCAGTTCAGGCTTTTTTCTGGAAATTCCTACTTTTTTCTGGAAATTCCTACTTTTAACTCTACATATGACCACCAAATCCACAAATTCAACACTTTGTTTTTCAGTGTTGTGACAAATTTAGCACTGTATGGCTGTGTCTCTATTTTCAATTGATGTCACAATTGTTATTAGAGTGGCCGTGCTGTGTAGTTTACACATGGGTCATTCTATAACTTTGGGGTCCACTTTTTCCTGTCTCTGTTACATCTGACATCTATGATTTTATAACTCTGATGCACTTCTTAATTAATGCAGTCATCCTCCAAGAGTGATTGTGAATAGCAAACTACATCATCAGCGTTTATAGTCCACTTGTCCCACTTTGTGGGGTTGGACATTTCATTTCCTTAATGGCTGCTCTCCAAGCTTTCCTGTCTGTGGGGTCCATGTGAGCGATACCAGATGTTTTGGCATCTTCTTCTACAGTTTCCCTCCAGGTTTTTCTGGGTCTCCCACGAGGCCTTCTTCCGGTGACTCGAAAATTGAAAGCTCTCTGGAGCCAGTGTGTTGCCGCTCTCCTAGCCACATGTCCATACCATCTAAGCCTGTTAATCCTCATAACCTCTGCTACCCCCATCAGGCCCACTGACTGAAGGAGGACTTCATTCCTCGTTCTTTCATGTAGTGATGTCCTGCACGACTGCATGATGTCCTGTAGTGATGTACCTACCCGACAAATACAAAATTGTTTTCTTAATGACAGATTACAAAGTACCAGGGCAACAGGGACATGAAAAATGTCACACTTTGGACCTAACTTCATAAAACTACCCATATTCTAGCAAAGATACCAAGAGTAGTGGGGGTTTTCCATTAAAAGTGTGCAAAGTACAATTGATTCTGTTCTGCACAACAGATCTTCAGTTATCTTGACCTGGCTGACGTTAGCCGGTGTGCTCAGGTGTGCCGGCAGTGGAAGATGATCACGGGTACCAGTTCCCTGTGGAGCAGGGTAAGCACAAGGCGATCTAGGAACCAGTGAAAACTTTATGGGTTCCGTGCACAAGTACCCCCTCAACGGCAAGAAAGGAGAGCTGATGACGCCTGATGCTCACGCTATAAAGCCGTGATGGCTTTGTGAACACTCAGCATAAAATAGTCATTCGTACTTCGCATCATACGCGCACGAACCAGTACAAGCACGCATACCGTCCCATCCATGGGGCTCTCAAAAGTGGTGAAAAAAGACACCCTTTCTTTCAAATAGTTTTGCCAACCATTTTTTTCACTTTGCAATTGAAAGAAACTTTTGTTGAACAAAACTGAGCTGTCAATTGCTGACATATGTATTTGTGCAAATTCCAATTCATAAGTTGGTAATTATGTATGCTCTGTATTTCTGGAAAAAAAGTAAAATTCCTGACACCAGGTATGTTTTGTTGTGTCTTTCAGGTCAATTTGTCTTCTATCAAAAACAGGTATGTATTTTTGACCTTTTGTATTGTAAATTTTTGTTTTAATTTTCAGTTGTACATTACTGAAGATGAGTTTCCATTTTTTCAGTCGGGGAAAACTCAGGGAATTCCGGAAAAACACCAAAACTCAGGGAACTTGAGAGTGACCCCGAGAAGGGAAAGATTTTGCCAGTTTGGCATATGTGCGTCTTGTGCCATGTGTCCAAATTGTGTTCATTGACTGACTGGCTATGGCGGTGTTCTAGTGTTTATTCAGTGTCAATATTGCACACCTCTCCAGACAATAACAACTGGCTGTGTCGCACCACCTCTTGACTTCCTAGCAACCTTGTTTTAAAAAGTGATAATATTTCTCTTGAAATTTTGGAGATTTCTCAGGGAAAAAGGCAAAAACTCATGGAATTTTATTTTCATAAAGTGCTGGGAACGCTGTGCTGAAAACAACCACTCCATGATAATTACTCTGAACAACAAGCTGACACAATACCTTCACCATTACTAGGGACCATGTACCGTGAGTGTCAGCCACTCTTTGTACCCAGTTTGGTCTGAAGCGTTAATTTGTTCACTTGGATTGAATATTTACAGAGTGACGGACCGGTTTGTGTGTAAGCTCCTACAGACTTGCAGACCTTACTTGCTACATCTCAATCTGCGAGGGTGTAGTCGACTCACCAAGCCCAGCTATGTGGCTATAGGTAAGGTGTAGGTACTTTTCTGTGTGACTGGTTTTTGAGCAACTGCTGAGCAGCATTTTCAGCTATGCAGCTAAAAAATTGGTCCAGGGTTATGATGCAGGTTTAGTATAAAGAGGATATCAAAATGAAGTGCTTTTTGTGGGTGATTGTGAGTCATTGTGATAATGCTCTCTTGTGACAGATTATCGCTTATCCATTATACAACAAAAACGTCTTACCCAAGACATAGGATTTAGCTTGAGGGATGTCTAGGTATCTTATGGACAATGCGGGCTATTTTGAAGACCCTGTTTTACAGTATTTACAATGAAACTGTTTAGCAAACTACTACATCAGTACATGTATGTCCTTTTTTATGTAGTAATCAATGAAATGTTGTATATGGGCAATTCCAGCATTATGTAATGTCAGAGCTTTTGAGAGCTCAATGGGTAAACCTGAACATTTATATTATAAGAGTTTTGGATCATTTCTCTGAATCATTAATTATATATCATAGTTAATATTATTGGCTCTGTCAATGACATTACACTTCCTTTTAAAATACTGGAATTGCCCAAAAGTTAAAAAATACCTCATATTTTGCAGTAAGAATTAAGAGAAATCGCAAAAGCAAAACTTTTGATAACCGGTTTAGAATGCTGACTTAAGCCCTATCTGATGTGAATGTATAACGTAAGTCAGTTTCAGCTTTTCTGCTGTAACAGAAGGATTTAGCTTCTTTGTTTTTGTGTTCGGTGTTTTTTGCCTTGTTAGGTCAGTGCAGGAATCTGCAGGATCTGAACCTGTCTGAATGTGAGGGAGTCAACGACGATGTGATGAAGGACATAGCGGAGGGTTGTCAGATATTGCTGTATCTCAACATCTCCCACACTAACATCACTGATGCGACGCTCAGGCTACTTGGAAGGTACTTATACAGCAGTTTTGGATCATGCTCGGTAAAATCTGGACTTTTCCAGTTCACTCAGCTTCGCCTCGTGAAATGGAAAAGTCCAGATTTTAACTTGCGATAATATTCCTCCCATTTCACTCTGAGCCACTAAATATTTGTATAATATAACTGACATATAGATCCTTGTCATTTGATATATTTGAACTTTTATTTCAGTACAAAATTGATGGGAAATGTATTTCTTCCAAACCACCCCTTCACGAAAATGTTTGAACCCCACTCTGTAGCGCTGGCTCTTTGGAACAATACGCGATACGCGCAATGCTGAACGCGCACACCAGCATGCCTTTGCACACAAATACCGCGTCTTGGAACAAGAATGATCCTAACTGTTCAATAGTATTTCCCATTCCCCATGGGCGGATAGTACTTTTTAAGACCCGGCGTGAATGGGAGTAATAACGAATGTCACGTGATGTGAGTTCCACCAATCAAATGACAAGGATATGTATGTCAGTTATATAATTGCTCTTAATGCATTTTGTTCATTTGCAATAATAACACCACTCGAAATCCAAAGAAGACTGTTCAAAACCCAACCTGTTGAAGTTTCAGCTCAGTGGATATTACACTTTTCCCAGAAAACAGAGAAAACCGTGCACAAACTTGTTATCATGAAACACGATTCCATCAATAGCACTCTTTATTTCCAAAAATCAGTCATTGTTGGAAATCACCTGCATTTCTTGATTTCTTCTAAATGACAGCAAGCCAGACGGAATAATTCCACGGGGTGTTTAGTACCAGTACGATCTGTAATACAAGTAAGCTTTTGGACAAAAAAATTTGGTAGGCTACTTTTGGGATAAATGCAAACAATCCTATGGCTTCCCCACCAGCAGTGGCAGTAGATAATTTTTAGGCCCTGACTTTGGGGAGAGTTGGACTAAATATGGTCCGTGAGGTGTTTCATGCGCATGAAATCTTATGATGTGGTCCCTTTGTTCCATTTTTGTTTGGGAAAAAAAGTATACAAATGATTGTGAAGCAATACCGCCTTCCGAAAATATGAATACCGTAATTTTCGGAATATAAGCCGCGGCTTATACATTGATTTTGCCCATGAAAATGTTTACTGCGGCTTATACACGGAAAATCACGATGGGTTGCATACTCTCTCACGTGCTGCGGGAAAATGTTGTCATAGGCCGGCGCGGCGCAGGCTGCCGCGCCGGGCGATGTATTAACTTTTACGGCCGGGGACGGACGGGGCAGCCAGCAGCAATTCCCGGTGTTTATTTCTCATCATCAATTTCCACATTTGTTTGTGAGAGTATCGATTGTAAATGATTTGATACAACTTTTGTGGGCTCTTTTTATAGCTTCTGTAGTGTAAATGGAACCGGTTCAGAGCATTTGGGCTAGAATTTGGAGGCCTTACAAATTGAAACCGCTGCCGTCGGTGCGGCTTATATGCCGGTGCGGCTTATACGCCGACTTCAAATCTTTATTTGCAGATTTTTGCGTGCTGCGGCTTATACGCCGCGCGGCTTATATTCCGAAAATTACGGTACTTGAAAACCAGGGTTTGCTGGCCGAGAGTCTGTCTTACTTTTGTCAGCTTTCCAGACCCATGCTGACTGCAGTGTCCCAATTTGTCATTGTCTTTTTTTTGAAAGGGCCTGCGCAAAACCCTGTACATGCCATGAAGCAAGGGACCACAACCAAAGTCCGAATTTTTTGCAACATCAAAGCATCTTTGTGTTTGATTTCGATTCTTGTAGATGTTCCCGTAACCTGCAGTACATGAGCTTAGCCTACTGCAGACGCTTCAGTGACAAAGGTCTGCAGTACTTGGCAAATGGTAGGGGCTGCCGCAAACTCATCTATCTGGATCTGTCTGGCTGTCCTCAGGTACAGTACATCAACAAAACAAGCATTCTGCATCCCCCCCCCCAGAATTCGGGCGTGAAGTGACAAAATGGAATGAAATTTGGCACACATGTACAGCAATTCTATCTGAACATATTCATAGAATTTAATTTTCATAAGGCAAAAAGCGTTTTTTTAATTGATGTAAGTTAGCACACTTACCACAGCAAGCTGTACTATCCATGTATTATATTTCTAGGGAATTGCGATTTCCGTGCTGCTCAGCCTCAAATAATTTCGCGCAGCGCAGTGACCCTAAGGTCAATTATCGTAAATTTGGTATCAAAACATGCGCCAGACTTGAAGCTAGAAAGTGATGAAAGCTCATGTCGATAAACGCATGTTTGGTGAAATTATTGCTACGAAAGTCCAGGGGGTGTAATCCCCCCCCTGGCCCTTTTAGGGTAAATGGAGTTGATGTTCGCAAAGAGTGATTATGAAGAGCAAACTACCTACCCAACAAAGAAATCATTCAAAGTTGTTCTTTTAATGATATTTGAATGTCAAATTACAAAGTACCATGGTAACAGGGACAGGAAAAATGTCACACTTTGGATCCTAAATTTATAGAATGGCCCAAATGTCATTTTCAACAGATCACTGTGACCGGCTATAAGAACATCGCCAACGGCTGTTCCAACATCCAGTCTCTATGCGTCAATGACTGCTCCACGTTGAAGGACGACAGCATCGTAGCCATAGCCTCCAAATGCCACAACATCCGTAGTATATCCTTCCTGTCTTCCCCTAACATCACCGACGTGTCCTTCAAGGCCATCGCGCAGCACCGGCGTCTGCAGAAAATACGCATTGAAGGTACGTCAGATTTAGAACTTTGATGACGTAAGGCTTTGTTGTGTTTTGCTCATTTGAGCATTTCTAAGGAGATTTTTTATGGTATCAGGGTTGGCCTTTACTTACTATTCATAAGTACCTAAGACGGTTTACGCATTCCTGTTGGTCGAGAGCCCGTCACGTGGCCGGTCTTAAACGGATGATAAAGACATGGCTAGCTGGTCTTAAACACTTTTCCAGTGTCACATGAAATTTGGACTCCCATGAAATCCGGTGCTTTTTAACGTTTCATTGGTTGAACGTTCACATTCCTCATCACGTATGCATGCGCAATACTACCAGTGAATCAGTATTTCATGGTCCGAAATTCACACTACACCAGCCCAGCTGCGTTTTGCGCGACATCGTGCAGTACGCGCGAAGTGCACGCCAAATCAAGAATATGCATCACTCTTTGTAATGAGATGGATTAGGGTTGTGCATTGGAACCAGGTACCTGACCGCTGATGTCAAAAACCGGTTCCACATCATGTGATCGGGTACCCGTAACCAACTTAAAAATTACTTGGTAACTTCTCAGACAAGTTAAAAACAAAGAAAGGTTTTGAATGCCATTTCTGGGAAATTTTGAAAATGAAAACCGGGATATTGAAAAAACCAAAACAGATTTCACGTTTGTGTGCATTTTTGACGCTTGCGAAAGTTGCAGCTTACACTTTAAAGCTATACAAGCTCCTGAGATAGCTTCCAGGATTTGAATTTGGGGGTTGGGTTTCTTTTACGGGTAAAAGTTTTTTACTTCAATAGGGTACCCTATCCCCGTACTACCCGTAAAAGCACACCACTGACATGGATACATATGTGATGCGATCAAGCTACAAGAGTCGTTTGTCGACCCTGGTCAAATTTTGTTTTATTACAGATTTCAAAAGAGCACAATCTCAGCATTGCTGCTGTGAAAACCGCATGCTGGTACCATCTTTAGTTCAAAAATTATGGAAGTCGGAACACCAAGAGAGGTGATGATGATGAAGTGGCCCTATTTTGGCCTGTATCTCCAAATGAAAATTCCCGACGAACAACTCATTTAGCTTGATCGCATCACATATGCTGTATCTCAGAAAGCATCCACTGAGACAACCTAATAATCACTGACACTATTGAAATCACAACGGCAATCTTTGTACTTCATTAAAACTTACATGATATGCTGAGCGTCATTCCTTGCCCAAGTGATCACAAAATAAATGCAGGAATTATTATCTTTTTAAGTTAAAAAAAAAAAGCTTGTTGGAAAAAAAATGTGACTTGTACGTCACAAGTCTTCAGAATCAAGTGTGAGTCATGATAGTCAAATCTGAATCTGCTTTCAAGTCTTTAGCAAGTCTTGAAAAAACTTGTTACAGACTCAAGTCGGATTCCTGCAGCCAATCTCACTAAACAGTTTGTAACTATTATGCATGGACGTACCTGTGCATCATTTTAAATAATTTAACATCTTGCATGAGGATAGTAATGGCATTTGCAACTGGGCAATTCCACGGTTACTCACGTTACATTTTTGATATACTTTAGAGCTTCCTTGGGCTGTAATTACCTTACTGAAAACGTTTAATAACTGTTATCCCCATGGTAGATAGAGTAGACCTAGACCTACCTAAGCACCAAAATGACATCCAGAAAAATGTGTTATGTATGATAAACAAGACGCACAGAATCGGTTACTCATGTTATGAAAATGTAACGTGAGTAACCGTGGAATTGCCCAACTGCTGTTTTTGTGTATAATTTCTATTTGGACACAGTCATTGAATCACCTCCACCTGCCATTTGGAAAATACTTTTGTCCGGCTCCCTCTGGAACCGTGCAGCTCTAAAAATGTCACATGAAAAAGAGCGATTAATTTACTTCAAACACAAAGCTATGAGTTTCTTGCATCAACATTGATTAGTTGTGCAATCAGACAGGCTCCACGACGATCACGATTTGCTGGTAAAATAGTTCACATTCCGTCGCCTACGTCACAACTTGCGCCACCTAAAATGATTGCGCAAGTTATACGCCATAGTTTGTTAAGTTAAGCTATGGCAGGCTCCACTGAAGTAGTTCATTTTCAGTGGCTACACTATAACTTACACTACCTAAAGTGATGTACACTACCCAAAATGCGTAAGTTGTTGCTTAGGTCGTGATTTACGCACTATGAAACTTTCGTGGAAATGTGTCATAGCTGAAATGTTGCGCAGCATTAAGTTTTGTGAAATTGGCTGCTGGACTCAAGTTTTAATCTCTGCTCCTTGCTGGACATTGTGATATGTCTGACTATTGGTGACCAGTGTTGCAATCGAATTCCGGCCTAAAACTATCCACTAGACTAGTCAAATCATCAGTGGCTAGAGTTCATTCAATATGATAAGCCATAGGTTTTCAGGATCAAACTTGAAGGCGGTATCATTCTGAAAAGCATTTAATGAGAGGGTACTCTATTTTTTTCGTTCAGGGAATTCAAAGTTGAGTGATGCGTCCTTCAAGTACATCGGCAGGTACTGCTCCGATCTCAGACACGTCTATGTGGTAGACTGCCCTCGTGTGACAGACGCGAGCCTGAAGTCGTTGGCGCAGTGTCGCAACATCAACGTGCTGAACGTAGCTGACTGCATCAGGTATTCATGGTCGTTAAGATGGTCCGCAGACAACGTTGATGGTTGCCGCATTTTTATTTTACACTTTGTTGCCCCGATATTGTCTAATCCAACATTTGATTTTGCATTAAACTGATACATTTCAGGCTTTAGAGCCCTGGCACCAATGCTTTATGAAGGACATGATGATAACACATTTTTCAAAGGGAATGTGGTTTTTATTACTGTGTAGTAATATCAAAAAAAAATTTCTTATCTTATAAATATGTATTCATAAATACCTCAGACAGTTTAGCTATTCCTATTGGTCGAGAGCCCGTCACGTGGCTGGTCTTAAACGGATGATAAAGACATGGCTAGCTGGTCTTAAACACTTTTCCAGTGTCACAATAAAATGTGGACTCCTAAAAATCCAGTGCCTCTTACCGTTTTATTGGTTGAACGTTCACAATCCTCACGTAGGCATGCGCAACACTACCAGCGAGGCAGAATTTTATAGTTCTAAATTCAAAACGCAACGCCCCAGGTGCGTTCTGCGCGATATCGCGTAGAACATGCTACGCGCGCGTCAATGTCCATAAAAGGGTTGTTTACATCTTACTCGCCAGCTGAACACTCCATTATTTTGCTAGAGGGATGTTTCAAAAAGCATGAAGTGAACTTGTTGAACAAAATCGGGATTTTTTGAACGAATTGTTTGATTTTTTTTACCGAAAAGGTATTTATGAATGGGAATAAATATGTGCTCGGTCGGTATTTATCACTCTGTTTAAGACCTCTTAGAGTCTGGGTGATAATTACCCTCGCCTCCGGCTCGGGTAAGTATCAGCACCCAGACTCTAACTGGTCTTAAACAGAGTGATTAAAACCTCCGGAGCACACATTTATTCCCTTAGTAATAGTAGTGTCAAACATAACCAATGAAATTAGGGAATTAAAGATGGATTCCCTGTGTTATTTTCAAGTTTCACCTCGAAAAATACATTTTTTTTTTCAATTGCTATTTTCCTAGCAATATATAACTTGTTCACTTTTGAATGAGACATTGAACAAACAAAAAGTCCACCGACGTTTAGTTATTGAAATAATTTCTTCACAAAATTTGAATATTGGCTGTCAGACAATAATTTGGCTCTCACAGGGCGGGTTACTTGTGCACAAACTGAAAGCCCTTTTTCAGAGGGTTGCAGATGTCCAAATTCGGAATAAATTATTTTTTTTGTTAAAACAAAAAATACAAATTGAACAGGAATTCGGAGAAAAAAGTCCATTGTGTGAAGAGCTAAGGGTATGCATCTTTAAAGACCCTGGCATTTTATGGAGGAAAAAATCAGCTTCTAGTCACCACCAATAACATTTTTTGAATACTGCAGGATCAGTGATAACGGAGTGCGCAGCCTGGTAGAGGGACCATCAGGACCTAAAATCAGGGAGATGAATCTGACCAACTGCGTGCGGGTCAGCGATGTCTCCATACTGAAAATCATGCAGAAGTGAGTGCTTACTGAAACAGAACTTGTGGCAGTATTGGAATAAAATTCCCAGCCACCCTGGAATTTAGAAAATCAGGAAGAACCTTGGAAAGGAGTATCCATTTTTCCAGTCAGAGGAAACTCAGGAAATCTTGGGGGAAAAAACACAAAAAATCAGGGGAAAACTCAAGGAATTTGGGGGAAACACTAAAAATCAGGGGAAAACTCAGGGAATTTGGGAAAAACACCCCAAAAATCAGGGGGAACTCATGGAATTTGGAAAAACAACGAAAAACAGCAATACTGAGGGAATATGACAGTGAACCTCCCCTCCAAAAAACCCCAACGTTTTTGCTAGTTTGGCGTACGTGCGTCTTGTGCCATGTGTCCAACTTGTGTCCATTTACTGACTGGCTATGGTGGCTTTTTAGTGTTTATGCAGTATGAATATTATCTGTATCTTGGTTGCTTTGCTGCCACCACCTCTTGACTTCCCAGCAACCTTGTTAAATGAAAATATTTCTCGTGGAATTTTGGACATTTCTTCGGGAAAGTTTCAAAGAAAACTCAGGGAATTTGGTTTTCATAAAGTTCAGGGAAGCCTGCTATTGCAAATTGGGAACTGTACTGACACCTCATCGTGATGAAAGCATTGCAAACACAATTTTGATCTTATATGGAATTTCACCGCCTTGTCCGTGTCATTTTCAATTTGTCACTGGCCAGCCAACTTTGTTTTGTTTGCAGATGTTATAGTCTGGTGTACGGCACCTTCTGCTTCAGTGAGCACATCACCGACGGTGGGGCCGAGATGCTTGGCAATCTGCCAGCCCTCTCGTCCCTGGATGTGTCTGGATGCAGCATCACTGACACTGTGAGTAAAGTCTAAGGGAGGTCAGAGGTCAATGTTCCCAATCTGAAAGTCGCAAGGTTTTGCAATCCTCATGTTCCATGAGCTATACCTCACCTGCAGATTCTTCACAGTGTTAGTATACACATATAGACTGGCAATGAGGTCACTAGCGCACGTCTATGCCCCCCGAGGTACTGTGAGTGACTCCTATTTCCTGAGGCCGATGGCCAAGGGAAATAGGACCCTCTTCTGGTCACTCACAGGTCCCAGGGGGGCACTGACGTGCACTAGGGACTGAATTATGCCAGTCCATATGTGTTTTATAACTCACCTCTGTCCAAAATATAAAATAAGAAAAGAAACCTTTCAGGGTTTTATTATTGAACTGTTTTAATTCAACAATTAACTCATAAGCAATTTAACTGTAAGCAATTCAACAATTAATGGAACGCTTTTAGTTTCCCTAGATTAAATTTTTTTGAGTTTGAGTTTTGTCAGAGGTGCTGTTACCAGTCAAAAATGTTTGAGAATAGTGCCCGCTCAGGCACTATACTCTGGAAATTATGGGCGCGCGATGTCTCGATGCATGTCTAGGTCACGCTGACGCAAGTTTCATACACTACCCTATATTAGTGAATCACACGTGACCGCGTTTCAGCCAACCAGGATACGTGGATGCATCATGCTTAACAAAATCAGACTCTGAAAGGTAAGTATTATTTCTATAACAAGCAAGAGGTGTGTTATAAAGATATCTAGTTTACCTGACTGATTAGCAACTGTAAGACATTTAATTACAAAATGTTTTCAACCTATATTTCTGGGGCACCATCCGGCTTCAGTAACCAAGCCTCTCTATGGGCTTTGTGCGCTAACGAAGAGGGCGCCCTTTTACCTAGCAACGACGTCCCGTGGGCGGGACATTTAGCTGGTTGACGCGCACCGTTCCTTGTGTGTGAGGCACGTACACCAGGGGATTTGTACTATGTACACGCAGCGGTACATGATACGGCCGTGCGTCGCGGCAAAATTGCAGTCAGGCAAGATGGCGTCGGTCGGTCCCCCCCCAACTGTGCTTTCTTTGCCGGTGAGGGGGTACTTGTGAACAGAGCGGATAGGTCACACCCGTTTGTTTTATCTGATATGCAGGGTCTGGGTGCCCTAGGCAACAACCCCCACCTGCGGGACGTCACGCTCTCTGAGTGCTACCAGATTACGGACCTCGGTGTGCAGAAGTTTGCCCAGCAGTGCAAGGACTTGGAGAGGCTGGACCTGTCCCACTGCACACAGCTGACGGACGGGGCTATCAAGAACCTCGCCTTCTGCTGCCGCAGACTGACCGTGCTGAACATAGCTGGATGCAAACATGTAAGAAAGATAACGATGGGACTTTGCGTTTAATTTTGTAAACGTTTGGCAAAACAATTAAGCACCGTTTAAATGTTTAGCCACTTCACAAAGGCTCACACCTGCTCTAGTATGTTCGAACCCCGGTGTGCTTAAAAAGCAAAATCATAAATTTATTCCTTACAGCACAATGAGCGTCGATCATGGACAAGCATTACATTCACTGTGTGGACTTCCGAACAAAAGAGGTCCACATAAACCAGTTTTCAGATACAGTGTGTGGACTTGCCCACGTCCACACAAGGTTCCCCCTCTCTGGAAAACAGGGTTAAGAGGCATATTTGGGTTAAGTTTATCTGTCACAAAATGAAGAGAAACATTCAAGGGAATCATAGAAACAAATTTGGGTTAAAAGAGTTTTCACAGTGTGAGTAAAATGAGTTTTTTGACAGGTTTTTCTCAACTACATGAACACACAGGAATATCCACACTGGGTATGTAACATAAACGTGTCTGCGCCAGCAGCATGTTGTAAACATAAAACAATAAATTGTATTACTTTATGAATGTATAACTGACACAATAGAGAGTCGACAGTCATTGGAAAAACTGCTCAGAATGTGATTAAGTGCTGTGGTGCTTCCAATGCTTTGTAAATTAAGTTGGTTAAAGGGATCCTTGATTCTTTATAAAAGGCATTTCCTTAAAAAATGTAAGAGCCCACTAACATCCCTGTGTGAACCCACTGACATGGCTGCAGTAAGTGTGACACATTTCCTGATGGTTCATATTTGTATGTTTCCTGTCCCTTAGTTGACAGACCTGAGCATACAGTACCTATCGGGGGTCTGCCACTATCTGATCAGTCTGGACATCTCGGGCTGCGTCAACGTCAGCGACAAGTCCATCAGGTACCTACGGAAAGGATGCAAGCGCATGCGGGTACTGGTTATGCTGTACTGCAAGCATATATCCAAGTAAGTGTGAGAGTAAAAACCTTCAAAGAAACCACTTAGGGAAACTGACTAGGTGTAATATAATTAGTTAGTACTTAAAGATATAGTCCATCAAATGTTATTTGTGCATTGTGTTTGTTTGAAGCAACAAAAGTGCTCAAAATCTAAAGAAGGGTGCTGAACAAGTAACCTGATGATGTTTGAGCTCAGCTTCAGCTGTATATTTCGAGAAAAACAAAATTTTAGGATCTTGATTTTAAATCAAAAATTTGCTGAATCTTGTTTGAACTGGGCCTGAATTCAACGTCTGAGACATGTTTTCACTGAGCCAATTGCAGCTACGCGATGCCGCGCACTGATTGACGAATTATAGCAACCGCGCGCGCGTGTGTGTTGTGTCAACGCTTGCGCATGCTTCGCTGAATAAAAAACCGAACTACTAGTGGGAATTTCCAACGATGCGTCTTTAGAGGCATCGTTGGATTTCCAACGATGCGTCTTTAGATGCATCATTGGAATGGCCTTCTTTCGCTGATTTCTTCAAAATGACAGCTTGCCAGAAAGAAAAATTTCATAGGAAGTCCCCTTACTATCTTTCAACCAAGTATGTTTTTCAACGATAATTACGTCAGTTACTTTTTGGATAGCTGCAAATGATGGACTGTAGCTTTAATTTTAAATTCATAATTGAACAAAGACATGGACTGGAGCGGGGTTTGAACCTGCGACCTCCGGATTGCTGTTCCAGTGCTCTACCAACTGAGCTATCCAGCCCTGTGTTGGCAGTTTCCCCACTTGATCAATGTCTTAGTTCAAGGGGCGCTAGTCAGAAGCCATAAACCCGTATATGCCATGTAGCCAGGAATCACACCCAAAGTCACGATGCTAGCAACATTAGCAATGCTGCAATCCCACTCAATCTACATTTGTAATCCAGCACTGCTCCGTACCTTTCGTTTGTAACTGAAAAATATTATATTTGTTAATTTTTTTTCAGAGCATCTTACACCAAGCTGGCCGCCAAAATTGAAAGGGTCAATTGGAGTGACGACCCCGTACCCAGCAGCTTCGGTCCCGGGTTTGACTACCTAGCCGCCCTTCAGAAGGCCGACGCCGACAAGAAAAGGAAGGAAAAGGAAAAAGAGAAAGAAAAAGAGAAAGAAAAGGAGATGGAAAAGGCCAAGGGGTCAGGGGAAGGAGATGTGAACGAGAAAAGCAAAGACGAGGACAAGATGAGCAAGATCTTTGAGTCGGAGTCCAAGGTGTCCGAGGCCGACCTGAAGGAGTACGAGAGGAGCGTCAGGATTTCTTACTCCACTACCAACGGGGAGGATAGGAGAAAGATTGAAGAGGAGAACCTGTGGGGCGGGGAGAAATCGGACGACGGGGGCGGGACAGCTGAAGAGGACAGACATGAGAATGAAGATGGCATGGATGATAAGAAAATGGAACCGCCCACAACAGTTGAGGAAACCCCGCCCATTAGCCAGTGAAGCGAGTGATCGCGAGTTGTTGGGCCAAATGTACAACTTATCACCTTTGTGTGTGTGATATTGTTGTCCTTTATGACCGAGGGCTTGGGACAATAGGGGATTTGCGATAACAATAACTCCGAGGACCTGAGCCAAGTCTTTGGGAGGTTTTCGTGTACAAACCTTACGGGACATGAGAAAAAGTTAGTACCAAAGAAGGGAACAATAGGAAGTCCTCACAGGTATAAGATAACACGACTGTAAGTGTGTATGCCTGTATATAGAATCAAATCGTGGCCTTGAACAATAGAGGACAGTGGCGTCCTCAATTGACCGAAGGTCCACTTTTGAAGTGTGTGTACAAAACATATAGGAGGTCTTCCTAAAAAGTTAGTGATTTTGTCCACAATTGACCGAAAGACCACGATTTAAATTCGTATACAAAACCAATGAGAACTGTTGCTAGGGGTACAAACAAAGGAATGAGGATTAGGGACAATAGGGGGTCCACGATTGCCGGTGTTTACCATGATGGGTGTGCGTGTGTGGTATTAGCAATGAAAATATCGCAGTGTGTGTGTGTTTATATGCCTGTTCAGTAATTTGATTTTGGTCATGAAATAAACAGAGTGGCATATGAAGCTACAGTCAGCATAGGGCTGCATAGCTTGGTTGGTACAAAGCCAACAGGTAAGCCCAGTCGTTTAACGTCAGAGTACCATGCGACCATCTGGTTTCCAATAATCATTGGCCACTATTGCAGTTGGGGGTTGTCATAAATGTGCTGACCCAGGACTAGGTGTTGGCTCTGCGTTTCTCTCACAGTTTTTGCCATCCATTACAGCTTTGAAGGCTTGCCTACTACCTACATGTACTATGCACAGCACTACACAATCTTTGCCTACTACAATGGCAGCGTTGACTTCCCTGTGGTCAGTGAGAATCCTCTATTTGGTAATCCAAAAGTTGGAGCCTGGAGGTTGAAACCCTTTTTGTTGATTTCATTCATGTGGTACCCAGTCCTTGTCAACAATTTTATTATTCTGGACTTGATTTCAGCGTTTGAAAAGTCTCAACGTGATTTTCAGTTCCTGAAATAGTTACTCTTAGTTTGAGGTACGTCAGTGACAGCATGAAATAAATTGTCTTAAAATGCTGTTTTGAAAAGTGGAAAGCTTTCAACAACAGAAACTGCAGATAGATTGACACAGAAAAATGTACCACGTGACCAACATTAAATATTTTATTTTGCAGCATATATATGTAACTCCATTTCACCTTTTTTCCGAACACTTCTACTCACTACTTTTGTTCACAACACTTAAATATGAGGCAAAACTACTTGATACCATAACTAGTTTGAATGCCCTTTTTTACTCAGTAACTTGAAGTACACAATGGTTTCAAGCAGGTTCCAAAAGAAGAGTGCGACATTTTTAGTCGAAAGTCGCATTTATAAAAATTTGATATCTACAACCAACTCGAGGAAGAAAACAAGAAAGACAAAGTTGGCATTTAGCATCACCATTAATACAACGACTTGTACATTTTTAACCACTGAAATTGATCTAGAAAAACAAAGTGGCTTCATTATTTTACAGTCATTTTAATGAAATCGTTATCTTTAAATTTGGTCCGATCATATTCCCCCCCCCCCCGACATTCCTGAAATTTACGCATCCACAAAACAAACCTCATACCCCTGTGATGCTTTAGAAAGGGGTAATAAATATTGAATTGTATTTGTCAGTGTGTTTGGAATGAACACATGCATGCTCACACAATTGCAAAACTTGCTGTTTAGTTTTATAAACCAGTTTTGCGTTGTCACTGGAAAAGTTTCATTTAAAAATGTAGTAGGTGTGCATTTGCTATTTGACATTGTGTGGTGGTGTTTTGTTGCTGTTCCGTTTAAATAGTAATAAATTAAGTTTAATATATTAATTAAGGACAGAGCCACAGTCGTACAACTACAACCCGTAACTACCCAGCACACATATCCTTTATACACACTCCACTATCCAAAATCCACCACACGGCCGTGCACTTGCATTTATACAATTTCAAATGTACAAATTGAATAACCATACCATTCAGCTGCAACCGAGTTAAATGTGACAATTTCTTTCTGAACAAAGTGAAATTAAATACACTACTATACATACACAATGCCCATGTGAAAACAGTGCCTACTCAAAACAGAAGTTGAAAGGTATACAGGATCATTAGCTTTTTGTGAATTTTTTTTTTTTTGGAGCAACAAAATTGCTTAAAATTGTAAGAAGTGTGTATAACAACTAACTTGTTGAAGTTTCAGCTCAGTGGATACTCTACATTTTTGAGAAAACAGAAAAAATGTAGGCACAATTTTTGGGGTCTCGTAACTAGATTCCGTAGGTAACACGTATAAAACTGCCCACCTAAACCACCTCAAATGGTGGTTTTCTTCCGAATGATACCATTTCAAGGTGGAATAATTTCACAGGGTATTTGGTACCAGGCCTATCTTTACTTTACGCAAGGATCAATCTTGTTAAATTGGTGGGTACGTTTCCAGAAAAAAATTGCAAATTTGTGTATGTACCTTTATAGACCTTTATCATGCTGCCACCATTTCAGTCATGTTACCTGTATAAACCAATAACAGTACTGAATGATACTGTTTTTTGTGCAAAAAGGAACCAGACTACTTTTCCTTCCAACCTCGCATTGGTGACGTTGATTTGAATGGGAAAAAATCAAGATGGCCGCAAGATAATTGTCTACAGGTGGCACACACAGCTTGCAAAGTGGAATAATTCTGCCAAGCATAGATCTGTCCCAAGCCAAATTCAGCAGACGGCCGGCCCCAATCAATGCAAATGTACATTGACACATTTTTGGCCGGCCCCCTAGAAAAAATGGTGTCCTTTTTAGTAGCAACTTAACACGATTGGTTAAAATTTGTTAAGGCAGTTTCACATTTAATCCATAGCTTTCTAACTAGGAAAGTTAAAAGTATACCCCGGATTTACAAAAACACATTTGTATAAATCGAACATGAAAGTTTGTTTCCTACATTTTATAAAGATCTATTTTAAATTGTTCATAACAACATTGTACTATAAATATGTATATATATTAGCTGTAAACGTTTGTTAAAGTATTTGTATAATTGTTGTATTTATATGCATTCAATAATTTGTTTATCGCAGTTTACTGGCCTTTTTATGAATAAATAAAGCAATTTATAAAACGTCTACATGATTGAGCTGATTTCTAAGAATTTATCAAAATGTTTTCTTCATTTTTTAAGTGTCTTTGGAACATCTTTAAAATGTGCTGCTGAAAGTTGACTTTATTGTATAGCTTCCCTTCCGATGTAGTAATATGGTAAGGCCAGGTTGTAGGTTCTTATTTTGTGTGCCAATAAACTGCAAAAACAAACCCTGAGGTTAAAAAAAAAAATCATGCAAGTTGGCAATTTTTCGGTGACCGTACTGGATTCACAGTTTATCCTCTCACAATATTACATACATAATAATTAATAATTGTAGTGCTTATATAGCGCTTTCCATCGTATCAACAATCTCAAAGCGCTTTACAATTATTACCCCGTTCATCAGGCCATGGAGGGCAATTGTAGTTAAGTGTCTTGCCCAAGGGCAAAAACACCATAACCACTGGACCATGGCATTCTACATGTACACTGACAATAGGTTTGACAGATTTGTGACAGATTCGCAATAAAAACTAAAATAAATGACTTTCAATAATGCACATTTTCATAAATTTCTGTTAAAAGGCAAAACATAATGCCCCCTGATAAAAGTGACAAGGCCAAAAAAAAAAAAAATACTCGGTGTCGGGTCAGCGCGCGCGTCGATTTTAATCATGCGTGTCAACCGTTTTTTTTCTTCAAATTAACACGGAAGCTACAACAGCGCCCTCTATTGCCGCACCTCCTCAAATTTGTGTACCAAGGAATGGGGAAATTGCACCAAGGTAAATGATAAAGGGTACCAAGGCAAATTATGGAGGACACCAATGTATAATGAGGACACAAAAAAGCAAAATAGTACCCACCTTGTCTGTACAATTCAAGCTTGAAAAGGAAAAAAAGCCACAAAAAAACCCCAAAACACCGCGTCGCCGCATCAATTCCGGAACTTCAGTCTGACCAGAGACTGATTATTTATTTTTTTTGGCCTAACAGGTGTCAAGGTAAAATTTCATTAAACATTTTGGAGAAGGTACGAAAGTTTTATCCGAGTTAACCTTAAACCATCACATCATAAACATTTGATTCCCCAAAACCGACACTGCAGTATTCCAATCACACATTCTTAGTACTTGAAATAATTATTATAACTTTACATTATTGTTATTACTTTTACATGGTCCTTGGTGTCTAAATTTTGTTTTTCCTAGTATAAAAGAATGTGTTATCGGACAGTGGTTGGTTTTGGCAGATCCAAATTTCCCAGCAAGAGTGTAGGCTTAAGCAGCACCATCGAATTGACCCAAGCTTTCTCAGCTTCACGGTCCAGACAGCATCACCAGTAACCGTCTGGCCTGCTGTTCCACGTCGGCGTTCCCATGATGCATCAGTGTTTCCACGGCGACCCTCAACGCACGGGTGCCTCCGGTAAAAAGGCTTGAAAAGTCTTGTGAGGCACTCTCTGAGGTTGTTCTGACTGGTGTCGCGAGAATCGCCCGTCTCAGGTTGACGAGAAACGAGAGTGTTCTGAGGAGTGACTCTGGTGGATGGTGCGATGCCAGCAGGCTTGCAAAGTCTGTAGGAACCTGTAGATTAAAGGGTGCATGAAGTGAATTTTTCTTCGGAACATATTCTGTGCAACTTTCTACTCTTCAACATTCGAAAACAACTTCGGTTAATTTTATTGAAAAGTGCACTTCTTTAAACATTAAACATTTTCCATGCTTTTCCGCATAACTGAGGGTGCTGTTGCTGTGATGTCATTTCAGGAAGACACTGTTCAGTTTTGGGGTTTTCTGTTCAAATTGTAAATCAAAAAAATTGCTCATTGAAATACATTTGTGATAAAAGTTTGCTCATTGGCTTACTGCCATGTACTGACACAGCAAAAAATCACCAAAGGAAAGAAAATTTACAACAGCAAAATGTTCACAATTCTGGCAGGTTTTGGTGCTGAAATAGCTGTAACATTGAGGTTTCTGCCTGAAATGACGTCACACTTCTTCTTATGAATATGAAAGTTTACATTTGCATACAATCCAAATAGGCACCAAAACATCCATGAAAATGGCAAAACAAAATTGAAAATAGGGTGAAATGGGACACACAGGAGCATTTTCAAGGACTGCATTAAAGTGCATGAGCCCTTTTAAAGTGGGAAGAAAACATTAACTAATGCGCCTATCACTGCATATTTCAAATGTATCCAAAGATATTGGGGGCGAGGATTCGTCTGGGAGACCATCGCAAGATGAATTCGAACCTATTTGCTTGCTGACGACGCCTGACGTTTGCGCAAAGATGCTGTGGCTAATAGCTTTAGCACATTCAGGAAGTTGTGCGTACTTTGCCCGCGAACAGTATGCAAACGCTGTGTTTTCCGTCCACGGGTGGACAAAACGTGCCCTCTTTTGTTGGCGCACGGAGCCCAAACTCTGTGAATCTGACTAACTTAAACAAACATATACCTCAAAGCTGAGCAGTGCTGGCACCACTGTTTCATCTGCGGACAGGTTGACCAACACTCGCAGAGCTTGCTGGCCGAGTGATGACGAACCGTCTCCAAGGAGCTCAAAGAGACTCTGTAGGGCTGACGGCTGGCTGAAGTACTCCCCACACCGACCGCTGACCGACAAGTTGACCAGGGCTTGAATGCTGGCTAGCCGGAGTCCCTTCGTGTGGAGGGGGTCTGTGCTAAGGCTGAGAAGTGTTGGAATACAGGCCTAGGGAATTAGGAAGGAAAAAAACAAACAATAGATACTTGTGGATGACGGCAATGCTACAGCCATCAATTATTTTTCTGTATTTATCTGTAATGGTGACCATCCCTCTCTGGCTGGGAAATTCAGCTACGACATCAAAGCAGTTAAAATCAATCAATTGACTGTTTTCAACAGTTCAGAATTCCCTTGTTAATTTGATAAAGCCATGCTTTGACTGGTGATTGATATGCCAGCTGTACCTACCAGTTACCTCCTTTGTCTGTGTACGGAATTTGACTAGTCACAGTGTTTACACAAATGTGGCCTGACCGTTTTTTTTTACTAGTCTGTATACAAATGCATGGCAGGGGAAGTGGAAGAAACATTTGATTGTCTGTGACTGATCAAACAATAAGAGGGTTTCAAATGGTCTAGAAGCAGCAGGTTTCAATTTGTAAAGGCAACTTTGACAGTTATTTATGGGTAGACGTATGAAGTTACATCATTCACATGATTTGTGACACAGGATGAAAACTCAGATACAGTTTTGGTACGGTATGCAATTGCCATGCACAGGATGCTGGTACCAAGCAGAGGATGCAATTGTGGTGCAGAGGATGTTGTTGCTATGAAGATGTTGTTGCTAAGGGGATACTGTTACTAGGCTCAGTCTGCTGTTGCCAAGCAGAAGATGCAACTGCCATGCAGCTGTTGCACTTGTTGTCACACAGAGAATGTGGATGCTGTTGAGAGGATGCAGATGTCATGCAGGAAATGTGGTTGCTAAGCAGAGGAGGTGGTTTCAATGCAGCGGATGCAGTTGCCATGCAGAGGACGCAACTGCTATGCAGAGGTTGCACTTGTCACACAGAGAACATGGTCGCCGTTGAGAGGATGCAAATGTCATGCAGAGAATGTGGTTGCCCGGCAACCACATGCAGAGAATGCGGTTGCCATGTTGCCATGCTGATAATGTGGTTGCATCCCTCCCACGCCAACTGCGTGTTGCGAGATTCACCCTTCTGCATGCAACTTGCCCCTAATCTTTTACTCCTTCCACTGAATTCCTGAGTGACAGTGTCTTACCTTGAGTACAGGCTGGTTGTGGCTGTTTAGGGAGAGGTTGGCAATGCAGCTGGCAGTACATGTCCTCACACGGTCAGAGTCTCTCCCGAGAAGTCTTATTATAACTGGTAGGCCGCCTGCAAACCACACTGCATTCTGCCCAGGGAAGAAAAGGAGTCACATACATTTACGCTTACATGTACTTCACAGTGACAAACATTTGAAACACTGAAAATATCCACTCTTCTCTATCATTGGTGTGTGCTTGTGTAGACATGGAAATTGACAAATCGTCACTTTGAAAACTATTTACAAACATTACTATTGTGTTGCAGTGAAACACAATAGTCAAGTGTCTTGAGACTAGACTGTAGCAAAGGCATTCCTTTTTTACAATGTTCATAATCGTCAGGTTTATACTTGTGATTTGAAATGTCATTGATTCAGAAAGGTAGGAAAGATAAAGGAATATTCAGTCCGCTTTACTCACCTGTCCTTCTGTGAATGCTGCTTTGTTAGCAATAGTCGTCAACACTTTGCACAGCTGGCTCTCGTCATTGGTATCAAGCAGTTTAATCAAGCTGACTACTGAGATCTCTCTCTCAGTATTTGGACTTCCTAATGCCCTCGATTTATCTTTTTGTTGTTCCCGTTCCTCTAATAAAAGTAGAAAATTTCAGAGAAAATTTATGACGAGAAACTATTAATAATAGGCCTAAAAATAAAAACCTTAATAACACAGATGCTTCGGATTCAATTCAATTAGTTACAGCCTCTATAAATACAATAGCCCCATAAATGTGGCCAATTTACTGGACTACCTCCGTAAATAAAGGCCACACTTCCACCATGTACAAAAACATGTCAAACTTTGTCAAATTTTTATTTTGACTACGTGGAGCCTCATAGTTCTAGGAGTAGGTAGGCCCTATAAATGAATCCCCAAGAAACTTCAGCTCACTACAGTCAGGATCAAGGGAGGAAAAAACATTTCATTTTTTTTACCAAAAATGGCCTAAATCTGAAACATTTTCTATATACTACGTGGAGCCTCATAATAGTTCTAGGAGTACGCGGCGACAACACGCTACCCGAAACTAAAGATGGCGATCACCGCGCGATGTACAGTGAGGGTACACGCACGGCGCGCTGAATCGCAAGGCACAAACCACGCTGGAAAATCGTGATTTCTACCACAAGAATCTGTTCAAAATTGCAAAAAGGGTGTCATTAGATTAGAATTGAAAAAAGTCTGCTTTTGATTGTAAAGGTGATTTTTGAGCAATAAAAAACATTTTTTACTCTAATTTGATCAAAACAAAACAGGGGCCCTACACTTCACGATTGCCTATAGATTTACGGAGGTAGGCCTAGTCCAGTAAATTGGCCACATTTATTATGGGGCTATGCTTTTGGCTGCTGGAGGGTAGGGCATGTCCGGAAACTGGGCACTGCCGCAAAGACACAAGTACTGTTATTATTTCACCTTTAGCAAGATGCTGTTCCGATGTACTTGCAGACACTGTGTCCGACGGCTTTCTCTTGAAAATGTATCTCGATCTATAATACAGATACAAAGCCCCAGCAACCACAACGGTGAATGTTGTCGCTCCGATTATTATTCGCGGGAAAAAGCTCATGGGCGCCGCCATCTTGTAAATTGTCAGGCTCTTTGGATATGACTTTTTATTTTCAAAATGAAAATCGATGTAAATTAACAAACACGATGTACTTTGATGTGATAAAAATAAAATGAAACTTTATATTTTATTTGTATGAATTTTCATATAGCTACTGATAATAACAAGTTTCATTTGCCAATCTCAGTACGATACAATATCAGCAGAATTGATTGAGCCTGCAATTTACGCCCTCAGCGTCAGAATTGTTTAGTGTTGAGGGAGCACTCTGACATCAGCTTCAACTTGCTTGACAAATAACTTCAAAATGCCTATGAAAGGCCGCTTCCCGCTAAGGCGGACGTTACGGTACCTGGAACAAGGCCATGTACATTTAAAAGATACCGTCAAAATTGTGACAATCAATTATAAGACTCATGGAGACTTCAGCGAAGGAACAAGGTATTAAAATTGGCAGTGTATATTTTGCCGGAGACGGCAAACCTTTAGTAAACGTTAGTTTGCCGGATATGCACTGAACATGCGCAGTTACTGTTTTTTTGTGACAAGTTTTAGTCTGGCTCCATGCCAAAATTATCGTTGTTACCTCGTATTCACAAGATGGGATTCAGACAATGTCAGACCATTTTATAATTTCGGACTTTGTTTCCCTTTTAGTTTAAAAAAAAATCCTCCAGAGCCACAAATCTGAAAAAGAAAATGTAATACTCTGCAAAAAATGTTTGAGATATGTTAAAATAAAAAAAGAAGAATATTCTTATTTATTTGGGGATGAGAAAAAAAACTTTAAAATGTGGTGCGGTCGGAATCGAACGCGAGTCATCCCGCTTACTAGAGCCTTTGCTTAACCACTGCACCGTATGTGCTACACAACTTTTGGTGGGAATTTAATACATCTTATAATTCAGCCCTATTTTAAAGAGTACAGCGCCCTCTGTTGATATGGATTGCCGCCGGCAAAACTTTAGTAATCGTTAGTTTGCCGTCATTACCTCCGGCAAAATATCCACTATCTATGAATTATGAGTCTGACTTCATTCATCATTGAATAATATCAAGTTTAAAATATATGTTTTTTATTTCATAATTCGTATGTAGAACCTTGCAGAATTTCTAAAAGGACAAATGTCCGAATGAAGATAGTATTGACCATTGATTGTTTTTGTATTAAATGCAACTGCGAGGGTTTGTGTTTGTTCCCCAGTTTGTTTCTTATCAAATGTTATGGCCTGAATCGTGTAAATCATCAATCATTCATAATCATATGATTAGGCCTAGTTATCATTGCAGATTTCATGCTATGTGGGGATTATCCCAGGTTAGCCTGGACTAAAACTAATAGTTTAGTCCAGGGACTGGCCATAGCCCATAGACTGGAAATATTTGATGAACTTTTAAGCCCGGCAAAAGGCAGGATTTTGCAGTTTTTACTTTCAAGTTTAAGTAGTAGCCTTTAATTTTTGCAAGGTCTTTTAAAAGACCTTAGTTTTTATTAAAATGGGTTATACATGTATCAGTGTTGGAGCAAAGGCTTTGACCCTCAAGGCCAAGGCCAAGGCCAAGGCTTTGACCCTCAAGGCCAAGGCCAAGGCCAAGGCTTTGACCCTCAAGCCTCGAGGCCAAGGCCAAGGCTTAACCCTCAAGGCCAAGGCCAAGGCCAAGGCCCTGTTTTATGTAATGACCACTGATATAGAACTTATTATAGTCACATGAGTGACACATCATCACGCAAGGGCGGATCCAGAACACAATTTTTTTTGGGGGGGGGGGGCAAATAAATGTTGGTCCCCCCCCCCCCCCAAAAAAAAAGTGGGTCAAAAAAATACGGCTTGGGCTTTGGGGCCCGCTTAAGGGTCCGGAAAAATGTTTGGATTCGAGATGCTCTGTGGTGCGATTTGAGGCAATTTCTGACCATTTTAACCGATGTTTTTTGAGGAAAAGATGGTTGTGTACTCATTGCCTGCCTTTATTACGACGTCACTAAAAAAAAAATGGTTTCGTTTTTTTGTTTTGGGGGGGGGGGGGATGGCCCCTTTTGGCCCCCTGGATCCGCCCTTATCATCACAAATTGCTCGTTACGAAGAACAACATTTCTTTAATTGCAATCAACATGCTCGCATAGGCCTACACCGTTTTATGACTGCACTGTATCTATTAAAGTATAAGTTCAGGTCTTCGATATGGTTTAACTAAAACAAAATAATGATTTACTTCTATATTGACACACAATTCTCCCAAGTGTAACAAAAGGGGGATCCAAGAAACTGATTTGGGAATTTTTTATTTGCTGGCCCAACATGGTCAGAAATATCAGCATTATCTAAAACAGATACATGCAAATCTTTAGCACTTATCAGGGAGACATAGGCCTATACAACCAATCAGATCTATTCCATAGTTATGTGCAATTAAAGTGATCATCTCATTAGCCCCACAAGTGTACAGAATATTTTTGCAGCAAATCTACTACAATGGTAACAAAATGTGATGCTACAAAAGTGGAAGTGTGCCCAACACACAAATCTATAGGGTGCTTCCCTCCTCCGTGGTAATACGATTAAAATGGTAACAGCAAAATTTCGAACAGATTTATCTGGAAAATGCAAGCATCTATGGGCCTTGAAGAGCCTTGACTCAAAATTGCAAGGCCCTGAACCCTCAAGGCCAAGGCCAAGGCCAAGGCTTTTGCCCTCAAGCCTCGAGGCCAAGGCCAAGGCCCTAAAATCCAGCCTTAAGGCAGCCTTAAGGCCAAGGCCCAGCATCAAGGCACCACATCACTGACATGTATCTTCCTTTTTTATTTATTTCTTATCGTTATTTCTGTTTCTGCAGGACTCTGAAGAGTTTCATGTGTAAATCACCCAAAGTCTCATTGCTTTTCATCCGAAATGGTCAAATGGCCTGATAAAAATGGCAGCTATTAATATAAATCTTACTTCCATTTCTATTTCAGAGACTTTGTCTTCTACAACTTGCCTCAGCTTCAATACAAGAATCCCACCGTTCAGATGAAGACCTTCCAGAATATTACACCATCACCGTACATTAGATGTTTTTTGGGTAAATAATTACAGGGCAAGATTACCATATGCGAAGTTCACTAATTTTCCTCTGTATTGACTAACAAGCCCCCAGATAGCAATTTCATGTCATCAAAGTCAATTTGAGCAGTGAGAAAATACAAGCATTTTCTTAGAAAACACTTAGAATTTTTCAGTCCACTCTCATAGGGTTTGTACACAGAGTGTTGAGTGAACTTCGTATATGGAAATCTTTCCAATTACAGTAGCAGACTTTCGTGAGATAGCATGTTGAATTGAACACATATTGGAATTTTGTTGGCTTCTTTAAAGATTGTACATGTTACATGTAGTTTCCATATGACAATCATGAACGACTAACTTCATAAAATTTAATATATTTCACATGGTGTAAACTAGAGTTTCCTCAGAAAATAGCACTCAGTTTATTTTAATAAACACACTCAGTTTTTACATCAGGACCCTTCGTTTTTAAGATAAGACAGGTTTATTTAATGGTTGCAGACATGGGAAATGTTAGCCCGAAAAGGTACTGAAAACATGCAATACAAGAAAATAGACTGGCACATGAATCGACTGGCACAAGAATCGACCAGTCCAAAAACTCTTCAGTACTGCATCAATCAACTGTCAGCTGACTGTGCCAAAAGAAATATCTAGGATGTCGGGTACTAGGTCACTATTTCTACACATTTCTGCTTAGTCAGGCACCAGACTAATGAAAAGGAATGAAGAAGTCAGTCTTGTCAAACAGTTGGACCATGGATGGACATGTAGAAGTCTAGTCTTTAGCCTCATTTTGAAATCACTTGACTTCCCTCTCTTGTGCAAGGCACTGCCAAATATTGAAGAAAAGTCTCCTTTAAAAAATTGAATTGAGTCTTCAAACTTGGTTGGTGAAATACTGAGGACCTTTCATTTGCCCAGTGAATGTTGTGGAGAAATTTGCTGGCTAATGAGTGAGTAAAGTTGGCCTGATCTTCTTTTGCATCATTTTGAGCACTTAAGGTCCCAGTCTGGGGAAATATGTGTATTCCTGTACCATATTTAAAAGAGAAAAATGAAATATATATGAGCAATGTGGTTTCTTCTGTTTTTTTCCCCCACAGATGACGGGAATGATGTCTTGATTGACACCGACAGTAAGAGCAATCTAGAGATCCTAGAACACCTAAACAAAGTGCTGGGAAAATCAGAGTAAGTCAAAAAGCTGACACCTTGAGAAAAACAATTGCAAAAAAAACCATTTGTGTAATTAAAACAATCTCCCAAGTAAAACAGATCAACAGAGGTGGCAGCAAGTCATTGTTTGCAAGTCCAAGTCAAGTCACAAGTCATTGTTTGCAAGTCCAAGTCAAGTCACAAGTCATTAGGTCCAGTCAAAAGTCAAGTCACAAGTCATTAGGTCCAGTTACAAGTCAAGTCACAAGTCATTTGGTCTAAAAACAAGTCAAGTCACAAGTATCTTTGTCCAAGAACACGTCAAGTTGCACATTATTTTGTCCAGCTGTAATAAGCTAAAAGAATTAACCTGGCGTGAACTTACGAGTTATTTTGAACATGCCTCCTTAATTCCCCTTTTTCAATGTGTTGCAATTACTATTCTTGTAGTTTATCACGTATCTGTCGGATATTAGCCCTTTGTATACTTTAATAAATTTACTTTACATTGTAGAAATAAATGCTGAGATGACCGTGAAAAAAAGACTTCCTCACTCGATTACATGTAGTATACTATCACTTTATTGTTCAATTTTCATGTATACTAAATGCCTACCAATGGGTTAGGCTATCCGGTATTGTACATGCAATTGACAAAGGCCTGCTTTCTTTTCATGAAAGGTTCCTTTCAAAGTTTGTTCAACCAATACATTAAGCAAGAGACAATTGGTCATTGAAAACTGTAGTTTGTTGTGACAGTCTTATTGAAAACTTGTGAAACTAGTGGGAACTAGTCATTTTACTGGATTCAGTCACTGAGGTCTATTTTCTGGAATGAAAAAGCTAATTAAAAGTATAATAGCTTAATTAAAGTGTATTGGGTCGCTCGAGTAGCGTCTGACTTGGGTTGGTAACAAGTCATTTTTTGCAATCCCAAGTCAAGTCACAAGTCATTGTTTGCAAGTCCAAGTCAAGTCACAAGTCAAAGCTGGTATTTACAAGTCAAGTCACAAGTCACAAAAATAGCGACTCGAGCCCGACTCGAGTCCAAGTCACATGACTCGAGTCAGCAACTCTGCAGATCAACAGACAAACTTAACTTTCACATTTTCGTAATAACTTCCATCAGCTGCCAAGAAGTATGTTTAGTTTTAACAGAAGGTTCTTTTTTTGCCTTCGGTGTATTCGGTTGCCTTAAACTTGCTCGTGAAAATTGCTTTGTGTGATTTGGCCATTTTTGAAACCATTTTTTTTTTTACCCCAACTCAGAGAGGTACTGGAGAGGGAACGCAAAGCCCAAGAGCGGCAGTCCAACCCGGCCCACTTTGGTTCCGGTCACCGTAGGAGGTGCATATGCGAGATCCCAGGCCAGGTCCCCTGCCCAGGAAAGGTTTCCCTGCCCAAGGAGCTGCGGGGCAAATACCGCGATTTGAAAGCGGACAGTCTCAAGCCGCCGCGGGGTGTGCGGCCTGATTCATAGCACATGGATACCTGTACAGGACCTGATGACAAGGAGGAACGTTGATGTTTGACATTTTGATTGAGCTTCTTCGACTGAATCAGTGTGTGATGTTGGCCTCTGATGGTCACAGTTGTGTACCCATAGAGGAGGCAGGAGGCAGAGAATAGATGAAGCAGGAGAGGGTTGGGGAGGCTTGAGCCTCCAGGACCAAAAGGGGGAGGGGGGAAGAAGCCTAAAGACAATATTGTACTCCTTTGACTTTAGTGTCAATTTCACAATAGAAACCGGAGGTCTAAAATGCAATATGTATGTTATCATCTCCAACCTACTTTCAGATTTGCTTGTAAAGTTCTACCTCTCCAATGTCAATACAGCATGTGCCTTTTGTGGTCAACCATCGCTAATATACACATGCTTTTTTATGTAGGTTGACTCCAGATATGGGTGGAAATATTTCTTATTAGCAGGCAGACAAGCTGGATTCATAAGCAGTAGGGGAAGTGTGGGATTGTTTGTAACAGTTTGAAGCATCCAAGGTGGCAGTTATCTTTTCCTGAATTGTGTTCAATGAAGTCCTGTTGATCGATGGAATAAATTTCACCTTTTCTCTGATTCGTGCACATGGTTTGCTCAACAACTCATTCACCTTATCATAGGATCATATCAGATCACATCAGTGGTTCTCTAGCACCCGGTTGTAATAAGCACACGCGGCATTTACTGCAATCATGTGGCGCAGAGAAGGAGTATGAGCTGAAAAAAAACTACAGGTTCTAATGAATAAAATTTAAAAAAACACAAACAAAACGTTCTAAATAAAAACATCAACTACACGTTCCAATAAAAACATCAAAAACACATTCCAAATAAAAACACCAATTACATGTTTTAGTTAAAATACACATGTACATGTAGGATTTCCCGGCTGTTTTAAAAGATTTTTTTTCATTCAATTTCACCAACTCTATCATTTAATTTCGTACACGAAAAATTTCAAACGCTTTTAAACAAAACCAATTTAATCACTTGCCATTCAAAAGCTTTATTATACTTCACATGCAGCTTATTAATAATCACGTACAATGTAGAAATTACTTAGTAGAAAGTCTAAATTTACACCTATTTGTGTACTGAAGTCATTCCCCTGAGTCCAATTCCATACAAATGAAAACAAATTTTGTTATACTTGGACATCATTTCCCTTTCCTTTAACCAGTGCCCTGATCCGCTGTAGCCCCGCAACTTCCTGAGTTGTATAGATGTCTTTCACTTTCGTTTTGATCACATTGTCAACAATTGAAAAGTTTTCCCCAGTGACACCCAACATAGTCACTGACTCAGAAAAATAGGTGATTCCAACACTGCAGAAAAAAAATATATATATATGTGGTTTCTTCTTCTTCATTTAGATTAGGCCTTTTAGAGTCTGGCACTCCCCACTTGAAACTCTGGCTTTCATTAAATGGTACTCCTAGGATTTTTCATTTAATATAAAAAACCTGCTACAAATGCAGAAAAGATTGCTCAAATATCACTTATTTACAGAAACTGGTATTAGCTAATTGGCAAGTTAAATATAAAAATCCATTTGTTTTTTAATCTTTGCTAAAAACTACCCTGTATACAGCCTTTTGTGGTTTGTTCGAACCCTCCTGTCATTTTGTTTTAATTATCCAGTTACATTTTAATTCTTTCACTCAAAAGTAACACCTTCCCGTTTGACAGCGTCATGGGTTGAATTTTATTTTGCAAATTCCTTGAACCTATCGGAAACTTGTTTTTGGTAATTCCCCCCCCCCCAAAAAAGGCTGCAAAACTGGCTTCCCTTGGCCACAATTAGGTAAACTACCTAATGTCCTATTAGACAGAACTAGTAGAGTTATCAGTACAAGTAATATGTGAACTGGCATCGCAAAATGAGCATGAAGTTGGACTTGAGATGTTTATATATTTTGATTCTGCAGAACAAAACAAGAGCTTTCCAATGGTACATACAATAATTTTGGGGTACTAAGTTAACTAACAGGAATATAGACCGCCAACTTAAACGAACTTGTAACATTAATTTCTGAGAAAATGGCAATTAAAAATATTGCTGTTGTGTTACTGTGAATAACAGTCAACTTATTTAAACAGATCCCCCTGCAACTAACACAAATTCGACAACCCCAATGATCTTTGGGCTTTGTCCTACTGTATTTCAAAATGGCGATTTCCGACTTATAAGCTTTTTTTTTTGGTGACAAGGTCACATATGCAAGCGAGGAAATGTACAATACGTGCAAGTTCAAAATACAAACTATTATATAGGTTTTCCCGGCTGTTTTGAAACATTTTTCGTTCAAATTCACCAAATCTAACATTCGATTTCGTATATGAAAAATTTCACACGCTTTTAACAAAACCAATTTAGTAATTGACCATTCAATTTGGTCACCCTCTTTAGTCACCGGGTTGAGAATATTCGTCATTACAGATCAAATTCGTCTAAGCTGTTGCCGAATGGCAGCATTCAGAGATCGAATTCGTCTTATATTAAATCAATTAGTCGAATTTGATTTGGTTTGGCGTGGACGAGACGAAATCGAATGCTCTGGGACGAAAACGGTGTTCATCGTTTGAATTTGCTTGAACTGAATTTGAAATTGTCTGACAAAAAAAAGACTAAATCAAACATTGGTAGTGCACTAAATCGATGTTGATGGACGAATTTGAATATAAAGAACAGTGAATTCGAATGATAAACGTTTTGGAAATAGCCGGGAAAACCTATAGCAACTGTAATACTAAAAACTAAGTCTACCTCTTATATTTTTCAATGAATTTGTTTAAACACTTGCATGCAGTTAATTACCGGAAAACTGTAACTTTTCCTCGCACTGTCTATATGTGCAAGTCAACAATTATTGGTTACTCTTTTCCTTACCAAATATGTACGAGTTAGGAAAATACATTATGATGATTGAGTTCTTTATCTTTTACAATATTTATAAGCCAAACACTCAACCCATGAACAGAATAATACATTCACTGCAATGTCACTGTCCTGTTTTCTTCTCTTTAAAAAATACTGTAATTCCTTTCATGTTTTTCTGGTGTCTAATTTGGAGCAACTTGCCTCAAATTTGCATAGTCAATAAAACCACTATGTGAACAATCATTATTTTATTATTGTTAAAGTTTAAATTTGCTTTCTCATTTGGTTCTATTATAGAACTGTTAAGATTTTTGCCAAACACTCAAAAGCGCCTATTTTCTCAAACTTTGCCTTTCTATAAAAAAACTGTAGTTTTTGACAGGTGATTCATGTAAATCTAAGAAAAGGGACAAGAAAGACATTCCAGAAAATGACCAAAAATCTTTATCACCGCCAAGGGCGGATCCAGGGGGGGGGGGGGGGCCAAAGGGGGCCATGGCCCCCCCCCAAAACGAAACCAATTTTTTTTTTTTTTAATGTGACATCGCAATAAAGGCAGGCAATGAGTACACCACCATCTTTTCCTAAAAAAAAATTGGTTAAAGTGGTCAGAAATTGCCTCAGATCGCACCACAGAGCATCTAGAATCCAAAAATTTTTCGGGGCCCTAGCGGGCCCCGAACCCCACGCCGTAATTTTTTAGACCCACTTTTTGGGGGACCAAAATTTGTTTTGGCCCCCCCCCCAAAAAAAATTATGTTCTGGATCCGCCCTTGATCACCGCAAACAAAACTTGCAGTCATATTCACGGTTATATTTATGTCTTTTTTTACATTCAAAGACAAAGAGATCTCTGTCCTAAATTCAAAACCATCGGGCGAAAAAGTAATAATAACTGATACTTATTCAACCACAAAATAGTATAGGACATTTGGGAGACTTTTTAGCGTCATGAGTTACACCTTTGGGAGACGTGGAATTAGGGAGACATCTCAATGTCTCCCTATGCCTCAGCCCCAATTTAGAGGCAACATTTTACCATCGCAAACAGCAGGCTCAATCGATTGCTCGTGGTCCGCTTTGTAAAAAATACCGAAATTCGTGGGGGGTAGGTTAAGGTAAAATTGGGGTTAGGGGTCATTAAAGTTGGAGAAAAAAAATCGCGCACAAGTCTATAGGAATGTCTCCCTAGTCACTTAATAACCACGACATACCCAAACACTCAAACATTGTAACGAAAGCAACATTCGTTCAAGAAAATATTTAGTTTGCGCTGTACTCACATTTCATGAATATCATATTTTGTTCACAAATGATATTCAGAATATCACAAAGAAAGCAAACAAACGAGAAATTATATTTTAAAACATTTTGCAACTAATTTTTAATATAACTTTCCAGTTTTATTTTCCCTTCCCTCGGTGTGGTAGTTTGGTTCCCGCCCAGTGGCGCACCCAGGAATTAGCTGGGGGGGGGGGGGCCTCACATTTTTTTTCCAATTTTTTGTAGAAGTTTGATTTTTTTTCAGAAAATGTTGCCCAAAATGTTTGGCAGCAGAAAAGATATATTTTGTTGGGGGGGGGGGGGGGGACGGACTATTTTGACGTTGGTTGCTCCATTTACACCCCTATTATACTACTCGAAAATAGGCCACATACATATTACCGCGGTCAGAAAAAAGAAGAAGTGAAGTTTGGCGTTGGATCAAATAAAACACACAAGTCAAACATTTTTATTAATAGAAAAAAAAATGTCGAAGAGCACAGGGAACACAACTGTAATATTCCTTCCCCCTTAAATTGTTGCTGCTAGCTTTGATGGCACTTCATACCCGTGCAGATATGTCCTGCATAGGTCTTCTCGGGCTCTGCCTCTTTATCTTGACAGCCGGGTGTGGAACAGCTTTGCCAATTTTGCCTCAGGCAGTTGGATCATTCTTGCACTCTGGGTAGGTAGCATACGCATACTCGAGGCTTTCCTTGTACGCAGGAGAACCCTGCAGCTCCAGGTACTCCGAGGTGATAGGACCATCCTTATCCTCGAGGTTTTCCTTGCGCGCAGGAGAATCCTGCAGTTCCAGGTACTCAGAGGTGATAGGACCATCCGTTCCTCGATCGAGGGTTTCCTTGCACGCAGGAGAATCCTGCAGTTCCAGGTACTCAGAGGTGATAGGACCATCCGTTCCTCGATCGAGGGTTTCCTTGCACGCAGGAGAATCCTGCAGTTCCAGGTACTCGGAGGTGATCGGACCATCCTTATCCTCCTGGACTGCAGCATAAGCGTACTCTTGCATTTCTTGACCCTGCTCTCCATCAACCGTTATGGCATAATACCCATGGTCTGCTTGTGTCATTCTCGGTCCTGCTGGGGGGCTTGTGGACTTCCGGGAATGTTTCCTTTGCCGCACGAGCAAGATGATGAGGACAATCACTGCTACTGCTAGGACCGCTGCCACCATGATGAGAGCCACAGCGACTGGAGATAATTGTTCATTCGTTTGACAAGACGGGAACCCTGTGGTGAACCTGCTACTCCTAGTTGTCTCTTCCCACTGCACCCATGTGGAACTGACACTCATTGTTGCCTGTTCCCGGGAGATTACTTCAACCCTCGCGGTGGTAGAAGTCCCCTCCTCAACCCTAGATGCTGCTGGCATCGGAGAGCAGTTACGCGGTTCATCCAAGGCAGGTGTAGTCATGATGCAAGTGAAAGTCACGCCTTTGTCTTGAGCTTTTAACTGATATGGATGAAGAATTGAATTAGTCACTGGACCTACCAACTGTTCATTCCCCTTGTAATATGTGATGTTTGGAGCAGGTTTACCACCTTGAACATTACAACTAAGATTCACACTTTCTCCCACAGCCGCTGATGCAGGTTCTACACGACACCATGGTGACTCTGGGCTTGGTGGAACCAAAACAGTCAGCTCAGCCGCGCCAGCAGTCTCCGGTGTTGCCCCGGCAGAACCATACAGACACGCATATGTCCCTTCATCTGTCACCTGTACATTTGTGATCCTCAAAGTAAACTCGTCTTGGCTCTCATCACCGATGATCGACAGACGTTGTTCCAGCTGTGGGGGTAGAGTGGGCGCTGAATATAGCTGTCTATCAACGCTAAGGTATAATGAGCTCTCCCGATGACTCCAGTAGACGGTAGAATCGCCTGCATTTGCCAAGTCACAAATGAACTCGACTGTGTCTCCTGCACGAACTACGGCATCCTGCGGGCCTCTTTCTATTGTGGGTTGTGCCAGAACACGATCACAAGCAAAACTTACTAGGAAGAAATACAGCAGACCAGCGCGAAGTATAAATTTATCAATGGGAGACATGTTGGGGGCTTCAAGCCTTCGGACACAGGTTACCTCTCCACAAAGTTAACCCAACCAATGTTTTGTCAAACTGTTCCTGTTAGCAGAGAACTGTTTCGTGATCGTAACATAGTGACCCATTTCCCCCTTCTACTTATATTTATCACACCATTTTCACTGTTATAATTTTAGATTTACTTCCTGTTTTCTTAACACATCCTTTGAATGACTCTTGTCATTGATACTATAGGTATAAAACAGAAGCAAACTGAAAATCCTGTTTACAAAAAGGACATTTTTATTATCATACTGTTCCAACTTCAAAAGTTATAATAAACGTAATTGTGGTAAACAATTGTTGTCTGCTGTGATATAGTGTATGGTATGGTTTTTGTATGCACTCACCATTGGGGGTACCATATTGACGCTCGTTTCTCGTACAAACTACATGTACCATGGTTCCTAATTACCATGTACTCTCAAAGAGGATATGGGTTTTCTGACTTTACTCAGATTCAATCAGATCCAGTTGTTACTTTTGTGTTTACTTGTATTGTTTATATAAACATAGTATTTATTTTAATTGCATAGCAAGTGTACGCTTTGGTCATGAATATACCTGTATGTTTATTGAGTACGAGTTCGATCCATGGTTCGACTAATTCAGATCGAACGCGGCACGCTAGTCGAGGATTGTTCTGGACTAGTCTAGTCGACTATTCATGACAGCATATACCGCGGTTGGTTTTGGTCGCGCAACGATTTATAGCTGGTTGTCAATAGCGATTTTCATAGTATAGTGCAGAGGGGACCAACTACCAACAAAAATGGCGGAAAAAACGAAAATGTGAGTGCTATATATAGTAATGTCACGTACTTTGCCACCATTGTACAATAATAAAGGCGATTATGGAAGGTAGAGTACACAATCACCATTATTTTTTTGTAAATCATAAACAGAAATATCAACATGCGCATGCGCATGCGCATGCGCTAGGTACGTCACGAACCATCCACTAGTTAACCACTGGTCCTTAACCGAACTTGCCCATGTATCCCATCCCGTCATCAGAATAACACATGGCATTCCACTTTACTGTTTCCCTTTCTGTATGTGCATTTCCTTTGGCTTTGTCTAGGTCCACTGGCTGATCAGACAATAATATTTAAACTTTGGTTTGATGTTCTATGGGGTTTGTATTATTATCTACCCACATCTCATATAAATGTACAGCCAATAGGTGGCGCCCTTTATGTTACTGACACGACTGGAGCAACGTCTAGTCTTTTATAAAGTTCTGAATAGAAATCACACGGCACACTGATAAGAGTCCACAGCACATAAATCTGTTCGTATTTATTCATTTACCCAATCCGGCATCTTTGCAGGGTACACGGACAATAATTTAGTGGTTTTCACCAGGAAAACGTGTTTTGACCTAATATTAAATCTTACATTTTAAATTTTAAGAACACAAGTTAATCCGTTTTATAGTCAAGTGGCTTATCACTTGAATACAGGTCAACTCGTACGCGAACCAACTCGTACGCGACCAACTCGTACGCGGGACAATTCGTACGCGAACCGACTCGTACGCGGACCGACTTGTACGCGGACCGACTCGTACGCGGACCAACTCGTACGCGAGTCAACTCGTACGCGTGAGTTTAGACTGTTGGTTTGGCTCACATGGACAGACGAAATTAGGTTCGGTACGGTAGGTCAGCATAATTTTTACCTTTTCTGAAAGGTTGAGATTTTCAAATTAAATGTAGTTGATTTTTGAATCCGCCAGTGCTACCTACATTCGCGTTTTTTTAAGAAGAATTCTGCGTTTAATTGTTTGTTTGTTTTTTACAAGTTCGCTTGATTGATTGGGAAGTTGTCTTCGCGATAACCAGTATGATTGGTTCACAACATAATACCCCTAATTGATAAAAGATACCAACAAAACCGCTACTATACTAGCGGCAAACATGAAAGCTTTAACACACCCTTGTTACCACGTTTACGAAACAATACCCGAGCGCAACATAACACGTACGCGGCGTCACAATCACACTTCAGTGATTCTAGCTGTTGGCTTTCTGTGGCAGCGGGAAAGCGCACCAGGCATAGGGTGAAGTGGACTCGGGGAAAGCACTGAAGTTAGATAACAGTTTGACATTTTTGAAATCAAGGGGAAAATAATGATAGACACAATGTTTTTTTCATCTTTTTCTAGCTCGTAAAAATAGTTTTCATTGTATCCCGGACCATCGCACCAAATTAATACTGGCCATCATATATTTTGTTATGCTGCAAACAGATTTAAAATGGCTCAAAGGATAGAATAAAAAAAAGGAGAGGAAAGACAATGGAGAGGGCAAAGAAGGCTGGGGAAGAACAATAATTAAAAAAAAAAAGGAGAGAACAATTACATTGGGGCGGAATGTGCAGGGTTCGACCTCAACTTCTTGCACTAGCCAGCCGGGCTACTGGCCCACGGGCATTTCTACTAGCCCGCATTTTTTTCTTATCTCAGATACAAAATGGCGTACGAGTTGGTTCGCGTACGAGTTGGCTCGCGTACGAGTTGACCAATCCGCGTACGAGTTGACTCGCGTACGAGTTGGTTCGCGTACGAGTTGACCTGTTTCCGCTTATACTAGTTTGGCCAAGGCCGCGACGACTCACAGTGGTCACGTCAAAAGCACTCAACTTGGTAGATAGATCCCACCGTAGCCCTGGAGAAGATACAGGGTGAGACAAAAAAAAGCGAAACCCCAACCCCCCCAAAATATATTCTATATTTAAAAAAAGTAGCACCAAACATAATGATTGGAAAGCCACTTTCATATGCTACTTTAAGATGAAAAAAATACTGAAATTGCCCGATCCATTTAAAGAATATCACCATTTAAACGCAATGACCCCAAAACCTGTTTTGTCCTCCCCAAAAGCAGTTTATGGTGTATTCTGACTGTTTGGAACAACAAAGAAAATAACACAGAATACTTGTTTCAAAACTATCAACAACTCATGCCATATTTTCAATGGGGAGCGCTGTTAAAATCCTACAATCAGGCACACTATATTATCTAAAAGTGTACAAATGCACCCTTCTCATTTAGGGGGAGAACGTTCCCATGTACGTCAAATTCTTACATTTTGCTGTTGCATTTTATTTCATGGATTTTTTTTTTTTGGGGGGGGGCTAAAGCCCCCCCCTCTAATGAGCCCCCCGTAGAACCGCCACCCCTCGTGACTGATAGTGATCAAACTCAAAGCATACATTTTTAGTTCCAATTATACTGGCGCTACCGTTATAAAAGAGCAGCCACTCAGACATTTTAGGGCAATTTGGGGAGTTTTGTTTAATATTCATCTTCAAATAATACTTCCCCTGCTATGTAATTTTCACAAGACACGGCTTTGGTTAAAATACAGAAGTATAGAGGCATTTCGGAATTAATAACTTGGAAATTTGAATTCGGACTTTTTTTTTTAGAACGAAAGGGGAAGACACATAAAAGCCAGAAGAACTAAAACGATGATTTTTAATTTTAAGGGTGCATTTTCTTTGCTCGCATTTTTAAGCTCTGGCAGGAGCTTCTACAGCTTGGTGATCAGTCTGTCACGAAAATATTGACCATAATATAAGTATCGTGGTGTTCCATTATTTGCCATCGGCGCCGTATTTGTTGGCGTCGCATTTATTTTAAGCTCTGGCAGGGATCATTTCGATCGATTTCACGAAAGATTTTCATGCAAGACACGGCCAGAACTTACTGTGCACTCGCTCGCATTTTTTCAAAACTTTTTACCTCAGGACCGTCACAAAATATTCTGCATTCGCACTTGTTTTGAAACTTTAGACATGCAACAGCCGTCGATTTCCCATTTTCTGCGTGAGTCTAGATCCTAGAATCGCTACTGTACTAACGCAAGGTAAATTGTTCGGTATCCGACTGCTTTGTATGGTTTTTGTAAATCGCCATCACGATTCACGAATACAACTTCCACAACACGATCCAAAATGCCGGCCGATAACTTGGAAGAACAGGGCTTGGAGAAAAACCCAGATCTAAGTCTTGCCCAGCTGAAGTTTCTACTCACCTTGGACAGCCACAAGGATGATTCCAAAACGAAAGAATCGCTCATGGAAGGAATCAAACGAAACAGTAGGTTTTGCCGGTTTTGCCTTACTCTGCCGAGTCATTCCCATTGTCTCGTGCACAATCTATTTCGTGATAAACGTGAATGGTGTCAACAAATAGTAAAACTTGTAATATTTATTAAATATTAGGGGAAAAGTGTACTTTTAGGATCCCACTATTTCGTAATCGTGTAGTTTAGGACACAGCCCTTAAATGACTTTTATTTACTAGTTTTACTAGCTGGAGTCCGAGTAGCCTAACTTGGACCCAACTTATCGCCTTTTTTTAACATTTGGACATGGTCTGGCGATAGTGGGGTCCAAGCCGGTCCTACTAAAGCACGTCAACAAGTGTCAACAAGCGTCAACAAGTTTTAGTAGTCGTTAAGTGCGCGTCAACAAATTTTGTATAGGCTTTTGAACAATAAAAACAGCTTTATATGGTAGAAAAAGCAATATAAATGAACATCTTCTGCATATCAATTAAAGTAAAAATTACTTAAAAAGTGGTTTTCCAGCGCGAAATCTACGACGGGTTTTTCGGTTTAGTATTGGCCGCCATCTTGTTTGAGATATACATACTACGCATGCGTGGAGTGTACCACTCACGCATAGGGGTTTCTTTATACTATACGCTTTGCGAAACCTCGTTTGGTTTTTGCATTGGGATATTTAATTATTTATAATTATAAATTATGCAAAACTTGGTCACGGTACTTGGCTAATTATTTGAAAAATATGCCGACTGACACTGTTCACAATGTCTGCCAAAAAAATGCCAATGCAAAAACCAAACGAGGTATCGCTAGCGGTATCGATTATGGGACCATCGAATGTACGCTGGGCATGTAGAAGAAATCGCGTCGTTCAAACATTAAACACGATCGGAAATTTAACGTGTTCAAGATCGCGAGGGGAGCTCTCCGGAAATGAACGGAAAATTTCACTTTTTTCCGAATCGTAAGTAAACTTCAGTACAACCATCTTAATTATCGATGTCTACTTGTACCTCAGGTGGCATATCTAGTAATTTGGAGGCCGTTTTGAAGGTGAAATCTGATGTTTTTTGTTGGAAAATGTTGGTTTTTGGGACAGTGACAGGATGATGTTGTCAAGGTCGCGGTATTAGCTTGGACCCTACTATCGCCAGACCATGTCCAAATGTTAAAAAAAGGCGATAAGTTGGGTCCAAGTTACTCGGACTAAGTCCGGTAATCCTTACCTTTAGGACCCCGTTCCTAGTATTATAAGGTTAAAAGACTCACCAAAACAGCTGTCTAAATGACACTCAAAAGTGACATTCTGGTATTTTTGACACATTTGAACCAATGCAAATGACACCTTCTTGAATATCAGCAGGTTCAATTTTGTAGAAAGAGGGTAGGGCTTTGATTTATGAGGGGTTAAAGATGACGATGACAAACAGAAAATATATTTAAAAAGCAAGATGGTGAACTGCAAAAAAAAAGGTAGAAAAGTCACATTTTCTTTGAAAGTGCTTTAAAAATTACAACTAACATGAGTTTATCTGAAGAAACAAGACTGCTTTAGCCTGTAAAAGTCACTTTGGTACTGGAAAGTCACCTGCAAAAGTCAGTTTTTGAACATAACTCGTAAAAATAGAGGTGTCCTAAAGATAAGGATTACCCCTAGTCCCACTAACTGGGGCGCTAGAACTCCTTTTTTGAGATTTGGGATGTTGGTCTGTTGTACTAGTGTCCCACTACGGAAGTATTGTCAATTTTATAATTTCAAAGTTCACCACAAAAATCATGCAAAATACTTGACAAAAATACCTTAAGCACCTACTGGTATTTCCACATGTCAAAGACGAAGAAATGGGGCTTCAATGATACTCACAAATAAGTTTTGGGTTGAAAATCCGTGAGATTCAACCACTATTGCACAGACATCATACAGCGATCATTCAAAAACGTTATGGCTTTTAATCTACTAACGCATTGTCAATGGTAGTATGGACGTACATCATGCACCATACAAACACGTACGTGAAGCAGGGGCCGGGACACGACCGCGACCAGTGCCGAAAAACAAACTCCGCATGTAGATCGGGGGATGCGCCTACGACTGTATTCTTGTACCGCGCCTTGTCAAAATTGTCATCATCAATATGATGACAACCGTTTGTCTCATATCAAATGATTTCAGTTTCATTCTTTCAACCTGAGTTTCAGAATTTTAACAATTTCAAAAAAAAATCTAAATTCCTTTTCAGATATGGCTCCATACTACGAAGAAATCTGCAAGGAGTTGAGTTGGAAGCCAGATGCCTCCCTCTTGAAGAAGATGCAAGCAGCCAATGCGGAGGAGCTCAAGACGCTTGATGCCACTCTGGAGGACGCAGAACAGAATCTTGGAGAAACTGAGGTCCGGGATGCCCTCCTCAGAAAGGCCGAACACTTGTGTCGCATCGGAGACAAAGTAAGCATCATTCGCTACTTCATGGTCGGAATCATATGCCCTGCTATTCACTTCCAGATCCTCCAAAATCCCCCAGGAGGTTGTGGGTAGATTTTAGGTAGAAATGAACCACTTTTACTTTATATTTGGTCCATGGAAATTTTTATTAAAAGAATTTTCCAGTGTTTTCCTCCACAGTGGATATTATGGATTCATAAAAGGTTCCGAGCAAACTGCCCTGCTACTGCTAGTGAGGGTATAGGGTTGTCTCAAAATTTCAGAATATGGACAGTAGGCCTGGGCAACTATCAAATTTCAATAGTCGAGGCGACTATCAATAAATAGTCGCGACTAGTCGACTAGTCACGACTAATTGCATTGTTTATTTATCCATTAAAACCACTGATTAGGCGTCCGTGGATCTGCGTTTGCATAACACAAAGGGATACCCACACACTAGGCTTACCACAAGCCGGCTCCACATAGCATTTCTCCACTAACTAGTCGGTGGAGTTTTATCATTTTTTTACAAACGAATTATGACGCACTTTCCTAGCACTTGTGTAAGATCAAGTGGTTGTTATTAGTCAAATAATTCCTTGATCGTCAATTGCAATTAATTCTACTAATCCATGCTTGAGTACTTAACATGTGAGGCATGCCGCACGCATTCGATTTTGCCAGCAACATGTTTTGTACATGAATGAACTGCATTTGCATTGTGCAAAGTGCGTCGCACTTTCTACGTGTCTTTCCAGGCTTGTGGTTTCAGATGATTTCTAGAGATCAGTGAGTTGTCCACATAAACAAAACTGGCTCCGCTAAGATGCATAATGCATGAAGCTAGACTGAGTCTTTGATTAAATGATCATTGCTGTGAGAAGTTTGAGAAATCAATAAAAGCATGAATAAATAAGCAAAGTTTCTGGGCAAGCTGGGTCTAATAAAAGACGTTTCGAGACATTCAATGGAGGCCTTGATCTTGTCACGTTTCTTACTTTTCAATCAATTTGAAACTTTGCAAAAATTACATCGAAACTTTACTAAAAGAACTTAGACTAGTTAAAAAGTTAAACATACAAATATTAATTACAAAAATTATACGCAAGAAAAATAAAAGGACTCAAGCAAACAAGCAGCTGTCTGATATTTTATTTTTTAATTCAAGAAACACACGACGAAAGTTTTTCACCATCAACCTGTGGAAATGTAATGGAGACATACGTATGTGTAGGCCTACATTGTTTTGTGTGTCTGGCGCCCTTCGTGTGCGCCGAGTTCATTGTGTACAGTTATCGGCACTCAACAGTCAACACGTGCGCCGTTCATCGTTCATGAGTGACCCCGGCCCCAATGCAGGTGTGCAGTGCACGCACTTTCGCGATGTATTGTACATGTGTACGATGTACATGGTAGCGTTCAGTGAGTGTTTCGTTGTGTGTGGTGTTTCGTTGAAACTGTAAGTACTGTCTGTGGGTGTCTCTACGTGTGCCCAGTGTACAGTATAGTGACTGGTCACTCAGAATTTGAACGGTGGGTGGTGCAGGGCAGGTTGATAGTCGCAACGCAACAAATAGTCGCGGCGCAAACTATTGCCACGGCGCACTAGTCCGACTCGCTTGACAATAGTCGCCGCATGACGACTACTCGACTATCTGAAAATCGATAGTCGTGACCACCAATACCTTTTGGTATTGGCGACTTTGCAACTAGTCGCACTAGTCGCCCACGCTTAATGGACAGTGTCCCATTGAGAACGCCGCCTGCTTTGATCAGTTACACAGGCTGTTATCTTGGAAGTAGTTTAAGAACTGTAGATGGTATCCAATGGGAGCAACAGCTTGTTAAAGCGGCTGAGCTATCCTGGGGCGAATTCCACGAACGTGCTTAGGCCTTGGCCAAGTGCACCGAATAAATACCAGCCAAAATGTCATATTTGGGACTGGTTTCAGCTGTGCATAAATTTGCTCAGCAATAGCTTTTTTAGCTCCAAGTGACTTCTGAATCTTTCAAAATACTGCCTAACCAAGTGCTGGATTTGTCGTTTTTTTTAAATTGTAATCTTTGCCTTTTACAGGCAGATACCGAGTGTAGGAAAAATTTGGTAATGGACCACCATCCCCAATCATACTGATTTATATGAAAGTTTTTAACTTATTTTTGATCAATTGGCTTTAAGAGGTTATACAATTTTTAAAAATCCGGAGGCCGCAGGTTCAAACCGTGCTTCAATCAATTCCTTCAATCAGTTTTATTCATCCTTAACACAGGAAGGTTGCCTGGCAGTTTTCCGGAAAGCCTTTGACAAGACGATAGCACTGGGCCACCGCTTGGACATCATATTCCACCTGATACGCGTGGGTCTGTTCTGGTTGGATAATGACCTGATCACACGGAATATTGACAAAGCCAAAGAGTAAGTGTTGAACTTATGATGGAAATTTGGCTGACTTCTGCGGTACGCTTTATTTACTCCTTGTCCATAAAATCCTTTTCTGGGACTTTTTTGTTGGGGGGGGGGGGGGGAGGGGGGTGGTAAAGAGAGTCTTATAACACCTCACCAACAGATTCTGTGTCTTGATTGGCCGAGAGCGAGTCTCATGGTACTTTCTATTTTTGCTATCTTTCAGTGCACGGCCAAAAGTACTATACCCATAGCAACCAAAGTACTATACCCGTAGCAACCAAAGTACTATACGCATTGTGTGCAAAATGCATAGGGGTGTGTGTTGCGCGTATTGTTTCCAAGCACGAGCGCTACAGAGCTGGGTTCAAACATTTCGTGAAGGGGTAGAAAGTTTCACGGATCACCTCGGGAGGCTTGTTTTACTACACCACTCGAAGCAGTCAATATTTGTATATTATTATATTTTATTTAGTTAATGCATGTTTATGAACAGGACAGTTTTGTCCGCAATTGATTCTTCCAACACAGGAATAAAATGGGTACCTATGAAGTTAAAAATATTTGCACCAAAGTGACAACAGCCTGCTGTTAACTTCCGAGAGCGCTCACCTTAACCTTCTCAAATCCTCCAAAATCTCTTAGCAAAATGGAGGATTTTGCAGGATTAAGGATATATTATGGCAAAAGTGTGTGGCTGATTTTGGGGGATGCACTGTGTCAAGGTCTTGGGCCGGACCTTGTGTTGTTTATTCTCGGCCATGCATAAATTAAGGTCTAGATTATACTTGAAATTCTCCGCACTGCCAACTGCTCCAGGATGTCACTGGCTCTGCCTCAACATATTGGCAGTGATTGCTGGAGGATTTTGCAGGATTGAGGCAGTGGTCACCCCTCCAAAGACCCCAATCGAGAAATAACGGATGATTTGAGAGGATTGAGGCTGTATGCAATTTTAACATTGTGGCTGTTAAAGGATTTTTCAGGATTCAGGTTGCATCCTAGTCTAATACACATTTTATGGGCACAACATGCAAAGGTAAAAATATGAAAGGCTTTGCCCTTTGTTTCAAAAGCTGCATAAATGCTCAATTCCTTTTAATTTGTATATCAGCATGATTGATGAGGGTGGAGATTGGGACCGACGGAACCGTCTCAAGGTCTATCAAGGGATCTACAAGATGTCCGTCCGCGACTTCAAGAGTGCGTCCCAGTTCTTCCTAGACACGGTCTCCACGTTCACGTCTTACGAACTGATGGACTACACCGAGTTCGTCTCGTACACTGTCATTGTATCCATGATATCGCTGGATAGAACGGAGCTCAGAAAGAAGGTGAGATAGTCGTGCAAACATTTAGAACGACTCTAGTTTGAAAAATAATACTTTCACTGTTAAAGTTTTATGATATACTTCTGGTATTGAAACCAAGGATTCCTGAGAACTTTCCAAGGGACTGTCGCTTGCAAGCTTGAAGGAACCTGTAGAGAGGAAACAATGAAGTAATGTTCAGTTTGAATGTTGAGGAAAATTCACAGCATCAGGGAGGGACTGAAAACCCAATCCACATTTTGACCAGGGCAGGAATTGAACCCGGGCCATAGAGGTGGAAATCGAGGAAAAGAAACCACTGCCCCAACCTGACTCCCCCAGTGTGACTCATCTGCAATTTTCATGGTTGTTTCTTCATTAAGATGCAGTTCCTTCTTGCATATTTAGACACATATGACACCTTGCACCATGAAGATTAATCTTTTGAAAGAAGATGAGCCCTTGGACGTACAGACCAAGGCTTGGACCAAGTCCTTAACAGCTTGAGACTAAAGCGCCTTGACTATCATTTTCACGGATTTTGGCGTCCAAGACCACAACAAAATAGGTCTCAAGATCAGTCTCAAGCTTACTCCAACACTGCCTGTCAAACCATTAACTTAGGGAAGTCACCTTATCTTTATTTATTTATAAAGCACAGTTTAACTACTTTTGTAGCCAAATGTGTAGGAAGTGAAGGCTAGATGGATTTTAAGGGTTCCACTCATGCCCATGTCATTTTGATATGTTCCTTTCATTTTTTCTCTGCAGGTTGTGAAGGGAGCAGAGATTCTAGAAGTTTTACATGGTCTGCCAGACATGAGAAATTTCCTCTTTTCACTCTACAATTGTCACTATGCGGAGTTCTTCAAATTACTAGGTGAGACAGAATGCAATGCAAAGTCCAGAAATTTCGTCACAGCTCCTCATGCTTTTTCATGAGCAAATGCATCTCTTCCATTGTGGCATGAAAGTGAAAAAAATAGCTTCCTTTATGATTCTTGCAAAAGGTAGTTCACCAACTGTACCGTTGCTTCCGGAAATGTATTAAAAATACCAACAACTATTTGAGGGACAAATGTGAGACGTTCTGGCAAAATGAGATGGAATTCGGGCGATTCACAATGCAGTGCGCCACCAAGAGTTTGCTAAGGAGAGTTCATTTCACCAGTGCATTGTGGGAGATGGTCGACAAATTCGCTACGCGGGACATTTGAAGTTGTTAGTTTTTCCGGTCAGTACTTTTGTAAGCGTATGATTCAAGTATAATTGCCCTTTTTCTTTGGATCCAAATGGTGTTTTTTGTAAGGCAGCAGAATGCTTTGCCCCGATTTATAACAAATTGGCTCAGGTTGTCTACTGACACTCATTCAAATGGGCTGTGTTTTGTTGACCGTAAACTTAAAATAATGGCTCTCCATGGCAAACTCTTGGTGAAGCACTGCATTGTGAATCGCCCAAATTTGGCACATGTAGGATACTGTAAAAAACGCATGGGGGTGATTTTTTCCGAGTTTCAGCTTTATTGATATTTGTAATCTTTGATGTGGCTACTACACATACTTACAAGAAATAGTATAAAACATCTTGGAAAGTTTTTTAAAGAAAACAATTGACATCTTTCATTTTCACAAATACAAAACTTGATACTTTAACCCTAAAAGGGCGGGGGGGGGGGGGGGGGGGCAGAATCCGCCCCGCCCCTCAACTTTTTCCGCAATAGCCTTGAAATTAATTTTTTTTATACCAAAAACATAAAAATCGGACCACGGGTTGCCACGCAGCAAAAAATTTTCCGGCGCTATGCGCCGTGAACACTGAATTTTCCCATATACGTCGTGTACACAGAGCAGAATTACCATTCGTACATATGAATAATTAATTAGCCATAATTCCAAAACCATTTGACCTATAGTCATAAAAATTTCTTGGGTATGTTCAGGATGAGTTGCTCTATGCATGTACCGAGTTTCAAAATTTTTCGTCACTCGATGGCCGAGATCTTGGGGGGGGGGGGTGGAATCCGCCTCCCCCTGGCTGAGAGATGGTCAAAATAACCCGGCCCTTTTAGGGTTAAAGGCTTTTTTCGCAGTATTTTTTTTTGATATGTCCATTAATGTGAAATTTTGATTGTAGGGCAACAAACAGTATTGTAAGGACAAGTTTATTCTCTTTATAAAAAAATACCCGCAAACCCTCATTTCGACCTCCGCCCAGTTCTCTCTCATTTTGCCAGAACGCCTCAGAAATTGTCAAACTGTGACATGCATGCCTTATAACAGTACAAATACAAACACTCTGCACAAATTGTTCAGTTTCCTTTGATTTGTATAAACCTAGTCGGGCCTGGCCAGCATGTTCATTATTCACAAATTCAATATTGAGAGCTGGTTTTCCGTTCATTGTGCACTTAAATGTAAATGGTATCGTGTGTTTGTGCAATACTCATGCTTATATGACGGAAGGATAAGAATTTGAAAAGTTGTTCAACTTTTCAATTGTTATAATTCACCTAGTCAGTTTCCCTGTGTGGTTCATTAGAAATTATAAAGAATTTCATGTGTTCATTTTTGTTACAACTTCTTAAGTTGAATAGCGCCCTCATTTGGCCACTGAACATCATACATGTAAATGAAGGGTCCATTATGGTTGCAGACCAGTAAATGAACTTCATTGACCCCAATGATAAATGCTCCCACTTCAGAAATTCGGGAAAAATACTCACAACTCTCCAAGGTGTTCGAGACACACATCAAATTAAAGCTTATTTCATCATGTTTCATTTTCTTTTCAATTTACGGGGGGGGGGTCAACTGATGACTTTTAGGAGAAATTTCCATCCGAAGATGATCACACCTTAAAATAGTCCTGAAGCCCATCGCCAATTTCATCCAAATTGAACGGAACTGCAAGCTCACAGTCCTGTGCACGGCTTCCACCCATATTTTTTACAAACCCTCTAGTTCATGGCCCATAGTATGCTCAAATACTGAAGATTTTGAGGGCATGCAAATCGTGATTTGGCCGGCGTAGCTAGCAATTTCGGACCGATTTACTGGTCTGCAACCTTTAGAGGAATTTGCCGGGAGCCTGTTCTTCAACTCTTTCAAGTATGCACTCATTGCAGTGTTGTAGCCGAGTCCATCCCAAGTCACAAGTCCTTTCACGAGTAACTGGATGAACAATGACAAAGGAATGCTTTTGTAACAGTTCATTTGAATAGCTAGTGACTTGAATTGCGACTGAAAGATTTGTGATGCACTTGTGATGCACTTGCAGGGACTCAAATGTAACACTGACTCATTGTGGTGAATTTTTTTTCTCCAAAATTGACTTTTCTGGGAAGTGGTAAAAAGCAGAGGGGTAGTCCAAAGCATCATAAGTCCAGTCACAAGTCCAGTTGCAATTCCAGTCCCAGGTCCAGTCGCAGGTCCAGTCGCAAGTAACGGGGGGTGAACAGTAACAAAGGAATGCCTTGTGATGGACTTGCAGTTATTTTTAAATGTTCAATTGTTAAAATATAGATCAGTGCCCACTATACAATGACTTTCAAAGTATATCATGTCTGTCATTCATTGCTATCTTGACAGCCGTCGTGGAGACCAAGCTGAAGCTAGACCGACTGATGAGACCGCACTATCGCTACTACGTCAGAGAGATGCGAATCCTAGCCTACACACAGCTACTGGAGTCTTACCAGAGCCTTACCTTACAGTACATGGCCGATGCGTTCGGTGTCAGCGTTGACTTCATTGACCAGTAAGCATACATTAACTTTTTTCATTGGCCAGTTCCAGTGTTCTGTCATGTCGTAGAACGCCATGGTCCAGTGGTTACGGTGTTTTGACTCATGTACGATGGTGCGTGGGTTCGAACCCTACCAGGGATATGGTGTTTGTGCCCTTGGGCAAGACACTTAACTACAATTGCCTCTCTCCACCCAGGAGTATAAATGGGTACCTGTGAGGGTCGAGGACCGATTGAGCGCTGATATCGGCTGCTGCGTGGTCCCATGGCCTGATGAACGGGGTAATAATCGTAAAGCGCTTTGAGATTGTTGTTACGATCGAAAGCGCTATGTAAGCACAATTTTTATGTCTGTGACAGAGCTGTTAAGAGCTCAGTGAATAAACCAGAAAATGTATTTTTCAAATCTTTTACATCCATCATTTTGGTGAAGGAGATTACAGACAAGGAGTTTTGGATCATTTCTCTGGATCATTAATTAGATATCATGGTTAATTGGCTCTATGATGGACATCACACTTCCTTTCACACAAGCTTGAATTGGCCCATAGTGCTGTAAATTATTTAATAATTTAGTATACGATTATTCTAATTTGCATTTAATCTAATATTCAAAAATTCAAAACGTGCTGGCTGCGTTTTACATGTGCAACACAGTGGGATGTTTAAGCAACTTTTGTTTCTGTAAGTATTGACAGTGAGCCGAATAAAATTGAGTTAAAGTAGCCGACTTGCTGATTTGACAGATTTTAAAGAAGTAAATTAGAGTTAACACTCATCACAGAAACTCTCACATCATGCATGTAAATTGACCGTCAACAAAACCAAGGCACTTGACAAACAGCATAACCCCGCAACTACATGTAATATGATTGAAATATCACGGACCTTTTTCTTCATCTTCCTGGCGCTAACTGTATGTGCAAAGAGTGGTCTCGCAAAACTTGAAGGGTTGTGAAGTGCAGAAGACTAGGATGGTTACATGTTTTGACAATGACACATTCCATTTGGCTTCAAATATGTCGATTTTTGTTTTTAAGTTGTGTGTCTGTAAGTAAGACTGGTAGGTTTGCATGGTGGAAGGTCAAAAGATATGGCGTTTACGGTAGCACCATGTAGTGATTTTCCTAAATTTGGCCACTTGACATTTTGAACATAATGCTCCGTCTGTCGTTAGTGTGCCTGTATACATGGGCGTCGCGAGGGGGGGGGCAAGGGGGGGCACTTCCCCCCCCCCTGGAAAAGCAAAAAAAAAAAAGGAAGAAAAAAAAAAAGAGAAAAAAGAAAAGAAAAAAGAGGCGCGAAGTCATAGTGGTGTAAATTTAATGGTGTTGGGGGGGGGGGGGCAGAATGTCCCTGGCCCCCTTTAAAACTGATAAATCGAGAATGTGTTGAGAAATACATGCATTTTTTGGCAAAAATATGTTTTGCCCCCTCTAGAAAAAATCCTGGCGACGCCCATGCCTGTATATTGTTACCATCTTTTTGGCCACATTTTTTAGTGCAGACTTTCTGGTGGGTGTCATGCTTTTTTATGCCTATTTGAATTTCAATATTCATGGCACAGCAGTCATGTCATCTAGGGAAAAGCATTGTTTTTCAGTTTGGCTTGTCTTTTTCAAAAGAACTTGAATTTGTGATGTTTGTCGTGAAGTTGACTTCCTGTTCAGGGTTTTGCAGCCACTCTTGAAAGCAGGAAAAGCCTTGAAAACAAGTTTCCATTTTTCTAGTCTGGGAAAGCTCAGGGATTTGGGGGAAAAAACACCAAAAATCAGGGAAAATTCAGGGAATTTGACAGTGTCCCAGAAGGGAAAAGTTTTCTCAAGTTTGGCGTATGTGCAATGTGTCTATTGACTGACTGGCTACAGTGGCTTTTGAGTGTTTATGCATAAAATAACAATTGGCTGCCCTACACCACCTCTTGACTTACCATTAACCTCGTTAAATCAAAGTGAAAATATATCTTATGGAGTATGGGAAAATTTCTCAGGGAAATTTATATCAGGGAAAACTCAGTGAATGTTGTCTACATGTACATAAAGTGCTGGGAACCAGGCTTTCAGAGAGAATATGTTTGCTTACAAGTCAGTCAATTTGGAATTTTGTTTGTGCATTGTTGGACATTGCTAAACCACCAACATAGCTTTATGCATTATGTTATACTCAGATGTCAGGAAGTAATGCCAACAATTTTTTTTGCACAAAAAGACGACATCATCAAGATTTCAAATCAATAATTTTTTTTTTTAAACCGTCCTGTAGTGTGAAAATCTAAACAATTTTAACTGCAATACTCATTTTACCCTCACTTGCCAGGCAAAAAAGTCAAATCCTCTTTGTATTGTTATTGTGATGCCTGTGTGCAAGAACTTAATGAAAGGAACCACACCATATAGACATCCAATTTAATTTATTCATTGTGTTAGGCCATCCAATATCAATAATTCTTTGTTGCTGTACATAACAGTGTGATAAGGTCCACGGATAGTTTCCACATAGCTTTTAATTCCAGTAATGTCATTAGGGTTTGCACACTATTATTTCCAGTACTGCGTTATACATCGTTGGGCATGCACATCAAAGTGACAAATATGATAGTTTTGCCGCATCACTAAGTGACGTATAGTCCATGGACTTTGTGCACATAGTACGTCACTTCGTGGTGAGGCAACTATCCACGGTATGCCATTTTGTGGTGCGACCGGCGAGATGTTCATGAACAGGTAGAAAGTGAATCTTTTTTTGAGAAGGAAAAACAGGATATTTTCATGATTCGGAAATTGCATCTTAAAGAGGTTGTGGAATTCCTCGAAGACATTTCCGTCATTTTTCGGGTATATGTAGCCTAAGGTGTGATGAAATAAAAACGACTATTGTTTCTGTCATAAAATGAGTACAAAAGGTGCTTTTGAGAGCTGTTTTTCAAGTCCTGTCATGCCTGTTTCGGCCCGAATGTGCAATTTGTGTAAAAGTCGTCGTTGCGGGCAGCAAACAAAACACAGTAAATCGTGACGTAATAAACAGGACTCCCGATGCAGAGTAGCATAAACGAGTCCTGTTTATTACGTCACGATTTACTGTGATTTGTTTGCTGCCCGCAACAACGACTTTTACACAAATTGCACGTTCGGGTCGAAACGGGACCTGAAAAATAGCTCTCAAAAGTACCCTTTGTACTCATTTCATGACAGAAACAATAGTCGTTTTTATTTCATCACACCTTAGGCTACATATACCCGAAAAATGACGGAAATGTCTTCAAGCATTCCACAACCTCTTTAAGTCACATTTAGTTTTCTTGTAAAAATTTCCCAACCACAGTTGGCATTCAGTTTGGGACTGTTTTGGATCACTTTTTTGTATGAAAAAATGCTTAGCATTGTAGACAAGTCAAACAAGTCTATCCATGTTTTTAGGTATGACATGAGGAAAGACTACTTGTGGTGGCATTTGTTGGCCTTCTTAGGTTTTCCGTAGATCCACCAGCCACATTTAACCCCTCCTTTTAGTTTGATTTACATGAGCATGCATCACTTGCGAGTTGCCCTGTAATCTTTTGTGGCTATAGTGCACACATTTTCTTGAGCGGTCATTGGAAATTTGTTTGCTTTTTTCCTTTTGAAATTTGCTATTGTCTTTGGCTGTTTCGGCAACCAGCAAACAGCCTTTGTTTTCGTTAAAGGTTTTTTGTTTTTTTTTCTTTTTCAGCCAAGCCCATAGCATTTGTACATGTTTTTTTTTGTTACCGGCACTTTGGGCACTAAAATCAATCCGATTGCCTTTATACCTGGCACATAATTAGACCTCCACCAACAGATGGTCACCGAAGTTGAACACGAAGACGAAGCTGGAATTTCAAAAAGGCCCCAGCTCAGAGATGCCAGTTTTCCGGCTATAGCCGGAATTCCAGCTTTTTATTTTTATTTTTTTTTCATGTCAAGGGGGGGGGGGGGGGGAATGCAGCCGGAAATAAAATTCTCATGTTGCGCACATGAAAAATAAAATCAGAAAATCAGAAAAATAAAAAAAAAGCCACTTGTTGTTTTTCAGCCAAAAGAAAAAGCTATTAGGTGTTGTTTATCATCGGTCATGAGCCAGCAAGAAAATTGGTTACATGCTACATACATGTGTACACTACAGTACGTAGCGTGCTAGACTTGTACCGAGTGCACTCTGTCACATGTAAGGTTTTTTTTTGCATGGACTCACCACATTCAAATTGTATGGCGAATATGATAGTTTAAAAGCTAAGTGTACTGGTTCCCTGGCCTGGGATCATTGTGTGTGTGTGCTGCTCAATGGTGATCACAATGGATTTGTTTTCCTGAAATACCAAAATAATCACTGCATGCCAGGCATTACAATCGAAGAGTTTGTTTTCAAAGAAGAATAGAAAGACAAACCGTATGCTTTGGCATACATGTCACTAGAGGGTGCTTTCCACAAATAACCCCACGCGCCCAGCCCACTGGCAGCCGTCAAGAGCCTTAAAGGCCACCACAAATTGAGTTAGCTGTGAATTCCCCCCTCAGCCCTTTGTCGTCTGGCTGTGGCCAAAAAAAGAAAATATTGACGGTATTAATACCCGATGCTGCAACTGCATTGTCCCGCTGTCCTTTAACGCAGGCAATATCCCCTGCTGATGATGCCCCTGCTCCCTTTGTGCCCCTCCACAATCGCTGAAAAGGAGGGGGACTAATCAAGTTTGCAATTTGCACCTGTGATTAATGTTTGTTAGGGGGCCCAAAGTGTACACACAGCTCTTAGTAGCCTTGTCAAATTCGCTGTTACAGAGGGAGGCGAAAAGAAGAGAAGACAACTCTCTGCTATTCAGACCCATCTTTCATCTTCTTTTTTTTTTTGATATTGGTAAACTCGCTCTGCTTTATCATTCCATGGCCAATGAAGGTCACAGTGATAGAAATACGTCAGGGGCTCAGTCCACCCCCCTCCCAAGTGCCTTTTGTGTGTGTGTTTGATTTGATTGAGTGCTCTGATGCTGTTACGCTGTAGAAAATTACGCCGGTTTGTGTTGCGATGCGATAACACTCGGCCGGCGAGAGAAAGGGAAAAGTTCTTTTTTTTTTCTTGCGCGCGAGGGTTCCCCCCTGTGTGGCAAGCTGACAACACTTAAGTAGCTAAATCGACAGTTAATGAGATCTTACCGTGCAGGCCCGTTAATTCTTGCATTGGGTGTAGAATGCCTTTTGCTTCCTGTAAAAGATTTGTTTAGGCTGTAATGACACGGTGCATCAGTGCAGTGCAGATCATGTTGTAAATCCCTATCCCCCTTCCCCCCCCCCCCCCCCCTTGTATAAAAAATATCTTCCTGTGGGAAATCGTCTGGGTATATGACATTTCCTCGGCACAGCATGAGGTCGGGATGTCTTCTCAGAGAAAGCAGAATCAGACAATGTTTATGGTAAAAGTGGATTATTCCCTCATTCGTCTGAGGGTTTGTGACTTTGCACACGCACATGTAGGCCTTTTGTGACTAACGTACTTATCTCCTAACGAGATTGGATGCACAATTTTTAATCCGAGGGGGGTCTGACTTCAAAGTTGTTGGACAGGCTGGAGTTTTTTTTCCTTCTTTCGTCGCCCAGGCTCATTGGGTATTCATAGCCAGTGCCTCACCAATTCAGTTGGGGTCCCTTACTCCCTTTGCGTGAAAAAGGTTGTATGAATTATCCAAACAGGCTTACTGTAGTGCAGACTGCTGGTCTACCGTACATTGCTGACAGAGCAGTGTCCACTTATTGCTTCTGTGGATGGCGTTTTTTTTTAACCACTTTCAAAAGCTGTGGTGGGGGGACATGCCACATTCGTGCAGTGGTTTGCGCGCGTACGGTACAAAGTACACATGAGCTGATTTTATTCTGCATGTGCGCAAGCCCATAGCGTCTTCGGGTCAGCGTCACGCGCCGACAGTAATGCGCTTGACTGTCCCTCCCAGTGGTCTTTCCCAACTCGCCCTTTGTAACCGTTGACTTGCGTACTTGTGCACGTAAGCCATAGATATCGCTGTGTGGCCAACCTCGTCCCCAGTGCTTACTCTATTTCCAACCTCGTTTCCAATAGTTAGCCCTGGATAGGAAACTTTCTTCTTGTATCCTGATGCGATACCGCATTTGTGTAGTCCGTGTTGTTATTTCCAATGTGCATTACATGTTTTCATGATCATTGTAATTAAAATGTCTTCTCAAAAATACTCCTTTCCTTTCCAATTTGCTCATGATACTGCATATTGGCGGGATAAGATTGTAACATTTTAAATTCGAAAACAACTGTGTTTTCATAACTCACAGCGCGATGAATTGATGCTGTTTTTACCCCAGACACCACATACAAAAACAAACGTTAATGGGCAATTCCACGGTTACTCATGTTACATTTTTGATGTACTTTTGAGTTTCCTTGGGCTGTAATTACCTTACTGAAAAGGTTTAATAACTGTTATCCCCATGGTACCGGTAGATAGAGTAGACCTAGACCTTCCTAAGCACCAAAGATGACATCCAGAAAAATGTGTTATGTATGATAAACAAGACCCACAAAATCGGTTACTCACGTTACGAAAATGTATCGTGAGTAATCGATTTTGTGCGTCTTGTTTATCATACATAACACATTTTGTTGTAGATATTATTCATGTCAAAAAGCACATTTTGTGAGTTGATTTCAGCAGCTCACTTTGTGAATGGAGGCCAAAACTAATTTGATTCTGGCCTTTTTTTAGCTAGGCTGAAAAATCCTGTTTAACAGAATTGTGTACACAAGTTTCTTGAAATGATGATGAAGCGGTGCTGAGGTTTCTCCCATGAATGGAAAATGTTTCCAAATTTCCAGCATGAACCTTCAGAATCCTCCAAAATCTGTCCCGGGTGCAGGAATTAAATTTGCACTTAATTTGAAGAAGCATCGCGCCCATTGTCAAGTCATAGTGGTCCAGCAACAGTCAGATCATATTTCTTGTAGGCACTGTGACAGTCCAATTCCATCAACAGACAAAAGCAGGTGACTGGTAGGCACAGCTGGCTTATCAATCTCCTACAGTCAAAGCATAGCTGTATCAAGCTACATTGCAGTCACAGTCAGTCAATCCTGCTTTATGTAGGCTGGGAGCTCTTAACTGTTAAAACCAGTCAATTTAATTGATTTTGACTGCTGGGATAGCTGTGTTGAATTTGACAGCCAGAGTGGGAGGGTTGACATTTTGTTGATATTTTGTTTTATAATTTTTTTGAATTTTCCAGGGAGCTGTCGCGATTCATCGCTGCCGGTCGCTTGCACTGTAAAATAGATAAAGTCGGAGGCATCGTGGAGACCAACCGTCCAGACAGTAAGAACTACCAATACCAGGTAAGATGTCTGTCAAGAGTTTCTGCTGGTTCCCAGCGGGCCAGTCAACAGTCCTCTTGTGAATTAGCCTTGCATAAGCCTCACATTGGCCCAAAAAAATTGACTCAGACGACTATCTAGACCCCTCAGGCCAAATGGGTTTGGGACCAGGTTCATTATACTGCCCTAGTCTTGTTTGATTATACCTGTTGTCTACTGTGCTCTTTATCTCAGAAGAAGCCAGTGTCCAGGCATGTGAGAAGTAGTAAGGAAAGTCTGTAAGGAGCTAATATGGCTCATCAGGCCCGTGTTTATCTCCCGTTTCCTAGGCATGAAATGGCCAAGGATATTTCTATCCCCCCGAATGGGTTGCCAGTCCATCACAGGTTACTTCCTAGCTGATGCCAGTACCATTTATACTCTAGGTGGTGAGAGGCAAGTGGGGGTAAAGTGGCTTGCCCAAGGACACAACATATGACCAGCAGCTGGATTCGAACCCCTGACCTTCTGGTCAAGAGCTGAGATTTGTTTTAAGAGTAATATGCTCAAGGGAAAGGCGTCGAAAATTGGGACTTTTTTTTTAAAATCAGAGTGTCATCTGTATGGTCTCTAACTTTACATGGGATCATTGGTGTATCAAATATTCTCGATCGATATTGGATTTCCGATATACCGGTATCGATTATTGAAAATTCTGATATCGACGGTGCTTATGGGCCTATTTCATGTATTTGCCAGAGCTGTAATGGATTGTCAGTCACAAGTCAAATCTCGAGTCCAGCCACAACAGGGAACAAACAATGGCAAAGGAATGCCTTGGCCATGGCTCATTTAGTTTGTCACTTGTCCGTAGATTAGATGATTTGTGCTGGACTAGCGATTGACTTGACGTTGACTTCTGATGATTTGTAATGACTTTTGACTCACTTGATTACCACTGCTATTTTGGGGTTAAGTCTGATGTCATATGTGAGGCGTTCTGGCAAAATGAGGCAGAACTGGGCACAGGCCGTTGTGGAGAAAAATGCCCCCAAAAAATGATTGGGATTTTGTTTTTGATTTTCAGATTTATTCATATAAATTATAATCTTCGATATACCGGTATGTCTTCTACACATGTGTTAGAAATCTAGTATAAAAATGAAGAACAAAGGTGTTTTTAAGAAAAAACTGTTGGCATCTTTCATTTTCACGAATACAAAACTCGGCCATTTCTCATTATTTAACTTTTTGACATGTCGATAAATGCAAAGTTTAAACAGCCCTAACTTGTTAACAGAATGTCCGATTGAAGTGCAGCAAACAGTATCGTAAGGAGGATTTTATTCTCTTTCCTAATACCTGCAAACCCTCATTTCGGCCTCTGCCCAGTTCTGTCTCATGTTGCTAGAAGTAGAATGCCTCACATAATTTTCTAACAGTCTGACAGTGAAAGTTAGTTGACATCGTTTGCAAACATTCAAAAATGAAACTGTCAAAATATCATGGAGTATCCTACTCGATATCAAGTGAATGATAGGATCAAGCATCCTGTGAAATCATTGTGCCTGGTAATGCTTTTTCAAGAAACGAGGAATTACCATAATTTCCTAGTGATGGTTGTAACCAAACCATTGGGCTTTCAATGAAAACCTATTCTCTGCATTGCAAAAAATTAAGATAAGTTTTCACAGCTTTCCCAAACAGTTTAGTTTTTTAATAACCTGTATCAGATGTATTGTATTGGTGTTCCTTGAATCTGCAAAAACACATTTTTGCACTCGGTGTCCACTACCTTTAAAGCTATAGTCCATCATTCGTAGCTATCCAAAAAGTGTACTTATTGTTGAAAAGCATACTTGGTTTAAAGATAGTAATGGGACTAAACTCCCTGTGAAATTATTCATTCTGGCAAGCTGTCATTTTGAAGATAACAATGAAAGAAGGCCTTTCCAATTTTCCGTTAGTAGTTCATTTTTAATTCGGTGAAGCCCACGCAAGCATTGACATGTCGAACACGCTCGCGCGGTTGCTATAATTTGTCAGTTCAGTGCGCAACATCACGTAGCTGCACTCGGCTGGATGATAACGTGTCCCGGACGTTGAATTTGGGTCCAATTCGAAACACGACTCAGCAACTTTTGATTTGAAATCAAGATCCTAGAATATTGTTTTCTCGGAATATACAGCATTCACTGAGCTAAAATTTCATCGGGTTAGTTGCCCAGCAGCCTTCTTCAGATTTTGAGCACTTTTGTTGCTTCAAACGAACAAAATGCACAAATTAGAAACAATGTACTGTACCTTTAAAGGAAGGCTAGAAAATTACCAATCTTATTTGAAAATTTAGAGTCCCAAGCAAAAAAAAAAAAGCCAAAAGTTGTCATTAATCATTTGCATTTTGTCTCTGCTCCCTACAGGCCACCATCAAACAGGGTGATATCCTACTCAACAGGATCCAGAAACTGAGTCGAGTCATCAACATTTAGAAAGTAAACAAAATGTATGGTCCATCTCCAGCTGGAAGATTTCATCAAGGAAACTTGCATTGTTTAGCTTTCCCACTCTTTCACCGGAAAACAGACATTCCTTAGGCAAAAAAAAAGTCTCCGGTTTCTGGTATGGAGCTTGCCCAAAAAGTGGTGCGGCGACGCGGCTTTTTTGTTTTTTTTACCTGATTTTTTTGCTTCAAATGTCGGCTGATGACTGCAAATGGTGCTCGACTAAACTTAGTGCAAATATATGGGAGTCCAGAGAGGCCACATAAAGCTCATTCTCGACCATAACCCAATCTAAAAACACGTTAAAATTGTACAGCAGCAGGATTCCAGTCAAACCAGTGAGTTTGGCGGTTTTGAGACATCATCTTTCATTGAAAAAAAAACGTTTTCATTTTGCCGACGCGCATGGCTACGGCGACGCGCGCGCATACCAGAAACCAGAGACTTTTTTTTGTTGGCCTTATCAAGGAGTATTTTGACACCTGTAAAAATTACAGTTGCATTCCACATGCTCTCTTCAACAATTTCAATTTTGTTGTCTTAATAAATTTTCAACTCGCATGTTTTGTTAAAATAAAATAGAAATATCCCCCCCTTTTTTTGGGCGGCTGCGAGCAGACTGGCTCTCAGTCCATACATTATGAATACTGATTGTGGGGCGGGAACCAGCCTTACCCGCAAGAACAAAATTATTATCGGGCCACAAGTGATTCGGAATTTGTCGAGTAAAAATTCACTAACTACACACAGGGAGATTTTTCGATGGATGTCTCATTCGAAAGAGAATAACTTTTGTATTGCTCAAAAAACAGCAATTTAGAATGGAATGTAGTTTCGAAAGAAGCACAGAGAATGCACCTTTAAAACTGAGATGTTATCCTAGGGTATCAAACGTGACCCAGGTGACTCAAGAGTTCAATTCATTATCTTTTCTCTACTGCAGTGTCCACCTTGGCTTTAAAAGTGCATGCTATGTACATTATGTGAACCTTTTTATTTTATACCAGAAAAAAGTTGCATAATTAAGTTTGGTTATAACGTTTGTGGATGTTTTCCAATCCCATCTGGCTGATTAGTATTTTTGTGTCATTTGCAAATTTTCTACCAAGGTTCGTCATTTACCAAGGAACGGATTCATTCTGATTTATTTATGCATGCACTAGGGTAAGATCATCAGGCCCAGCATTTAACATACTAGGTTAATGTTAAAAAAAAGATTTCTGTAAAGTTTTGCTGAAGAGGTCACTTTGTATGCTAAGCTTTGCGTTTGAAACAAGAAGTTATCAGGAATTCAGCATACATCCATCATCCCTACAAAAAGCTCTACTTGAATAAAACATCAACTTGCTGTATAACTCTATATTCGTTACTTGTTGTGTGTGTGCTGAATGTTCCAAAATTGTCATTGTCAATGTCCTTGTTTCCAATGTGGCAAAAAATGTTAAAGTTATGCGCCTATCAAATGTCCCCCCCCCCCCCCGCTACCCCAGGTCTGATGTCGGGATTTTGTCATGTTTTTCATGCCCCAGGGTGGGGATTTTGGTCACTCAAATTACATTGTTAACATTGGCATACTAATGGAAAGGCAATCACTAGTGCGCCCCACGTATGTAAGTCGGGGCATGGTCGGGGATTGTCACTTACATTTTGCCCGAGGGGTGGGGATTTTGTCACTTGAAAAGTGACAATCCCCACGTCTTGGGTGGGGCAGCCCGGGAGGGGAGGGGTGGGGGAAACAATTGATAGGCGCATTATAACTTCACCTAGGGCCTATGTATCTCTGGTATTGTATTAGAAATGTTGTCAATAAATATGAAATAGCATTGGTTATGTCAATATGTACTTTTATTTTAGCCATGTCAAAACTAACATATCCGGCAGTATGCACACCCATACGCACTCGGTTAATTCCCATGCGTTGGGTAATAGCTCGCCGGTTCGATATTTCCCCAAGCTATTTTTGCCCCTGGGCAGAGTCTTCTTTTCAGGTTGGGAGTTCCTCCTTTGACTCCTTCTTCAACACTTCATCATGGGTTGGATTGTCTCAAAAGCCACAACGTTTTTGTGGGATGCTTGACTCGGGATAGTGTGGAAATAATATATGCACGCCGCCCATTTCAGCATTTACTTTGATTGTAATTGCTTTCGGTCGTGTCACCTTCTACAGTGTGTATATCAGATTTTAACAGCCAACTATAAATCTGAAAATGAATTAAACTGCTGCAAACTGCTTACTGACTAGATTTACCTGAAATATACAAAGCAACAAAATTAGCTGGTTTGACGTTTAGGTCTTAATAAGACCTTCAGAGGCAAATGACCGTGGTACAAGGAACAAACATGCATGGGTGTCGATCCACCACTTTTAAAGAGGGGGATATCATGTCGTTTGTCCCCCCTCCCCCCATTTTTTTTTCGTCCCCGAATAAAAATTATAGCCTACATTTTTATTCTGTAGCCAATATAGCTGATTCAATGACTGCAAATTCGAAAATGATGTTTAAATGATGATCTTTTGCAATAAAAAATGGTTAACATGGTCAGAAATCGCCTCAGATCGCACCACAGAGCGTCTAGAATCCAAAAATGTCGGGGGCCCTTTTAAAAGCGGGCCGAACCCCGCGCCGTTAGGGCTTCGCGTTGGCATTACTTCTGATCAAGGTATGTCCCCCCCCCTCCCCACTTTTAAGAAGCGACTGACGCCCTTGCAAACATGTTGGGGGGGGGGGGGGTAAACACACAAGCATGCAGGGTGGAAGGAGAAACACAAAGGAGGGACTAAGGACCAAGATAGAGTGGCCAAAATCTGGCAGTTCCGTGGTCGAATGGTAAGACGTCTGTTCCAGAAAGTAGGAGGTCGCCGGTGCAAGTCCTACCAGAGTAGCTTGTGTAAAAAAAAAATCACGAGCTGTCGAACATCTTTAAGTTTACAACGCTTATAAAGGTCCGTCGGCTCGGAGGGAAAACTATTACATTTACCCCCCCCCCCAAAAAAAAATGCTTACATGTAAGTGGGACCTATGATGACTCGTGTATTCGTCTTGGTTTTATAGTAAGCCTACTTGGCAGTGATAGAAGAATACAGAGTGGAAATCTCGCAACGGTATCGCCACTCCTGAAGAGTAGATGATCCGCAAGAAATCCTTATCACACCAAAGTTGTATCAAACGAGATGGGTTGTTTAAACAGATTCGGTGCGGATTTAGCGGGACGCCGGTACATCCGCGCATACCCAAAAACATTGTACTGTTGTCGAGCAATGCTTGTTGATGCATGTGCACTCGCGTACTGATGTATTCATCAATTCCGCTCGATAGAAATTGGTTGGCGCGAAAAATAAGGGAGTAAAAAGATTGGGAAGACGTGGGGGAGGGGGGGGGGGGGGTTGCGATATACTGAAATCTTGTTTGGCGTCTTAAATGCAAAGAGAATCCAACTCGGTGTATCGTGGCCCCAGGGCTTCTTGCCCTGTGCTATCGCCCTACATTATCTAACTCGGAAAATGGCAAAAGAATTGGAAGTATAGCGGTTCTGATTATTCGCGGTTTTTTTTATGAGTGTCTGTGTGTATTCGTGTGCGGGGCTTTTTCTGAGATTGTAATCGCAGTTATAGAGGCTGAAGGGAAAAGGAGGCGAGAGATTTTCCGAGAGGAGGTGTGATTTTTATCCTGTCCTCGTAATCTCGCCGTGGTCAGTGACGGATTAAGCTAGAAACATTCTCGCCAGCAGGCAAAGCAAGTGGGCGGGTCATTACACGGACGATCTAAATGCTTCAACTGTTTTCGTTGATGCCACATAGCAATATCTTCGCATTATACAAAGTATATATCACATAGAGCTATGGGATCGAAATGGCGCAACTTCAAAAAGATGTTTATGCCTTACGGCATATTATGTCCATATCTGTATCATCTATACATACATTGATGTGTTTTGAAAGGTTTTTTGTTAGCGCCTTTTTCCCCGCGGGATGTTGGATCGTTCTTGTTTTTTATCAAGATGGCATTTACGGCTTGAAACATACGACATAGACAAGTCCTGTATAATTATAAGTTATACCGTGTATGAGTATACTGAGAACGTACGTGTTTAGTTGACATTTTATAGGTTGGAATTTAAATGTTCACTTCTTCCATTTCATCTATATGTCCTTGTGACATTTTGAAGAGAATGAATGTCAAATCAATGCATACCACGGGAATAAGAAGACTTAACCAAAGCTTTCAGAACCGAGGGTAAAACATGTTGACATTTTTTTTTTACAGATTGTATAAGCAAGTAATACAATAAGAATCTTTTAGCGTTTAACTTTCAGCCACTCAAAGCTCAGCTTACAGAACTGCTTGTTCCAGTGTAAAGAACCCCACCGCTGATTGGCCAATGGCAACACGGCTTGAAACTGTGTATAAATCCCCGCGCATGACAAATCCCCGTGAATGCGAGTCGCGGACAAAAAAGGGCAAGGGGTGAATAACGACGATGGTCGTCGTCTGCGGGTGAAGCAATCAGCTAGTTTGTCTTCCCGCGCGGTGGCGCGTTAGGGGCTCGGGGCAATGCATCGCAGCCTTTGAAGGCCCCGACGCTTTCCCCCCACTGCTCGTTTGTGCGCGAACTCTCGCGGGAATGTCCGAGATTACACTTCTCCCCCTTGTCGGCGGACATTGCGGGCGTCTAGTTGGAACAAATCCCGTCGCGAGTCGACAACGCTCCTTTAGTCGTACTTGGCCCATAATGACGAGTTTGTAGGCAGGATTTTTTTTTCCTACTTTAGAATTTACCTCTGGCAAAATTTGAGCTTTTGGTAACTTTAGGGGTAGATTTCAACTCTGATTACTGAGTCCCCTTGTCTATGAATAATGACACAGTAATTTAAGAAGAACACGGAGATCATGAGAGACAAGAGCCGAACCATATCTTTGAAAACCTCTATACATACACGCGGAGATTGAATGTCTGCCGGCTCATCAAAACACAACCCTCGGGGTTTAAGCAAGACGCAGGAGCTACATCTCGGGTTTTTTGTCTTAATTCAAATTCATGTTTTTGTCCAATAGGTTTTACGCGATTTTAAGCCAAAAGTTATTCTGGTCTGTTTTTTTTGTAAACAA